TCAATCAACACATAACCTGCAAATTGTGCAATGGGTATCTTATTGATGCAGCAACCATAACAGAATGTCTGCACACTTGTAAGTCCACAAATTTACATGACTTTCCTATTGACCTAGTATGAGGGATAGACTAGGGAATATTGGCGAGAGATAGTAGCTGTAGATTCTGTGAACATAAACTAGGACTTCACAGACTCAAAAGTGGCAAAGCACTCACTCACTCACTTAACCTCCTCACCCCAGCTGGGACAAAAGGCCACAATAAAACCTCGGCACTTTAAGCCTGTTGTCCTGAGCTTTGGCATGCGCTTTGTTCCATGTCTCCTCCAGCTCATTCCTGATCATCACTGTTCTCCACCAGGTGGATTTAATTGGCTGGCGCCTCTTTTCCTCCTCTCATTTAGAGTCCATCTCATGGCTGCAACTTTGAATTATCAGTGGGCGATAAAGTTGAGGGCAGCAGTTACTTGTATTTAGGGGTGATCTAATATAAAACTTCTTCTTCTTGTGAATAACACTGATTTCTTTCTTCCTTTTTCTTTGCTTGGTTCAAAAATGACAATAACAGCTTAAAAGTAACAAAAGGTGCATGCAGTACACAGAAATGTATTTTGAGGTCCAGTTTCCTATAAATTAACCATCAGAGCTTAAATCCCAGCAAGTCCAAGTAGCACTCACTTCTTGCTCATTTCCGTTAATGACTTTATTAGAGGATGACTTGCATGGACCAGCAAGAAATCCTACTTGTCCCGAAGTACTGGATAGGACTTTTTTCGAGCCCCAAATCATGTCATTATTATCATAATAATTTATTAGGTCCAAACAGCGTGCAAAGAAAGTAGTGTCTGATAGCCCGGGGCTAGTGGATTTTGCTATCGGGCTAGCGAAATCTGTTTTTAACTTGCCCGACGGGCAAGTGATGTTCTTTGAGGAATTCGAATAACAGAAGAAGTGTGAAACCAATTCTGCTCGATGAAAAGCTCTTGGGGCTAGTTGAAATGATGTCTGGGCTAGTAAATGCTAGCTTCAGCTTGCCTGAATGGCAAGGTGTAATTGATTTTCTTTGCACCCTGGGTCCAAAGCAATAATTAAAAATATTCATCAGAGCACTGTTGGGTGCATTAACTCTTGAATCAAGGGGGTGGGGGGGGGGCACATTGTAGTGAATACATTGTGTTAAGGTATCATCCTACCTTCAGAACGGTCTTCATGCAGATTGCACTAAAGCGCTTCTAGCCCTACATAGGCGTACTGGAAATTTTTTGCCAGGGGGGGCGTTAAACCATTTGCCCAAAAATATCTTTCAAGTTGCCCAAATTTTTAAGAAAGAGTCGAAAAGAAATGAGGGCCATATTACAACAACATAGGCTGTCCTATGAAGGTGGCTCGATACAGTTTTCCAGGGTCAATGCCAAGTCTGAGCATAAACTACGTCGCCTTAAACAAACATTTGGAAAAATTGCGACCACAGTTGTATTAAGATGACAATTTGTCATCATCAGGGCTGCAATGACACCGGAGTTGTCATAGCAACGAAATGACCCCATTACCTATTTTACTTCAGCAATGATTCTCGGCACGGGGAACCTTACAAAATCGTTCACAGGAGCTTTTTTCCTCCAACACGGTCGAGATATTTTGGAAAAAGTTTTTATTATTGAAACTACGGTAAGAAAAGGAAAATCTTGATGTCTGGCCGTTATCTATAGCAAACGAAGCGCTTTTGACATGCAATTTCACCTCATAGTAGTTTTAATCTTTTTAAAAACATGTCTGAAAGGTCGTGGAGATAGCTCTGCTTGATTGCTAGAATCGAAAGAAGGATTTGATTAGTATGTATCTGGGCACTCTTGTTAGCGGTTTTACAAACATTTCGGTCTACTTAAACAAATTAGCGAATAATTTTAAACCGGTTGAAAGATTTTTTAAAAGAATTAAGATTGTTCTCGTTATACTACTACATGAGAAATTTCTGCAATTTGATTGGCTTAGAGCAGTGGTACGTATAACAATTTTGAAATATCACTCGTGGTATTTATGCCAAATATCACTACATATCACGCTATTACCTATACTAATTCAAACTGAGAATTCAGTAGTCAGCCACTTCTTCACTTTCATACCCACTGCTAATGCTATCTGCCATACACTGTTCTTCGAGTGGAGATGATTCTAGAAAGTTATGCGAAAGTTTATTTTAATCAATTCACGACTGGAAATAACCCATTCCAGCTAGTGCAGTGCAGTATAGTGCCCAACCATGAAAAAACTGCAAATATGTAAATTACTCATCACATGCTAGGCAACCGCTGTGGTGTAACTGGATTATTACGCCGACTTCAGGTTAATATTCAGGTCTTCAAAATAAATAAATAAACATGGTGACGTCTTTAAAAACTGACTTTTCCCAAATTTTCTCTCGCTGCCCAAAAAATCTGAGTTGCCCAAAATTTGAGGGGGCTGCAGCCCCCCTCGCCCCCCCGGCCCGTACGCCTATGTAGCCCTACACACTTTACTATTTCTGAAAGCCTAATAGTTGTGGATAATACGGCTAATTTCTTTTGAAAAACGAAAATGCTAATGCATTTCAGAAATAACGAGCTTTCTGCAAAAGTACATGTCTCTGTAAATTTAAGTCCGGGCCACCCAAAAAAAAGGAAGAAACCGGTCAAGATTGCATGTCTGATTAAAAAACTGCATCTCAAATTTTTGACAAAAAGTGCTTAATTTGTTCTTTTGTTAATTATGAGCACATAAATTTAGGAATAACAAGTCATTAGCATTACCTCTGTAAAAAAATACTGTAACTCAAAAACAAGATAAGAAATCAAAATTCGCAGACATGGTATTTTAGAATAACTATCTGGCACTAAGCTGGCCAAATTTCAGCCAATTTAGTTTACGGGGTGCTGACTTGTACATGTAGTTTAAAATGTATGCAACTTGGCCCAATTTTCATTTTGAGAAAACAGGAAAAATAGACTTTTTGCAGCATCTTGCTTGTAACAAGATTATAACACCAAAGCTGTCAATGTTGATGCGTACAAGATAAGGAACAACAATTATAGTTCTTTGACACTGCAGGAAAACGTTTCTGCTGCACTTAACAGATCAGGCACAAAACTTATTCAGACTGCTTAGTAAATTTAACACATGATAATTTCTCTCTTTAAATACAATACTACTTGAAAATACTGATTAGGCTGACAATCGTGCCACATACGAAAACAAAAAACTACAAAACAAAAAACAGGACCCGATTACTATATCCCTTGCAGCCTTGTAAACGGTTGGATTTAATAAAGCTCTCATCTTTCGTCTTTTATGTGGAGGACAAGGAAAAAAAGACAAACAAGATATTTTTTCCTTGACATTGTACAACATGATTTCTTGTAGATAGCTATGAATTGCGTGATTATCTTTGACTGGGATTTTTAACATTACATGTGGCACAACTTGTCAACAATCACTTAAAATAATGAGCATCGAAGAATGTTTGCGCTCCCCAAAGTCTCTGCAGAATAACATTTTTTCAAAAAATTATGAATTTTTACCTTGGGTACCTTAATTATTCTGTGCCAATATATTCCTCAGTATAGTTCAAACCAGTATTGAGGTCAATAACATGTTTTGATCTATTCTTAAATGTTTTGTCTTACATTTTATTTTGTTAGTTTGTAAGAGCTGCCTTGTGAGACATATTGAACTTGTTAATCGATGTCCAACATGCAACACTGAACATTCATGAGACACAACCACTTTACAATATCAGGTAAAAATTAGGGGTTGGAATGTTTTGATGCCAATAATATTTGAGTAAGTTGTATTTTTATCTGTATTCACTGGCTGAGGAACAAAGTAAATGGAAAATGTTTTCTCACACACTGCTGGGACCCAAGCCCAAGGGGTTGTTTTGAGTCACGTCTTGTCAATTGCTTTTTTGCTGTCTGCCATTGCTGACAGAAATTTCAGAGCAGAATAGTTTTTTTGAGGTTTATCACCAATACCGTTTGTTGTTTTTTTGTGCTGTACCATGAGTGCTAAGAAGATTCGGTCAAAGTCTCAGTCTGGGGGAATTTTTATTTTTTATGACTCTAGTGAAACCCTTCTCCATTATTGACAAGAAATTCTAGGTTTGCAAAAAATCTATTTGCTGGGTATTCTGGACTTTAAATTTTTTATTCATAAGTTTCTCCTATGGGTATATACTAGTTAATGATGTGAGTCATGTTTTCTTCACAGACTTGACAGAACTATGCAAGATATTGTTTACAAGCTCCTTCCAAGGATTGAAAGGGGTGAGCTAGCATTTAGAGTAAAACACAATTCTGTTGTTTTACTTTGTTATTTTTTCTTAGGATTTTAACAGAAATAATATTGATTTTTGTTGTGAATTTTTTTGTAAGCAATTTCCGGGGGTGAAAGGGTTAAATAATCAGCCAGATCTAAAATACTGGTATTACCTGGAATAGTTAAGAATAATAAAGAGAAGGAAGTCCAATAAAAAAAATTCTTGTTTAAAATAATGTCTTGTGATTCCAGAAAAAGAAATACTTAAGAGAATGTGAAATATTTAAGGTTATATTTGTGTGTATACTACAGGTTTTGAAAAGGCGGAGGGGGGGGGGTCATAAATAATGTACTGGAGTGTGATTGACTAAAAGTGACATCCCTGATGCTTTGGGCTGTGGTTCATCTTAAGAAATTACTACTAACATAAGCAACCACCTCCCATATTAAACAACCACGCACCCAATTAAACAACAAAAACTTTGCCCATCAAAGCCCTATACCGGTAATTGTTGGAACCTCGCATGAGGGAAAGTGAACATGGTTGGGTTTGTTTTAGCCTCCTGTAAGTGACCGCTAATTGCCATGCTATCGGATCTCTATTTTTACTCTGTAAGTACTACACAGAAGGACTTTCTTATGTCAATGTCCCTTTTGTACATTTTTGTATTTGCTGTAGAAGTTTTATGTAGCCACTGGTAATTCTTCAAATGAAATTAGTAGATGAGTCACCACACAATGTTCCCGGAAGAGTCCCTTGTGTTTTGATTCTCATTCTCATAAGTGACCCCCTCCCTCCCTCCCTCCTATTAATGCGACCACTGAGGCTGTTTCATGTTTCTTTAGCTAGTCCCTACAGGAGCCTGGACTGAACCCAGAATTTAAGTAAACCCAGCTATATGTATTTATATAACCTTGTTGATTAGTGCATCCTGTTTCTTTGATTTTAGAGGAAAGGCGCAGAGAACGCAAGTTCTATAAAGATAGGCAGATACCATATCCAGTCCCCAGAGGTTTTTCCGCTTATTTTAAGAAATGATAATATTATTATCTATTATTGTCAGTGCTTAAAATAATAGTATTAAAATCTCTTTTGTTTCTTTTTGGTCTGACCCTGCTCCAACTACATGCATTTCAATTTAATTGCTATAATGTGAGGTCAAGAAAATGTTTCATAAATTGCAATTTAAATTTGTTGTTTTTGCTCTTTACATGTACATCACTATCCATACAGTCATTTTTTAGATTATTTCTATGGCTCTCGTGTCCATCGCATGTAACGCAGAACGGAATTATGTAACAAACAGAAGGTGGTGTCAAGAAATAAAACTTATTATTGATAGTTCTGTTTTTTATTGTTTGTTTGTCTTTTTTCTGTTGTAGCTTGTCAGGCTTTATCTGTACCAGGACCATCAAATGCCGTCAAGAAACAAACAGCATCATTACCCAAAAAAATAAGCAAACCAAAAGTAACAAAAAACTATCATAGAACAGATGAACAAATCTCTCTCCAACTTGAGACTTTTTAGGTTAGTGAAATAATTGATGAATTAATTTGTGATTAAACCCTGCCTTTTAATAGTTGTGAGATGGAGGCTGTGTGGCAGAGTGGTTAACACCTCAAACTCTGGATCTGGAGGTCTGGGGTTCAAGCCTCACCTGTCCCCTTGTTTCCTTAGACAAGGAACTCTACTCCACTTTGTCTCTCTTCACCCAGGTGGTTAAATGGGTACCAGCAGCATACTGCTGGGGGGAAGGGGGGGGTTTCCCTGTGATGGACTAGCATCCCATCCAGGGGGGAGTAGCAATACTCTGAGGCATGCATCATTCTAAGGAAACCAGATTAAGCTCCTGCTGTTTGGGCCTTTGGCTCGTGTGCGCCTTTTACCTTACTTTTTTACCTTAGTTGCGAGATGAAGTGATACACCTGTATAGATTATTTAACTAGGCTTAAGAGAGCATGAAACTGTCTGTAAGATAACATTGTTTCCATAAATGAATACCTGGAAAAGATGTAACAAAATTAATAATGTACACCAAAAGCCACTGCAAGATGTTCACTTCTTTTTTTGACCAAATAGAATGTTATCAGACAGTGTACAGGGCTGTGCTCTAGCAGAGCCCGGTGACCCCTGGCGCCTAACTTTTGCCCTCGGGAAACTAGAAAATCTCAGATTTTTCATACAAATCATATGCTGGGCACCCTAGATTTTACAGTTTCAGAGGACTGGGCTCCCTTCCATTTTCCTTGAAGCACAGCCTTGGTGTAATAGCAAGTTCGCCCAGGGGTGGTTTTTATTATAAACTGGGTTCTGCTGTATACGTGTATTATGTACTAAATTGAGTTCAAGGTAAGTACTGTGAGTTACAGACCAAGTTTTTTTGCCATCGATTTATGGCCGCTTTGTAAAGTGGATTGGCCATAAATCAATGGGGAAAATGAGGATCTGTAACGTTAAGTATGGACTGAGATTATGAGGCAGAGGTTAATTGGCATGTGGGAAAGGGAACATGTTAGGGCAGTATACTGAAATATGGCCAGCAACATTCACCAATCACAGTGCATGTACTTACTAGGAGATATTATATGCGTAAGAAACATCTACTGATAAATTAACTGGTGTTTAACTCCAGCCCTCCTGTCTGAATACATCACCCAAAGAGCTGATATCATGTGTGTTAAGAAGAATAAAATAAAATAGGTTTCAATTAGATTATTGCATTATACAGTATAGCTTACATGCCAGATGTAAATTGTCCATGTAATTAGCACTGTTTTGTGGACTTTTTTCTGGAAGTATCTAGCCAGCTCTGCCAGTGCGCACTCGGGTGGCATTGCTTGCTTGTAGGCTCAAAAATAGCGCTATATAAATCAAGTGTAGTGTAATGTAATGTATAAAATATATAACTAGATATTACTATTACTAACTATACCTAACTTCATTTCTGTGTGGCTGGATGATAATGTTATTGTTTAATTGTTAAAATTGCAGAGATGGAAGTGGTGGCCCAGCAAAAATACAGGTAAATGTTAACGTTGTTTCTTTTTTAGTTTTGAAATAGGTCAATGAGAAGCCATTGGAGTCTCATAAAGTCACTTGTATGCAATATTGAACAAATCAGTATTGACGAAAGTTGAAATAAAAGCCCAATTGATGCACTCTGGCTGCACTTATTTGCACCATAAATGTATATGTGTTGTTGTTAGTTGTTGTTTTTGAATGGCTCGCTACTCTCAAAAGGGCAAGGAGGGGGGTTTAGAACTTAAAGAATGTTATCAAAAGGGAAAAACGTATGCAGCGTTTAGGGAATAAATGGGAGTGAACGTTTTATTTATTGGTTGATTGACTGATTGATTGATTGATTGATTGATTGGTTGATTGATTGACTGACTGATTGATTGATTGACTGATTGATTGATTGATTGATTGGTTGATTGACTGACTGATTGATTGACTGATTGACTGGTTGATTGATTGATTGATTGATTAATTGATTGATTGATTGCAGCCACTTCAGAAGAAATACATGAGACTCTCTACTCAAGTCACCATTGGCTTAATACAAAGATTTTTGGACTCTAAACTACACTTGGAATCTGCGAACATGGTAAAAATATTGCAGTTTAGTTTGTCTCTTTTAAACCTAAATCGCTGCTCGTAAGACGCTTTGCGCCAAAAGTGAAACGCGCCTACCTGAAGTCGAAACACGCTTATCATATCACTTCATTTACACCCGTATTCCAGACTTTTTCTTTTTACCAGTGCTCGCATTCATGGCCAACGCAAAATACAGCTGTTTTGCTGTATACATATGTGGCCAGAAATGGTGATGGTGGAAAAAACAAAACAAAACAAAACAAACAGTCACATTATTAGAGACCCAAGAGATAGATAATGAAGCCAGGGAAAATTTCTAAAAGCAGAGGGTAAGAAATGGGTGCCGTTGAGTTTTTTCCCTTTTGGGACTGTTCTTCGCCTTACTACAAATTCGTGCTTGGCTCTATGAGGATGACAAAACGCATGATTTTTACGCTGTGTATAGATTGCAACTGGCAGTCCGCCTTTGAATCCGTCGAGTTCTCTTCCGTGGGCATACGCCCTCGTTTATCGCGGCTTGCGTCTGCGTCGCCTGCCGCTCGCGTGCCACGGTTTAGCGTGGATTAACTGAAAAGTGAAATAAGATACTACGCGCACAGTTTACTCTGTCCAGTATTTAGACGCCAAATTTATTTGGTCGACGAGTCTTCTGATCGGATAGTGTAGATATTAGTTGTCCTTGATCACAAGTTCGTTATACAACTGATTGATTCGCTTGAAAAGTATATACCATGAACGATGGGACCTATTGGATTTATTGGTAGAATTTTATCACCGTTGCAAATTTAGAGTTCTTTCCAGAAAAGTATACATGCATGATTATCGATGCTTTTCGCGACGGGAAGCTCGCATCTTCACCTTTGGCGGGCACTTCAGTGAGATGTCTATGGTTAAAGAGGGTAGCCATATTGCTAACCCACTCTTGACCCAAAAGCGTTCTTGGAAGACATAAAAAGACCACGGCATGCTATAAAAAAATTACCCTAGGCATTTGCATCTGCACCAGCTGCTCGTGACAATGAACCCTCTGTTGAAAGAAGTTTGAATTCACTTTGCTCTAGAAGTATACCCTTATCGTTGATGGTTTATACTTTTTAAGCGACAGTTTTTCAATGAGGTATATTCAATGTAATTCACACGCTTGCTAATGACATGTCTCCTGTTAGGTTGGTATCCTGTTTGAAAAGACGGAAATGGGGAAAGATTTAACGCTAAAATACATCATCGAAAATCTCTAGACCCAAGAGGTATGGTTATTATTTTTTTTTAACTAAGGGCTTGTTTACATGGAGGTGGGGGACCCCAGGTAGGTGAGGTAACATGTGGCAGGTTACCTCACCTACCTGCGGTCCCCACTCCATGTAAACAGGTCCTTAATTTTTGCTGACTATTAAGGTAACGTTACACGGGACAATTGGCAACGACGATTTTTAGCGCAATACATTGTTGCGATATTGTTTTGAATGGTTGCAGCATTGTTTCAACATTGCCACGCTTTGTTGCGCTAAAAGTCGTCGTTGCGTATTGTCCCGTTACCTCTAGTCTTCTATGCTGCCCTTTATGAGGGACTTAAAGATCCGACGACGGTGAAAACGCCGCAGAAAAACTGAATTCCCGTTTTTTTAATCTTCATCGCGATCATTCCAATCTACTTACTTTCCCCTGAAATTGAATTCTTAAGAACCATATCCAAGTTCAGAAAGAGTAGGAAAATCTCCTCTTCGCTTGTTTACGCCCTCCATATAACGTGAAGTTAGGCATTTTCACGTGCAGTGAAGACGGCAAAGAAATTGCCCTGGATGCCCTAGAATTTTTTCATCCTAGGTCATTTCGAGGGCGGACTTCTGGAGCCAGGATCCAAAACGAAGTGTTCTTTACATGCAAAGTTGTTGTTTTGCTTATTAAAGGAGCTATGTCACGAGGATATTGTTGTTTAAGGTCCATTTCTCGCTGAAGTCATAACTTAGTGCCTTCACCCAAACACAAAATGCTCCCGTAGAATCAGTTATGAAGAAGATGTCAAACAAATTTGACCAGGGAGCACCAACCATAATAATTAATTGTTTTGTGATTTTTACAGGCATAGCATTAAAACTCGAAAAAGTTGGCCTAACTTTTTTAAGTTTCATTCCATGTGTTCATCCTTGCCATTGCATCCTTAGCAACAGACGATGGGAAATAGTTTCAGTGCCTGAATAAAGTCATAAATAACAAAACTGGACCTTTATTTTTGCGAAGACATAGTCCCTTTTAACCTGATGCTTTTTTGAGGTTCTCGTTGCCTTCGTCGTCGTTGCAGGACCTCAAGGTCTATTAAGTCATGCAATGCAACTCCCTACAGGAGAAAGAAGCTGCCTTGTACCCAGTCGTCTCTCTCTTGATGAAAATTTGCGCGCAAAGGAAGGCGGGAAGCAACCTCGTTCCCAGGGTTCTCTCCTACCTGTCCCTCTCTCGCTCCGTAGGGACGGGTAGGACAGAACCCTGGGAACGAGGTTGGGTCGGAAGGAGAAAACGCGCGAGATTTCGCCTCTCTTCTTTCTTCTGTTCCTTTGCCCTTTGTCACCAGTCACTCGCGTGTCACTCGCGTTTCGCGCTTGCGTCTCCTCGAAAAACGAGGCGCCTTAGGAGAGGCAGAGAAAGAAGTGTTCCGAGCCTTTTTTACTCGCACTCACAACATTTTTTTCCATTTCAGGAAAATTCTTCTGGACTACTGATTCCACATTACAGAGCAGTGGATGTAAAAACCTGACTCATCGGGCAGTGCATGGTGTCAGAAACAGAATAATTTCTTCTTGCTTAGCACAGTTGATTAATACTCGCATCAGCCGAGTAATATTTGTGAGGATAGGAACAAGATGTCCTTGAAAAATTGCGTGCTCAAAACAGTTTTAAAGAAGTTCTTCAGCCCGCATTCATTGCTGCATTCCCCCCCACCCCCACCTTTCCCCTTTAAAAAATGTTTATCTTGCATTTCTGTACATTACAACTTACCCCTCATACTTTATGACCAATCACACATCTTGTTTTATAGAAGGCTAAAAGTGTGTTTACAGAAAAGTAAAAACAACGAGTAAATGTTACTGAGTCTTTCTCTAAAGTAGAGCTAGCAAAACGGCTCAAGGTGTAACACTTGACCTGAAAGACTTGGGATGTTCAAGACCCACCCCTCCCCGTAACCCAACGTTGACAATAACTTCCCACTTAGAACAAAATGTTGTGTTTGGGGAGGGGTAGGTGGCCAGTTTCTCCAGAATCTTACACTGATCCAAATCTTCCTAAGAGGAGGAAGGGAAGAAACGATCGCTATCTGACTTCTCCGAAACGTGGGTCCTTTTGGAAGAAAATAACCTCCCTTGAAATGTATGCAGTAGCATTGCTATTGGCCTGGGAAACAAGCGTTTCTGCAGCGTTTAAGCGGGGTTTGATGCGCCAGCGAGCGTCTCCAAAATGTAGGTGTGTCTTGTGTCTTGCTTTACGTAGCACGGTCCGCAAGACCACGAAACTACTATTAACCACAGCGTGTTCAGTGATTGCCTTGGTGTTGTTCTGGTGCGTTGATGGTCGGTTAGGAAAATATCGCGCCAGTGTCGTAACCAATCACAGGTTTACAGTCAAACCAAGTCAAGCGTACACCCCAAGAATACATTAATGAATTTATTATAAATTCAAAAGTTGAATCCGTTGGTAGTTGTAGATTTCAGATTGATCTCTGCACTCTTGCATGTGTAATGAGCCGTGAATTCACACGCGAGGCAGTTATGAAATTTCTACCAGCTCCGTTTTCCTTAATTTGATGTAAATGCCTTTTAAGAAACTCAATCCATTCAAAGATTTTCAATCTGACCAAATACAGAGAAGTTCTCGTAAAATATTCACTGCTCATTACGCATGCAGAAATGCCGCTTTGAATTTGACACCAGTTACGGGAGCGACTAACGGATTCATTTTTCAAATAATCAATTCAGTAATAGAATCTTGGGGGGTAAGCTTGACCTATCTTGACTGTAATCTATACAATACGGACTTATTCACAACCAGCATTTTCGCACCACAGTGTTCTAAAGCGATGACGTCACAAAAATACAATTTTGGAAATTATTGAATTTGTTGGGATATTTTGAAAGAACAACATTTGGCCTTCTGGCCAAACAATAGCATTGTGGGGCAAATTGTCTCGACTCGAAGATTCTAGTCCCGTTTTGCTCTGATGACTCCACACAAATCCTTCTAAATTTGACTCGGTGCCTGATGTTATGAACTGAGTCGAATTTAGCAGCCTGAATTTAGAAGGATTTGTACAATTGGAGTCATCAAAGCATAACTGGGCTAATTTGCCGTGGAATGCTAATTTTTGGCAACTAGTCGCTTTGGATGTTCTCTCATAATACCCCGAAAAATCCCATAATTTCACAAATTTATTTTTTATGACATCACACTTTACTATTGCCTTTGATTAGATTGCTCGACTCTGTGATTGGCTGGCCCTGGCTGGACAAAGATTAGTGTTTTTTTAAGTCTGACCACACTCGACTGAAATTCAGAGCTGAAAGGCTAATTTATTCACAAACTGCCTGTCCTCCTAGTAAAAATCGTTTAACCTTTTTCTTGACCCTCTAACTTCCCAAGAGTGCAATAACCAAAATTCCAAAATTTTATGCGGTAAAAAATAAATAAATAAGCAAATGACGAAAAAATATACCAACCATGGTAAAAAAGGCTGAAGGAATTTCATCTGAATGGTCCGAACATGATTTTATGCACTCTCGAAACTTAGAGCTACATTCTTAAAAATGACTAAAAATACATTGACTCAGCGACGCCCATCTGTACACTAATGAGGGTGGTTGTAATTGCATTGTTTACATAAACTTAACTTAGACCCTGTTTACATGGAGTGGGGGACCCCGGTCTAGTGGGGTAAGTTTCTTTTGTTTTGTGTCCCCCAGAGCGTGAAAACAAAAGAAACCAACCCCACTAGACCGGGGTCCCCCACTCCATGTAAACAGGGTCTTAGTCTTAACGGAGGACGGAGAGCTTCCCACTATCTACGTCTCTAGAATTTTAATTCCACCTCCAATTCCCCAGTGGCTCATCAGCGCGAATCGGAAACGAGGGCGAATGTAAACAAACATTAAAAAACACATACCAAGTGTAATGACACCATTATTAATGACATCTCTGCCAATCAGTATTTCGCATTGACTTTTTCGATGCAAATATTCAAATTACAGAGACGCAGTTGCAAGCTCTCCTTTCTTTTCCTGCCCCGTCGCCAGAGCGCCCTGGAAAGTTTGCACGCAGACTAGATATATACATAATGTCCTTCCCACTATGCTCTCTATCTGCAACACAATATTCATCTCAACATTTACCCTTGTACATTTTTAGCTTGCCGCGTTTCAATTTCATCCTTGGTGCTGATTTCACTTTTCTCTGCGTTTATAGGAAAAATAAAATTTGCATCAAGGAGCAACACATACATCTCTCACTTAACAACGCTATTCCAACTTGTAACAAACAAAAGACAAAGTCTACCTGTGTGGGTTCAAAAATATATATATTAAAAAATAAATTCCGCAAAAAAAAATGTTAACACTGTACATAGACTGTTTTCAATAAAAGTACACACTACTTGACAAGCGTTAGTTATGATTGGTCGAGTTAGTCGATAGTATTCAAGACAACCATTAACCAATCATAACTAACGATTATCACCCCAAACGATCCCAGGACTCTTTGCGCCGAGAGCTTGTACCCATTCCTCTTTTAGTTTCTGGAATGGGGAATGTCAGTGACGAGTCCATCACATGCACTAAAAACATCTCTATACACTAGTTTCGTTTCGCTGTGGTTCTGGAGTCGTGCGCTTGAGATAAGGTACAGGAACAAACACAGCTGACGAAGGCTGCTCAGCGCCCCACTCTTTCTGCTTAGGTTTCGATCGCTCATCTTTCCAAGAAGACATGGAAGACCGAGGGGTTCGCTCTTTCGGCGTTTTCACCTGGTTTCACTAGAAAAGCTCTGCTAGCACTTTTCTGTGATTGTGATCTTGTTTCGCCAGCAGCTCGATTAGCACGACGAGACTGGCCATCAACTTTTCTTGTTTCAATACCAAGATTGTGGTGTATTTCACGTGTAATATTTGATAAGGATTACGCCGTCTTCGACCAGAAACCATGAACTCCGGTCGGCTGTTCTAGCTCGAGTCCTGGCTTTTATGTTAGTTTATCTCACTATTTTAGGCTTAAAATCTCTGAAATACGTTCCCAAAAGCAAAGTTGAATCTTTAATTTAGATTGCAAAAGATCATGGAAGGTCAAACTCGCGCACGAGCCACTGATTACTCCCATCAACGTTGAAAAGCGCGGTACAATCCAGAAAATCTTCTTTTAATTAACACTAATTAGTTTTCCTTTAATGAACGTGTGAGATGAAAAAGAGGTGGAATGAAAACCTTACAATGGATCCACAGTAAAATTATACTAAAGCAGAAAGGTCCAATTTATTTAGATTATAGCTGTTTAAGTCCTGAAGGGGTCAGAAAATAACAGAGTTTCTATGGTCACAAGAAACCATCCTTAAGGTAGGGTGGAAGGTAGTTTACAAGACTATTAGCATTCGGTGCAATGTTAGTTGTTTTTTTAACCCTTTAAACCCTAAGATCAAAATGTGAATTCCCATTTGTTGCCCCTATTCATTTCCTACAGAAGTAGTGAGGAGAAGTTGATAAAATATCAAGCAAATTCATCTTGTGTGATCATGTCCATAATTCTGATGACCACTCTGTTTTACAAAACATTGATATTACAAGGAGAAATTTGATGCTGATCACTCCAAGGGCTTAAAGGGTTAACCAAGTAGACAGTAGTTTGATGTTTTTTTTGTTGAAACTGATTCTAAAGTTAAACCGGTCCCTGATATCTTCTAACTTTTACCACGCATTCACAAGTTCTACAGTCATGTATCTTCTTTGCCTCTGGTTTGGACCTTATTTCAGAAGCCAAGTCAGAGTTATATTTAGGCCTAAATCCCTCCGCCACGGACCAGGGACTGGGCCGGTTAGGAAGAATTGTGGGTAGCCTTTTTGAGATATGTCCAGTTGTACGTTGCAAATTTGAATCAATCTAGGTCAGCATTCATTCGAGCTCCTAACTTTTGTTTTATTTGCTATATTTCAAGTGTTATATTTGTTTGTAGGCTTTTGGCAGCTAGTTTTTGCCTACCTCTACCCCCGAGTTGCATTGTACGCCGGCACCGCAGCTGATTTCAGCAGCTGGGGGCGTACTTTCCCTTTTTTCCACAAGTGGTTTTGGGTTTTCGTGTCCGGCGGTGTCGTACTGAATTTCATTCGAGGTTTTTGTTTTTCATTGCGCGTACTGTAATTAAGTGTGGTCTTGTAATCTTACGGAAATAAACTGACTTTGAGGTCCTTGCTAACCTACAGGAAAAAGATCTTTTCCATCACCCAGTTCGTCCCGTAACTGCCCGCGCGGATCCACGCCCTTGTATACTGCTTGTAAGGTCCTCAATTTTAGCGTTCAAGGACTAATGACTTTGTCATCTAACTTTCGTAAGAGTGAAAAATCTATCTTTCACACCATGCCAGGATAAAAAGACAAAAAAAAAGAAACGTTGAGCCCAAAATGGTCATGAAAATCCTCCACTAACCACCTGCACTTTCTTCCTTCTAATCCCGTAACTCTTGAGTTCCCCAAAACGTTACCCACGGAAATGTGGCCTAGTAAATACCCACGACCAAAAAACTGAACGAGAATAAAGAAAAACGAGAGGAGGAGAGGAGAGAAAGCGATAGGTAAAATAGCCACGACTTTTTAACCCAAAATATCGAAATTTTCCTTCCTGTGCACACCCGTGCTTCCGAAGTCGATATTTTGCAACTGGAATAGAAGGCGTAAAGTGTTCGACCTGTAGACGACGTTCCTGGCAGTTTTGGCTCTTTATAGGCAGACAGTGAGCAGACAACGGCTCGTCTAGCCTCAAAACGCCTTTATTCCAGAAAAGCTGAGCTGGTTTTGAAAATCTGAGCGCTAGAATACTTCTTGTATCTAACTGGCAATGTGTAAAACGACGGTTATTAAAATAACGCCATTACTGAATACTTTAGACATTGCTAAGTTCATCGATCAGCCAATAAAAACTCGCGTTTCTTGCATAAGGAATCACCGTTCAAAGCCTATACATTCTTTAACTTCTCTTTCCCTTTGCTGATTGCTCAAGCTGTGCTCATTATAATGCATTACGTTGAGACAGACAGAAATACAAGCCATGCCACAGATTCATTTTTGTAGGATTTTCGTTTAAAAAAAAGTACACAACCTCTTAGTGTTCCAAGCACATCTTTATTGCAACTAATCGCCGCGATAACAAAGCTGTTTTCTAACATTTCACTTAATCAACTAAAAAATTGACGTTATTGTATCAGTCCCTTCCTATAAAAACCCCTTCTCAACGGATAGACAGTATTACGCTTATAAAGTTCCCGTTATTACTTAGATTAGCAATTGAAATGTTTTAGTTCTTCACTACACAAAATATCTTCTTTGCTTGGACCTGACCTTATGGCCCCTGCTCTATACCCACTTGTACAGGGCGCTGTTTATGTTGTGCTTCCGGCGATTGTAGTAGTTTGCCACTGCAAGGTAAGTATGACCTTTGTATTCAAATGACGTCATACCAAAAGCCCCTTGGGTTGGAATCTCTTGGTACTTGATGAACTGCGCTCCAGAGGCCTGGTACACAACTGACTTGGTGTTGTACTTCTGACTATCACCATAGTGATTAGCCACACCAAGGTAAGTTTGAGCGCTGATCACAAATGGACTCCATGCGATGGCTCCTCGAGTAGGAATGGACTGGAACAGGACAAACTTGTTACCATTCCACTTGTAAATGAACGAATTGGTGTTGTGTTTACTTCCAGAGTGGTAGTTGGCAAAAGCGAGAAACGTGTGACCGTTGATGTTGAAAGACTTCACATCGTACGCTCCGTAAGTCTGAAGAGACTGCAGTTTAACAAAGTGACCTCCTGACCACTTGAACACAGTGGACTGAACAGAATACTTGTGTTGGGAGTTGTAATGATTTGCAAAAGCGATGAATGTGTCACCGTTTATCACAAACGCTGTACATCCCAAGGCACCTTCAGTTGGTATGTCTTGAAATCTGTTAAACTTGCCGCTGCTCCATTTGTAGATAACTGACTTTGTAGAGTAGGTACTTCCATCATGGAAGTTGGCTACTGCGAGATAATTTTCCCCGTATACCTTGAAATAGGTGAAGTGGCTTGCTCCTCTCGTTGACAATTTCTGAAAGTCGACAAACAGCTTTCCATTCCATTGATAAACTGTAGAATCCAGCCGGTAAGTTCCATCGTAATGATTAGCGACAGCAAGAAAATGTTTGTTGTCAATAGAAAAGTACTTCAGGCCATACGCTCCTCTTGTCTGCAGGGTCTGGTACAAAGACAGTCTTGCGGTTGATTTGTCCATCTTGTAGATCATGGAACCTGTCTTGTGTTTTTTAATGTCCCCATGATAATTGGCAAAAGCAAGAAACAAGCTTCCATCAATGATGAAATGTTCCACATCTACTGCTCCTCGGGTTGGAAGATCTTGAACTTTCTCAAAGAAGTGGAATCCAATAGAGTAATCTTCCACAAGAAAAAATAATGATAAAAATCTTTCTTATCAAGTAATTACAAGGAAAAAAACTATTCAGAATAAATCGTTAAAGAAATTTACTCAAGCGTTGTGGTCTTGCAATAACGATAGACAAGCCATGTTTTTATGAAATTAAAATCCGAAAACTCTACTTGCCAATTAATCAGTGTGCTCATATATTGTAGACAACAGTAAGAAATCATGCTCTTACCGGTTAAACAGCACCTTGATTTGCTCTAAAACACAAAATAACAAGGAAAAATACAATTAAATAACAAAGCTTACAATCTTGTTATGTACAATCCTAGACAAAAGCTCTAGGGACAGTCATGCAGTATTGGGTGCCCTTGTAAAAAAGTGCATTTTCTCGCAGTTCTCCCTCCGTTCACCCTTTGCAATGTTGAAACTCGGAAAAATTCTGCATACACGAGTCCAACGTTGTTTGGAGGGGTAGAGAAGGGGTTGGGAACGAGTGAATTGAAAAAAGCCCCACAAATGCAAATGTTTCGCAAGACTTTTGTCCATGATTGTAGTGATATATGCTATAAGGTGGAACACCTGTACAGTTAAGTTTTTCTAACAGAAATATCCCTTGATCGGACATAAAGAGATGGAGAAAGGCTCTCGCTTTCAAAATGACATTACGCTAATTTTAAAAAATGACATCATTTTTTAAATCTGACCTTAGTAAACATAGGCTTCGAGTATCACTTTGTTCTTCTTTCCTTAGCCTGGTGGGGCATGCAAGCTAATTTGTATTCGACTTTTAGAATACTCGATTCACTCACTCGATTCGTTCCATTATTCACGCGGCCAAAACCAAAAATCCCGTTCCTCGGTCTTTTTTTCCTCCGAAACCGCACGGAAACGCTTTGCTACGCAGGCTATGGTTAAATCAATATGGCTTATCTTTCTTAACTAGCATCTCCCAAAATCAAACACCAAGAGTCGGTCCCTGAGGTAGTTCAGTCATTTTCCCAAAAGTACACTTAATAAACTTGGACACCTTTCAAAAGAAGGACACTGGATTCTTCCAAAACGCGTTTTTCCATGGAAACGCACTTAAGAGGGAATACAGCCATTGAATATGACAGTAATGATGATCTGGGAAGCTTTATTTTATTGATACAATAAAGTTTCTGCTATCAGGGGTTTTCAGTTTTTGCTAGGCAAAAATCAATTGTTGCCTAAAGAAAGAGTAATTTAATCAATGTGGCTTATTGTTATAAGGATTTATAACTATCACCTAAGGCAACAAAGAATGAAAATCTGGAAATTGTTCTAAGGCAGTAATTGTAACCTTTGTATCACACGTTCCCGGAACTCCTTTTTGTCCTTGTGATCCCTTCTCTCCTTGTAATCCTTTGTTACCACGAGATCCTTTCTCACCCTTGTAAAAAAGTATATTTATATAGTAATAAATTATACATATAAATACTTGTATTCTTGGTAGAATGTATTTCGCAGAAGGCTCAATTCATTTGATTGGAAAGCAGTGACTATGACTTCACAGGAGTTCAGGCTTCAGGAGTAATCACCGTTTATTGCGACAGTGCTATTTCGTATGGTCCGAAATTATAGCACCACGCACTCATCAGGCAACTTCAACGATTGACCGTTGAAAATTAAAAGCTGGCAGTAAAATTTGGACGGTTGTTATATGGAGATGTGTTACATTCAAGAGATGGTATCTAAAATCAGCGACAAAATTGGTGAGACATCACATTGTACTCAAATACGGTAACTTAGGAGAACAAAAGAATCCGCGCCCCTCCCCTGTCCCCTCCATTCAAAGTTGGGGTGTTTGTTGTTTTCTATAGGTAGCTCGAACATCGGCACAACATTGTATGGAGGGGATGGGCGAGGAAAAGCTATATTTCCTCCTTTTGAGGTTAGTAAAACGCAAAAAAGCCCAGTTTTGGGCAAAGTGTCTCAACTCATTTTGTCGCCGATTCATGCCGATTGTAGGTAACAGATGCATTGTGTCTTAGTTACGTTACTCTAAAGTTCCGGAGTACATATTTGTTTCTGTGGGGGCATGAACTCGCTAGTTCGTTTAGCCTGTTAAGGCTACACAGCTGTTTTTTTTACAAATGATGATGAATTTTTCATAAAGGGAAAAATTACATTTTTTGCTACTGTTGTTGTAGGGTTTACATTTCTTTAAAACTTTCCATTTTATCTGGAAAGGTTTCTTGGTGTCTTTAATTGTAAGGTCCAAACATATTTTGAGAGTTCTGTTTCATTTCTGGTGATTTCTGTAATGTTCCCTTAATAAAGTTTGTTGCGAATCCGACGTAAGTTTCAGTTGTTGTCGCTGTGGTTACTGTGGCTTGGTAGATTCAACAACAACAACAACGAGTGGACTGTCTGGTTTTTTTCTGCAATTGCAGGTGTCAGGTTGAAGCGGTGGTGAGTTAAAACGTGAAAGAGCGTGCTTGTTGTGTGACGAGATGACAGATTTCATGTTTGGCATGCATAAGTAGCTCAGTTGTAAACGCATCCCTATAACAACCATCAAAATTTTACTGCCAGCTTTTAACTTTTAACGGTCATCGTTGAAGTTACCTGATGACTGTGATCCTATATACTTTCAGACCATACGAAACAGCACGTAATAATACATAGAGCGGATATTACATGGCCGCGCGGGGATACGAATTTTATCTTCGAGTAAGAGATACTTTCACCACAAGAAGATAAAATTCGCATCCCCAAGCGGCCATGTAATGTTCTGTTTATTTTATAGATACTGATGAAATTCCTACATAAAACACAACTTTTTTTAAAATTTTCGAAACAGCAAAATAGTGCAATTAAAGTGGTCACCTATCGCGAAATGCCAGTCACAAAAATGTTATGAAACTCGGATATAAAGTTATAAAGGAGAAATAAAGACAATAATACTTTAATAGTAACCAGAGCGGGAAGCTCTCTTGTAATTAGTCAGGTCTCTTAGTGCAAAATATAGGCCGGATCGTTACAGACGTGACAAAAGTGTCAAATTTGGCACAGAGCTTCCTTAGCACCTACCGATTAATACTGGAGGGGGTGTCCGTTACAAATGGTCCTAATTACAGATAAAAGGGGGGGTTAACTTTCACCTATGATAGCAGATTGGGTGCCCTGTGGTGAGTACTCTTCTTGTTTGATTTGGCTAAAAAACATTTGTTGCAAATTTTTAAGTTTTTAATTTGGTAATGTTTAGTCGTTGTTACACTATTCAAAATTTTCTTACATGTACATAATACTGACTAGTGGCCAGTCTCCACACGGTAAGTGTGGCCATGTTCATTGTGCGGACTGTGCGGCTATCAGTGTCACTGCTAAGACTTGCCAGTGATAATATCATTACATATCAATTTAAACAGATCACAAAGCCAGCTTTCAAAGATGTCATACAATAACATAAAACTCAAATGTATCACATCCTAAACGATAGAATCGTTAAAGTTTGAAATGCCACATGAACGACGTCATGAACCGTAACTGACAACGCGTCCACTTTGTAATTGTGCAGGTAAGATTAGATTATAATTTGCTTCGTTGGTAACCCTGTGCTTGAGATAATGATTAAAACATGTCAACCTCGTCCTCAGGGAGAAAAGGAGGAGCAAGGGTGGCACAGTTGGTTAGTGCGCAGCCTTCGGGGCGAGAGGTCCCGAGTTCGAGCCCGGTGTCAACACATCCTTATTTCAACTTCTCTCCTTTCGGTGTAGCTTTGACTAGCTTTAAATACCCTTACAACGGAGCATTAATGGAGAGAGGGGGTAAAAGGAGCGCCTCAGTTATTATTACTGTCACGAGTTATTGACGTAAAATATGGTCGCTTTACCTTTTTCTACCTTTTTATTAAGCCCTGAGGACGAGGTTGTAAAACATGCCTCTCCAGGAATTTTTAACACTCTTTATTTTTTGCACATTTGCATTTAAAAAGAAGTGTATGAGGTCCCTGCATGCCTATACACCTGTAAGCGGCTCATTCACTTCAGAGCCCTTGAACCAGAGTGTTCAAAAAAAAGGAAGGTCGTCGCGTGCGTTACAATTTACAAACAAACTAACTTCAGAAGAGCTGAAATTTACAGGAACAAGGCCTCTTTTAGCCAACCAATGATGCATCATTTATGAAAATGAATGTAATTTGTTTGATGCAATTAGGCGAATACCCCGTGGTTACGAAATCTTACGATCATGAATTCCTCAAGAGCAATTCAGTTACCAACTTTTCGCAAAATAATGCTGTGGAAAATTACATAAAATACCAAAAAAGCAAGGGTCAACAGTAATTATGGCCTGGTCCCTTATAATAATGGAGTGGTCATGATAAAGAAGCCCATCAGCCCCAACGTTGACCACTCAAACAGATTTTTGACAGATTACATACTGCAAAACTTTGCATTCACTTATGCCTATGTTGCCACACCAGGAGCCTAGAAATCGGTTCCTGGTCACACCTTGTTTTTATTGCTGAATATCATTCTAAAGAGCTTTACGAAATATTTTGTTAGTAGGGGTGTTTTGAACATGATTGATATTTAGAGATGGTGACAAAAACGAACACAGAAAAAGTCACGAAACAAGACGCATGAAACAAGCGCAATCTAATATTCGTTTTACACCGATATAATGGCTTCTTTGGCTGCTATGCTGACGTTCTTGAAGATGGCCAGTAGTATCACAGCTAGTCCCGGGTTAGTTATACCGTTTATTACCAGTTTCACGGTTCCTGAGACTTAGGGCGTGTTAACATAAAGGTGGGGGACCCCAGGTAGGTGAGGTAACCTGCTTAGGTGGGGTAAAAAAATAACCCTCCTTTACATGCAATCTTACAACCCCGCCATCCTGGGGTGCAGTTTCTCAAGATTATATGAATGGTCGCTAACCATGTAAACAAGAAAAATGCTGGCATATCACGTCTACGCTCAATTGCTGCTCTTGCTGCAACCTTCATTGTTGTGGCTTTCTATTGTTACCTTTAATAATTATGTGAAGCCACCCAGTGCCAAAGTGAATTTTGCGCGAATTTGATGTATCTCGAATCCGACCCCGACTAGCTTGGGTTTCCTCACCTTGAAACGTTGACATGGCAAAATTTGACCTCAGCTGAGAGGGTTACCTGGTGTGGCAGACCGGGCTACCCACCTTGAAGGGTGACCCCACCTATCATGTAAACGTGATCAAATTAAAATGAGAGATTATATGGACAGGCGGGTTACCCCACCTAAGTGGGTTACCATTCCTACCTGGGGTCCCCTTCCTCCATGTAAACAGGCCCTAAAAGTTAGCCCGGCCCCCTTTCTACAGTGTCAGCAGTTAAACTATTCACCATTTATCATTTGAGTCAATCTTGTACCACTTGAGTCTCACTTTTACGACTTGATAAGCTGTTATCATTTTTGGACATAAGTGCTTCAGTGCCAAATGTAGAGGCTTCATGATAAACTGTGCTGTTTTTTGAAGCTTGGGCTAACTTGTTTCTTTTTTTCGTTTATGAGACCAGATTCTTTTTTGTTTGTTTTTGCTTTGTAAAGCTTAGACAAACTGCGGAAATTGTAAATGATATGACTTGTGCCACGGTGCTTGCTTCTCTGTCAAAACATGCACTTGCGTCCAGCAGATAACTGGATAAAGAGAGACTGAAAGGCATCCAGGCCTATGTTAAGCTGAAAAATTAATTACCTCCCTAGGAAAGAACTATTTTGGGTTCTGTCATTTCGTTATTTGCTCTTCATGAATAGCTGTCATAAATCCCTGATAATATGTGATACAACAGACTCTTTGACAATTTCTTTTTCCTGAAATTTTGTTTGCTTTCTTCAGCTTAAAGTGACATGTAATGACAAGTAATACTTGATAAATAAGGCTTAAGCCACACAATAAGGCCTCCTCTAATTGAAATACATTAGAAAAGGAGAAGAGAACCCAGAAGCTGAGTACTTGCAAGTTTAATATGAAGCCAAGACGAGGCCATCTTAGACATGACTTATGAAAATGTGGGCGGACTGTGGACTTGCTTTAAGGGCACAGTAATAACCAACTTAATTATACAATCAATGAGCAAAAATGGATGGGAATGCCAGATGTTCGAGTGAAATTGTTGTTTAAAACCTAAGAATAGAATTCAGAGTGATTTAAGGTATTAAATAACAACTTTCAATCAAAACACCACAGGGACCCCAGCAGGTGAAATTTACAATAATTAAATCCTGTTTAGCACGCTTCAGTGGCATATTTGCAGTGGGCACCCCCTCTAATATTCATGGTACTGCAATAAGCTATCGCTGTGCAAAGTTTGGTGCTTTTGTCAACTCTGTAACGATCCTGACCCTAAGAGACCTGACTAAATTGGCCAATCATGTTAGTAACCATCAAGCAACACCAATATCCTCACACATGAAAGATAAAAATAGTATCTTCACTGCGCGCGATGAAGATATGATTTTTAGTAAAAGGAAAAATCCTGGTATTTCATCAGTATCTATATAATAAAACTAAAGATCTCGATTGAACTTTAAAAACTGATCTCCACATTTACAGCTGCAAAGAAGCAGGAACATTAAAGAAAATTAAATGAGTGGTTTGTTGCTATATGGATAAAGAATGTACATCTGCTTTTCTTTTTGTCTTGGACACTGAAAATTAGTCATTTCGGTCCTCAGCCTAAGAAGCATAAATTTACGCTTACTTTAACACCACCATTACTGTTTTTATCCATTCCGGGTTCTCCTTTCTCCCCCTACGACAGAAATAATAAGAACCACACAAGATAATAATAATTATAACAATAATTAATAATTAATAATAATAATAATAATAATAATAATAAGTAATTAAATAAAGCTATTAAACAGTAATAAAATAGTGACAATGACGATGATGAAGATAATAGATAAGAACTGAAAATAATAAAAGTACGAAACAAATTAAACTAATGATCAGATGAAATTAATTTTAAAAGACAGGAAACAGGGTGGAATAATCTAATTTAAAGTCCAAGCCTGCAGATTTTAAGGTTACTGAAGACGGTTTGATAGGTTGTTGATCATTACCATTCATTAAGGTCAGTTATTTAAGACTCGTTGCTGGTATTGTAAAGGCCCTTTGGTAATAAGAGTAGAAAGTTACCAAAACTTTTGTAATCATCAAAGCAACGTTTTTCAAATTAATCTTATATCGTATTTCTATTATTTTATTTTTTAAAGCAACTTCTAAGCATTCTTCTCAACTTGTCCTCACACTTTTTTCTTTAAAAGCTCATTGGCTACTTATCTCCTCATGATTAAAATGTTAACGTGCATAGTAAATGCATAAAGCAGTTTCTCAAAAAACTCTCTTCTGCAACCTTAAAGTTAAAATAAGCAACAATGTTAAAGGAGCTGATGCTAAGAGAATAGCTAGTTTGGTGGTCTTTACTGTGGTGAAGATCAAACAATAGTAACTATTACTGTTAACTGATCTGGTTATGATTTTTATGATTTTACATTGTTCAACTTAAATTTATATTCAATGACGTTTTATGGAAGGATATGGATCCAAAAACCAAAACCTTCATTTAAAAAGCAGTATATGTCAATAATACCTTAACGCCAGCATTTCCATCTTTTCCTGACATCCCTGTTTCTCCTTTTTCTCCCTAACGTAGACATTTTCAAATAAATATGAAACCAAAACTGTGAAAACTATCACTGAAAAATAACCACTAATTTAATTTATCTACTCTCTATATTAGCTTCTGTCTCAGTGGCAAATAAGGACAAAAATGTTGGCGCTTGGTTGAATGTGGAAGGTGAAGAACCACTTCATGGACATACAGGTACTACCACTAAAATGAGTTTTTTATCAATAAAATTTTATTTATCATAACAAAAAAATTAGGAATCAACACATAGTGCACTTTTTTTGTTAGTTTAAGTAACCAAAACAGCTCCATGCCAACTATTTAAATTTAGCATTTTGGTCTGAGTTTATCTATACACCTGCTTAGTTAACGCGTTAACACTGTTATAACCATAGAATAGGACAAGGAAGGTTACACTTAACATGAATCTTAACCCAATCGTCCTTAAACCCCTCGTGACTGCCCATAAGGGTCCACGTCCCTTGTATCACTTGCTTCTGCACATGCCCGAACTTCAGAAGCTGATATTTTGCATCTGGAACAGAAGACCTTGTAGTGCACAACCTCTAAATGGTTTTTTGGTACATTTTAGCTCTTTATTACCAGACAGTGACCAGAAAATGGTTTTGACAAGCTTCAAAGCATTTTTTAGCAAAATTCCGAGGGGTAAATGGGTTAGCTAATCTCTAATAATGTTATAGTTCATTATTACCTAGGTCCTCCTTTATAGGGAGTGGAGGTGGGGGGATTATCAGGCTCACAAAGACTTTTTCAAGGCCTGACACTAAATGAAAAATAGACATATTTTTGAAAGGGGGAACTCAGCTGTTACATGGTTGTCACAGACATCAATTTTATACTTTACAAAAACGATTGATTCCCTGCAAGACTTCCACAACCTTTTGACGACAGCATATTGCCAACATTTAAAGTGTAAACAAGATAGGTATAAGTACATAAAAAAACAATGAAACTGTGAAATTATAATAATATGATTATTAAACTGAGGTACAGGTGTATGAAATACAATTTATTCACATTTGTATAGAACCACTTCAAAAAAAATTAGCAGGTGCTGTTCCTCTTACTGGTTACTGCACCAGCAGCAAGGAGATACAATTAGTTTTACAGTGAATCAGTGGGGAAAAAGCAAATCAAATAGTTTTATGTAGCAATTTTTATTTGTCCAATACACAGTGACACAACTTTGAAAACATGACCAACTATTTTTGAGTTGTGTTCCATTCTATAAGAAGTCCATTATTTGTATTATTTTTTAGTCATGTTTCATTTTTGCAAACTATCTGGTTACAGTGACTGTAAAAGTTGGTTGTTACACAAGAACATTTAACCAATATTTATTGATTTTTTAAAAATAATTTTAGATCTTCTTCTTCTTTCTCTGGAAAGAGAAAAGCCCAAATGTCCAAAAAAAACCTCTTTTTTGGCAACTTGTTAAATTCACACTACAGAGACCATTTTATTGGAGACCTACAGCTCCCTAGGTTATTTAATTTGAATTTCTGAACTTTTCAAGCAAAAACAGAAAGCAATGTTTGAAGCTTAAAAAGGCCAACCTTTATTCCACTGCCATCTCGTCCATCACGGCCATCTTTTCCTGTTTTCAAGACAATAAACAAATTAAAGTGATACAGTGGAACCTCTATATAACAAAGTCCTTGGTATAACAAAATATTTTCTTTAGCCCAGTAAAAGTAAAATATATGAAAAAAAAACCTCAATAAACCGAAACCTCGTTATAGCCTGTTATATTATTGCCAGTCCTTTGGCCCTTCCTTATATTCAGGTTCCGCTGTACTGGTGCTCTAGCAGCGCCCAGTCAGTAGCCCCTAAAACCTTACTTTTGATCTTAAGCAAAGACGAAATCTTAGCTTTCCCATACAAATCTGATGCTTGGCTCCCTGTTTTTCACAGGTTCAGAGCACTGGACTCCTTACAATTTTTCTTTGAGCACAGCCTTGGATTAGTAATATTACAAGCTAGGGTAGAACACTGACAACAAGCTACAACAGGGGGGGATGACAAGAAGGAAACCCATGGTTAAGATTTATTTTGAGAATAATTACAGTATGCCTGACAACTCTAACACATATTAAATGCATGAGTTTCATGCCTGGGGACTTATGTCTAGACCTTGATTTCACTCATCAACAAGGACAACTTCTCACACCTCACAAACAAATCTGGATGAATTGTTCTTTAACAAATGATTAATATGACAAAAATTCGATCCAATTTCCCTTTGACACTTGAAATAACTTCAGAATCTCTCAAAGGTTGTCAGAACAACTTCACACATTTTTTGGCAACGTTTGGAAGTCTTCGGAAAATTGTTGGAGATGTGCAGAAGTAGCTGGGACGTTTTCAGAAACTCCTGTCATAACAGGACAAAAATCTCATGCATTAATTAATTTGACTCAGAAAGAGTTGGCAAGTATATACTGACATGTTTGTATTTGTATAAAGGATAATCACGGGCGACAAGAGGAGCCTGCAATTCTAATCTCCAGGTTGTTATTACGCATGCGTTGCATGTATGTAGATATTCGTTAGGACTTCCACAAAGAATGTATGGAATGCACAGAATGCACTTTGAGCATGTGGGTTTGGACCTTATATCACTCGTAATCCTGTATAATTTTGACCACCACACAAAGTGCAGCACTGAATCGGAATGAAAGCGTGTTGACATTCAATCGTTGTCGCCGGCCACACTCACCATTCACTCCATCGCGCCCATCTTTTCCTGCAATTACCAAAAACAACACTTGATTATACAAGTGACTAATTATTTCTAAGTCATATACAAATGCTGCATTAATGTAAATGGTAATGAAGGTAAATTGTTGCATTTTAATGTGACTCACCATGTTGTCCATCCTTTCCATCTTTGCCTTAAATTATTAAAAAAAAATACGGCAATTAATTAATGAAACTCACAACTGAACTAAATTACCATCCACACAATCTCGATACAGCAGAACTAGCAAGTTGTTATGTGTATAACCTGAACTGATCCCACTAATGCAATACTTAAATGTACTTTTCTGGCCTTAAATGCCTTGATTTCTGGTAAATTCTAATCTAAACATACTAAGAAGATTTATTTTTTGTTTTTGGTATTAGCTGGTATTTCTCCATATCCGTCAATTATCATTTTGTTGAAAATCAATTTTTAAAATAAATTGTATAAACTCACCATCTTTACAGCAACCAGTTTGAGGTACAACTTTACAGCTTTTAGACTTTGCTGTAGATCCATTAGCCTGTTAGATTGGGAAATTCAACATACTTTCATGACTTAAAGAAAGACTGCAAAGTCTAGATAAATGAAAACACTCTTGACTATAGCATAAACTGAGATGCAATGGAAACTGAATTTGGAAAGATAAGAAAAAGGAAATGAAAGTGGTTAAAAAACAGGAAATTAAAAGGATGAGGCTGGATATCGGTAAGTTTTTGCTAAAGGCCTCTCTTCAGTGTGAATTTAGAGAAACGTTACCTGCAAGAGTAACAAGATTGATACATTAAGTATACATGGTTTACGTGATGGGTTTCAGGTAGTTGCAGGTGATAGTGTTATGGTCCCGGGTGGGGGGGGTACTCCAGATTTCAAGTGACAGGGGTGATGGAATGGGGGCAAAAATCAATACCCAAAAAAATCCCTGGGGCTTCAAACAAAACCCAAAAATATCCCTGGACCAAAATTTAACCCCCAAAAAATCCAATGCCCAATTTCTAAGCCATCAAAAAATTCCAGAAAGCATTATTTGATATAACTATCACGAATCTTCAAATTGTTTTGAATACCACCAAAAAAACCTACTTAATTAAATCAAGCTACCAAAAAAGAATACACGCTAAACTTTTCCTACCTAAAAAATCCTAAAATCGAATGTCACACCCCAAAAAATCCTTTGATCATCCCTTCCTCTTAAATTCTGGAGTATCCCCCCCTGGGGTTATGATCAAGGTTAGGATCTGAGTTACACAACATTTCTAATTTTACACCTACACAGCTGCAGACCAAACACTGAGACTGCAGCTAAAGGAAAACGTAGGATTTTCTCTGCCTGTACTGTTGTTCGTTGGGAGGGGAAATTTAGCCAAAGCAGTTTTGCATTGAGATATTTCTGACACTCCAAAGGTTTAATTTAAGGTATGTCACTAAAACAAAGTATTCTTTTGTTTTTGTGGTCATGACATTGCAGATTTTTGGGTAAACAGTCCATTATCTCTTACCAGACCTCAAAAGAGTTTTCTTCTCTAACGGAGGGGGTTGGGTGCTCCTGTGTTTTTTAAGATCAAATGGATCAGTTTTAGCAACAGAAAAAGGAATGTGAAAGGTTTGAACCCAGGAGTCATTTCAAAAGTAGGTTGAGTTTGATCGTCCGGGTGAACGTAGTCCTGAATAGGACTGTTGTTGTTGTCAGTGACTGACGTTTCGACAACCTGTGCGTTAGTCATCTTCAGAGTCAAAGTGAGTTGTATCATGTCCGTTGATGGTATTATACTCTGGTTATTGATCTGATCGGTCAATTACGCTCAATTACGTTGCGATGTTATTGGTAGTCTGTCAGTTAAGCCATGAAAAAGTTAAGCGCTGAAAAGGAATATAATATATATCCCTTTGAGGCCAAACCAGAATTTTAAACTCACTTAACAAACTTACCTACAGTACTAATCTTACAATCAACATGACAATAGGTTTTTAAGCTTTAATACCAGTTTTTCTTCAATACACTCTTTTTTTATATAAGAATATATTTTATAAGAATATCGAGGCTGAAATTTGCGAAATTTTAAGAATATTTTAAGAATAAAGCCGAGGCTGAGATTTTGAAAAGGATTGATATAATTTTGTGCGTTGAAACAACTGTAAATACAAAACAATTTTATGTTTTTAACTTAACCGTATAAAATTGTTCCTTTCTCTGAACGGAGAAACTAGCCAACAAAACGAAAAAAACCTGCACTAGCTATAGCAAAATGTTCAACACTAATGACAGTTCGATGAACGGTACATGTAATACAAATGTACAGTATTCAGCACAGATCTAGATACCAAACACTTGTAATTGATACCCCAATAAATTCTAAAACGGAAATGTCATAAGCTATAATTTAAGAATACTTCAAGAATATTTTCAGCCTAAAATCGGCAGAAAAATAAGAATATTCAGCCTGGGCCGGAAAAAAAGACATTCTTATAGAAAAAAAAGAGTGTACGATCATTTTGGTAACAAAAAAACAGCATTTTTGACCAGATCCTCCTTTTTTGGAGCAGTTTTTGGCTGGTTAACATGGGAGTGGCTAAAAAGGAGATTTTTAACACTCAATTTAAGCAAATTTTTCGGCCAACTGGATGTAATTAAGCAGCTTTTTTTGTCTTTCGAGCATTTCGAGACAAAGTTTGTCTTTTTTTGGGGGGAGGAGGAGGAATCTGTTTTCAATGTTCTTTCCTCGCATTCTTTTTTTCCTTTTGTCATCCTTTTTTACAGCCTGTTTTGTTGCCCACTTTATTGTCTTTCCTTTGTGCGGAGTTTTGGCTGGCTACCTTTTCAGGAAAGAAGGGTAAAGAGTAGCAGGAAAATAGCAAAATTCCCCAAATGTTAATTGCTTGTTAGTTTCAACGTACATGTAACTCTGTCAGGATTGGTCAAAATTTGCTATTATCGTAAGAGCTTAAATGAAAAGCTGACTGGATCCATAACGGAAAATGTTCATGGTTCAAAAAGGAACAATCGTCAAAGAGTAAAAACCAGCTGTAAAAACTCACCTGAGCCGACAGTTAGACCTCACGTTTATTGCAAAGATTAACAGTCAATTCTAACAATCCATCTTCTTCAAAGCTTCTCTGGTTGACGCTTTGCTTCCCGAGGATTATTTTAGGAGTCGAACAACGTATATTTGGGTCAACTTTTAAAATGCTATTCTTGAGAATTTTGCCTGGGTGGCAAAAATATTCAACTGGTTCCCGTTTCTCATTGAGACTGGTAACGAGAGGTCGATGCGTTCACACACGCGGGTGTGCCCGCGGGTGTTATTTTGCGCGTTGTTCACGCGAATTTCTCGAGTCCCTGGTTGTTCAGGCTTCCCTAGCTATCTTCCCCTTACCAATCGTACACTTTAATCTTAGCCCCCTTTTTTCAAACTCCTCCGTTTTCGTGCATGGAGTGCAACTATTTTGTTTTCTTTCCTTTAATAATCTCATGAAAACTGAAGATAGCTTAGCCCATGAGCTGTATCTAAAGCCCTGAATGCTGTATCCTATAAAATCGAAAATAAATTAAATTATTGTCTCTGGTAACTTAGTTTCTAGTTTGCAACCAAGATATTGAAGGGATTATGAATCTCAAAGAACCTGAAAGCGCATAAAAATTGTGTTGCTGAGTCTAGAAAGCTAAGAAAACCGCATCTGAAAAGTTCCCTTGCCAATAAAGATTCTCGGAAATAATCTGGGAAAAGTTGAATGCTTTAAAACTTGGTTCGCTGTAAAGTTACCTGATTTGAAGAATTGTTCTGCGAAGTTCCGTAGGAAGCGGCCAAGAAAATGGCCAAAGTCATCAAGAAGAACAGGCGAAACATTTTCAGTCTTTCTTAGCAGTCTTAGTGGAACTGACCGTATTCACAAATGGAGCAGTGTATGAGTGTAAGCTTAGAGTTCCGGAGTTGAGATCTCTCTCATGAATACAAAACGCGAAAATATACGAGATGGAACGCCTATTGTTTTTATGTTTTCGTTCATGACAGATAAGACAATTAAGCTGATCTTGGCATTGATGCATGACTGATGGTCTAAAGTCTAAACTAAAAGACAACCGTCCATGCCAGAGTGGGCTTCCTGTTGTTTCCCCAAATACCCTACCCTCTTTTCTTCTGACTACATAGTAAATTTCTCTCCTCTGATCTCCGACCCGATCCAGCCCTAAATCAAGATTTGGATCCGCCAGCAGCCGATTACGATTAAGTAAGCGGCTCCCGGGTCCGCCGATATAAAAAACACGAGCAAAGTTCTGGAAGGAAGGGATAGGACAGGGACATTTTTTATGCCTCACTTGAAAAATGGTGTTGAATATTACATGACCTGCTTAGAACCTATGCCTAGAGATATTTAGTATTTCCCTGCCGGTAATACGTAGCCTGCGTTACAGGCGCTTGGAAGTGATGGGCGCAGGAAAGAACGCGAGGCGCGAAAGAGGAAAGCTGCGCGCAATCGAGACTCAGCATAGAAACGAGGTTAAAGTACATGTTAACGCCTGTTGGTGATTGACTCTCATAGCAGTGTGCCCATGTTGTTTGTTCGAGATGCAGGCCATGCAGGTAGGAAAATTACCCTCAAGTATACATATACTGCACCATTTACTGCCTTTGTTCATATTCAGTTGCGCTAATGTAGTTAATCAGAATTAAGTTGATTTAGAGTGACACGTACTCTTAAAAACGTGACCTGTTAGCAGCTGTTAGTTCCATTAAAGCGGATGCATGGTCATTACGATCGGAAATTTGATTCTTGTTGTCAAAGTATGCGTGTAAATATGTTGAGTGTGTACCACGTTTAAAGCTTAAGTGATAAAATATGCTTAGTCTGCTAGAAAAATAACATGATCATTAAACCCTCTCATTTACAGTCTAGTATCATTGTCTGCCGCCATTTTGTCGTCTGAACAACAATGAAATGTCGACATTTACTAAAAATAGATAGAGCGTACAAACTTTATGCTAAAGATACAACAGAGAAGATGAAAACAGACCTGGCGTTGTGTGATACAGATGGTGATGGGGAAAATCCGTGAAAGAATAAAAATACAATCCCCACTGAGGAACTGATCAGCAGCGAATATGACGTTTCAAGCCTTTGTTTACAAGTAGCTCTTTGAAACTACTTGAATTTTGTAGAAGAGTTTTTGTCTTTCCATGACAATTTGCACTGCTCAGTTTTCCTACTTGCAGTCCGTTTTACATAACTGATTACCATCATAAGCCTTGCGAATAATTGGTCATTCCATCTCTGTTTTTCTAGCAAATGTTTGAAAGCGCTGACAAAAGCTTGTGAAAAAATTGATTTACCGAGTAAACTAGTTTGAGAAGTTTTCATTTCTGACCAATTAGCAACAGCGTTGGTGAAAGTGTGCGAAAACTCGACTCATGTTATAGTATGTCACACATTCTCATCATAAGTAGGCTGGGCAAGCGTGGACACTTACCGATTTCTATTTTATACTCCTCGGGGTGAATGATAAACCTCTTATTAGACGGTCTAATGTGTAGTATCGTGGGACATTTTTACTCATCTCTTGTATTTTGACTCACACTACGGGCTGCCAAAATGCAGCGTGACTTGTAAAAATGTCCCACGATACTACACACTAAACCATCCAATAAGATATATTTATTTCATATCCTATATAAGCTACAATGAAGTCAACTATCATTTAAAAACCTCATGCTTACAAATTAACCTATTTGCAAAAAGTTGTCGTAAAGCGCTCTGTGTTTATTTTTGGGAAAAGACACCCTACCTTGTGTAATTTGTAATTTGCTTCTTTTCACTCCGGTATTATCCCATTTAGTGGGTGGCCATTTATGCTTATTGATTTCTGAAAATAAAAAAGAGTGATCTTATTGGCTTTTGAGAAAGTCTATGGATATGAAATGAAATGTTGCTTATGATATCTCTTCAGAAAATGCTGAACTAAACTAAGATCTGAGTCAGACATTGACTTTCTTGTGATACTTTAATTTTTTCTTGTAAAGAAAGTTGAAGTGCTCATACAAAGGTGAGAAAGAATTCCAGACTTTGTCCTCACAGTCTGTTTGGTTCTGCAAAGTGTTGGTAAAATTCGCTCATTGTCTTTCTCATATTTTGCAATCTTTGGATGAAGCTCTTATTGTGCTACTTAAATAGAGTTATGCTTTAAATCATGTGAAAGATCAGGTGACGTTAACTTAAAGGATACTCCACAGTCGCAGCTAATAATACACTGTGTGAACACCTGATAAACATGACCATATTTGGGAATGTGATACAAATTAGCGTAATTTCCTGATTCAAAATTGAATGCTGGCTGTACTGTACTGATATGTACCTTGAACCAGATACCAAAAGAAGAAAATAAAAAAAAGCACTATTTGTCTACTAATAAGACCTTGAAAGGACAAAATGCCTCCTAAGATGTGAGTGCTGGCTCAAACCCTGCAGTAAATTATATTAAGTTCAAATTATAAGTGAAACAACAGCACCCATCTAATCAGCACTATACAGAGCCCACCTTATTGTAAGGTGCTGTATTGGTGCTGATAGGTGCTGTTGGCTCATATTTTTTTATGACAATCATGTTTTTTTTTTTGCAGAAACGTGTCAAGTTACCATTGGTAAACCTCAATCAACACATAACCTGCAAATTGTGCAATGGGTATCTTGTTGATGCAGCAACCATAACAGAATGTCTGCACACTTGTAAGTCCACGAATTTACGTGACTTTCCTATTGACCTAGTATGACGGATAGACTAGGGAATACTGGTTAGAGATATAGTAGCTGTAGATTCTGTGAACATAAACTAGGACTTCATAGTTTCTCAAAAGTGGCAAAGCACTCACTCACTCACTCAACCTCCTCATCCCAGCTGGGACAAAAGGCCACAATAAAACCTCGGCACTTTAAGCCTGTTGTCCTGAGCTTTGGCATGCGCTTTGTTCCATGTCTCCTCCAGCTCATTCCTGATCATCACTGTTCTCCACCAGGTGGGATTAATTGGCTGGCGCCTCTTTTCCTCCTCTCATTTGGAGTCCAACTCATGGCTGCAACTTTGAATTATCAGTGGGCGCTAAAGTCGAGGGCAGCACTTGCTTGTATTTAGGGGTGATGTAATATAAATCTTCTTCTTCTTGTGAATAACACTGATTTCTTTCTTCCTTTTTCTTTGCTCGGTTCCAAAATGATAAGAACAGCTTAAAAGATACAAAAGATGCATGCAGTACACAGAAATGTATTTTGAGGTCTGTTTCCCTATAAATCAACCATCTGGAAGAGCTTAAATTCCAGCAAGTCCAAGCAGCACTCACTTCTTGCTCATCTCCATTTTGTTAGAAGATGACTTGTATGGACCAGCAAGAAATCCTACTTGTCCCAAACTACTGGATAGGACTTTTTTGGAGCCCCAAATCATGTCGTTATTATCATAATATTACGTCCAAAGCAATAATTAAAACATTCATCAGAGCAGTGTTGGGCATTTAACTCTTGAATCAAGGGGGTTGGGGCACTTTGTAGTGAATACGTTGTATTAAGGTACCATCCTACCTTCAGAACCGTCTTCATGCAGATTGCTCTAAAGTGCTTCTAGCCCTACACGCTGTACTATTTCTGAAAGCTTAATAGTTGTAGATCATACGGCTAATTTCTTTTGAAAAATGAAAATGCTAATGCATTTCAGAAATATTACGAGCTTTCTGCAAAAGCACATGTCTCTGTAAATTTAAGTCTCCAAAGTCTCTGCAGAATAACATTTTTTCAAAAAATTATAAATATTGTTATCATGGATACCTTAATTATTCTGTGCCAATATTCCTCAGTACAGTCCAATCCAGTATTGAGATCAATAACATGTTTTGATCTATTCTTAAATATTTTGTCTTACATTTTATTTTGTTAGTTTGTAAGAGCTGCCTTGTGAGACATATTGAACTTGTTAATCGATGTCCAACATGCAACACTGTTATTCATGAGACACAACCACTTTATAATATCAGGTAAAAATTAATATTAATTATAAGTAAGTTGTATTACAAAATAAGTGGAAAATGTTTTCTCGCACACCGCTGAGACCTGGGCCCAAGGGGTTATTTTGAGTCACGTGCTCATTGTTGTTTGTCAGTTGCTTTTTTGCTGTCTTCTGTTGCTGATGGAAATTTCAGAGCATGATAGTTTTTTCGAGGATTTATCGCCTATATCATTTGTTGTTTTTTGTGCTGTACCATGAGTGCAAAGACGATTAGGTCAAAGTCTCAGTCCGGAGCAATTCTTATTTTTTATGACTGTAGCGAAACTCTTCTCCAGTATTAATATTGATAAATATTCCCCCAGGTGATCAGGGAGACAATGATCTTGAGATTAGTCTACATTGTTCTTTCAACCAGAGGCTGCTCACCTCGGAGACCTGCTGTGGTTATTAGTACGACCGGACACGAAAATCATTGTCTCCTGTTCACTTGTGATTTTGCAATGATTGCAAAGTGTCTTGAGAGCTTTACCAGTAGCTTTAGAGGTTTTGGCATTGTCAGGTACAATCAAAACTGGTGTGCCTCATCTTTCTGTTGATGATCTTAGCAGATCCCACCAGGTGGGATCCCGCAATCTCACATTTCGGTTTTGGAAAAAATCTATTTACTGGGTATTCTGGACTTTAAATTCTCTATTCATATGTTTCTCCTATGGTTATGGTTTTATTATACTAGAAATGATGTGAATCACATTCTCTTCACAGACTTGACAGAACTATGCAAGATATTGTTTACAAGCTCCTTCCAAGGATTGAAAGGGGTGAGCTAGCATTAAGAGTAACATGGTTAATATTAATCTTTTTCAAAACTGATTCAAGACATTGCCTGAAATATCTCACATGAAGTGATCATAAGACACGGACTATCCTATTAGTTTTTGTAACTGTTTCTGATTACATGTAGATGATACAATTAATTGAACCTTTCACTTTTACCCCAAGTTTGGTCAATGTTATTTGGACTGAACCCAGAATTTAAGTAAACCCAGCTACTTATATAACTTTGTTGATTAGTGCATCCTGTTTCTTTGATTTCAGAGGAAAGGCGCAGAGAACGCAAGTTCTATAAAGATAGGCAGATACCATATCCAACCCCCAGAGGTATTTCCGCTGATTTTAAGAAATGATAATATTATTATCTGCCCAGCTTGCAGTTCTATAATAGTCCATTTTCGAGGTCACTATGACCACTGAATTAAAGAAGTGAAGATGAATTTTTTACAGCCTTAGCCTCAATCTGAAGTAATATATTCACAAAGTCCAACGAGAAAAAGACCTGTTTATTACTCTGTCTATTGTGTATATTCAAATAATATTATTTGAAACACTTACTTGCCAGAATTTCTGAATATTTTACTTTACGTCAAGGCTAACCCTGTATGAATGTGTTGTTAGTTTTTGTATTCAGCCGTAATTTTTAATTTGAAAGTGGACTATTGTCAGTGCTTAAAATAATTATAAAATCTATATTTTTTCTGTCTGTTGGGTCTGGCCCTGCTCCAACTACATGCATTTCCATTTAATTGCTATAATGTGGGATCAAGAAAATGTTCTATAAATTGCAATTTAAATTTGTCGTTTTTGCTCCTTTACATTTACATCACTATCTGTACAGTCATTTTTTGTACCATTTCTATGGCTCTCGTGTCCATCGCATATAACGCAGAAAGGAATTATGTAACAAACAGAAGGTGGTATCAAGAAATAATACTTGTTAATTATTGATAGTTCTGTTTTTTATTGTTTGTTTGTCTTTTTTCTGTTGTAGCTTGTCAGACTTCATCTGTACCAGGACCATCAAATGCCGTCAAGAAACAAACAGCATCATTACCCAAAAAAATAAGCAAACCAAAAGTAACAAAAAACTATCATAGAACAGATGAACAAATCTCTCTTCAACTTGAGACATTTAGGTTAGTGAAATAATTGATAAATTAATTTGGAATTAAACCCTGCCTTTTAATAGTTGTGAGATGGAGGCTGTGTGGTTAGAGTGGGGGGGTAACCCTGTGATGGACTAGCATCCCGTCCAGGGGGAAGTAGCTATACTCCAAGGCAGCTTCATGCTAAGGAAATCTGAATAAGCTCCTGCTGTTTGGGCCTTTGACTCGTGTGCGCCTTTTACCTTACTTTTTTACCTTAGTTGCGAGATTAAGTGATACACCTGTATAGATTATTTAACTAGGCTTAAGAGAGCATGAAACTGTCTTGAAGATAACATTGTTTCCATAAATGAATACCTGGAAAAGATGTAATAAATGTACACCAAAAGCCACTGCAAGATGTTCACTTCTTTTTTTGACCAAATAGAATGTTATCAGACAGTGTGATAGCAAGTTCGCCCAGGGGTGGTTTTTACAATAAACTGGGGTTCCACTGTATTATGTACTATAAATCGAGTTCAAGGTATGTACTGTGAGTTACAGACCAAGTTTTTTTGCCATTGATTTATGGCAGCTTTGTGAAGTGCATTGACCGTAAATCAATAGGGAAAATGAGCATCTGTAACGTAAAGTATGGACTGAGAGTATGAGGCTAGTAAAAAAATTGTTTTATCTCAGAGGTTATTTGGCATGTGGGAAAGGGAACATGTTAGGGCAGTATACTGAAATATGGCCAGCAACATTCACCAATCACAGTGCATGTACTTACTAGGAGATATTATATGCGTAATAAACATCTACTGATAAATTAACTGAATCAGATGTTTAACTCCAGTCCTCCTGTCTGAATACATCACCCAGACATATATTTTTTTTGAAGGGCTTATATCATGTGTGTTAAGAAGAGGCTTAATAAAATATTAGGTTTCAATTAGATTATGGCATTATACAGTATATCTTACATGCCAGTTGTAAATTGTCCATGTAATTAGCATTGTTTTGTGGACTTTTTTTCTGGAAGTATCTAGCCAGCTTAGCCAGTGCGCACTCGCGTGGCATTGCTTGCTTGTAGGCTCGAAAATAGCGCTATATAAATCAAGTGTAATGTAATGTATAAATAAATAAATAGATATTAGTATTACTAACTATAACTAACTTCATTTCTATGTGGCTGGATGATAATGTTATTGTTTACTTGTTAAAATTGCAGAGATGGAAGTGGTGGCCCAGCAAAAATACAGGTAAATGTTAACGTTGTTTCTTTTTTAGTTTTGAAATAGGTCAAGAAGCCATTGGAATCTCATAAAGACTTGTATGCAATATTGAACAAATCAGTATTGACGAAAGTTGAAATAAAAGCCCAATTGATGCACTCTGACTGCACTTATTTGCACCATAAATGTATCTGTGTTGTTGTTAGTTGTCGTTTTTGAATGGCTCGCTACTCTGAAGAGGTTAGGGAGGGGGGTTTAGAACTTAAAGAATGTTATTAAAAGGGAAAAAACGTATGCAGCGTTTAGGGAATATGGGAGTGAACTTTTTATTTATTGACTGATTCATTGATTGATTGATTGGTTGATTGATTGATTGATTGACTGATTGATTGATTTATTGATTGATTGATTGGTTGATTGACTGACTGATTGATTGATTGGTTGATTGATTGATTGATTGGTTGATTGACTGACTGATTCATTAATTAATTGATTGATTGCAGCCACTTCAGAAGAAATACATGAGACTCTACTCAAGTCACCATTGGCTTAATACAAAGATTTTTGGCAGCTAAACTACACTTGGAATCTGCGAACATGGTAAAAAGATTGCAGTTTAGTTTGTCTCTTTTAAACCTAAATCGCTGCTCGTAAGACGCTACGCGCCAAAAGTGAAACGCGCCCACCTGAAGCAGAAACACGCTTGTATCACTTCGTTTTCACTCGTACTCTAGACCGTTTCATTTTACCAGTGCTCTCATTCATGGCCAACGCAAAATACGGCTGTTTTGCTGTCTACATATACATCTGTCGCCGAAAATGGTTACGGTGGAAAAAATACAAACAGTCACATTCTTGGAAACCAAAATAAGATAGATAGTGAAGCAAGAGAAAATTTCTACGAGCAGAGGGTAAGAAATGGGTGCTGTCGAGTTTTTTCCCTTTTGGTACTGTTCCTCGCCTTACTATAAATCCATGCCTGGCTTTATCAGGATGAAAAAACGCATGATTTTTACTCTGTGTATGGATTGCAACTTGCAGTCCGCCTTTGAATCCGTCGACTTCTCTTCCGTGGGCATCAGTACACCCTCGTTTATCGCGGCTTTCGGGGGCATACGCCCTCGTTTATCGCGGCTCGCGGCTGAAGAGACTACGCACAGTTTACTCAGTTCAGTAGTTACACGCCAACTTAATTAGCTAGACGAGTCTTCTGATCGGATAGTGTGGTTATTAGTTGTCCTTGATCACATTGTTCGTTGTACAACTGATTGAAAAAACGTTGTCGCTTGAAAAAAGATTTGCATCTGCACGAGCAGCTCGTGATAATCAAAAGTTTTGTTGAAAGAACTTTGAATTCGCTTTTCTTATGAACGTACAGTCAACTCTCGCCAAGACGGACACCTTTGGGACCGACACTAAGTGTCCGTTTTAGAGAGGTGTCCGTCTTATAAAGAGTCAAATAACGGGAATAAGCAAAGGCAGGGACCAAATCTAGGTGTCCGTTTTACAGAGGTGTCCGTCTTATAGAGGTGTCCGTTAAGAGAGAGTCGACTGTGTACCCATATCGCTCATGGTTTATACTCTTTAAGCGGCAACGTTTTTTCAATCAGGTATATTATTTAGTGTAACTCGCACACTCGTTAATGACGTATCCTCTGTTAGGTTGGTATCCTGTTTGACAAAATGGAAATAGGGAAAGATTTAACGCTAAAATACATCAGCGAAAATCTCTGCACCCAAGAGGTATGGTTATTTTTCTTTTTTAACTAAATGTTTGCTGACCATTAGTCTCCTATGCTGCCCTTCATGAGGGACTTAAAGATCCGACGACGTTGAAAACGCCGCTTAAAAACTGAATTCCCATTTTTTAAATCTTCATCGCGATGTTTCCATCCCACTTACTTTCCACTGGAATTGAATTTTTAACATCACTTTTGAGAATATATGTTGAATAGCATACGAAACGTCAAGTTTAAAAAATGCGAAAACTCGCAATGTTTATCGCCGCTGTTTGTGTTTAATTTTTGATCAAACTAAGATGGCCTAAGAACAAGAGTCTCTATGATACCATATCCAAGTGCAGAAAGAGTAGGAAAATTTCCTCTTCGCTTGTTTAGGTCTTCCATATAACGTGAAGTTAGGCATCGTTTCACGTGCAGTGACGGTAAAGAAATTACCCAGGGTGCCCGAGGTTTTTTCATCCTAGGTCTGAGAATATTGCTGTTTTAATTTAGGTCAATTTCTTACTGAATACATTGCTTAGTGCCTTTACCAAAACACAAAATGTACCTGTAGCATTATGATGTCAAACAAATTTCACCAGGGAGCATCAACCATAATAATTAATTGTTTTGTGATTAGTATTAACCCTTTAAACCCCAGTATCCACATACAAATTCTCCAAACTCATCTCCATACATTTCCTTAAAGAATGAGTTGAGAGAATTTGATAAAAGATCAAGGCATTTTTACTCGGGTGATCATTTTATTAATTCTCGTAACTTATCTGTTCACTGATGTATGGATATTGTTAGGAGAAAATTCAAACCATGTCCATCCTTGTCATCGCATCCGTAGCAACAGACGAGAGAAAACATTCTCAGTGCCTGAATATAGTCAAAAATAACAAAACTGGGCCTTTATTTTTGGCATTTAATTGATGCGAAGACAAGTTTTAGCTGATTAAAACGATAGCAAGTAGCCTGACATAAACCTGATGCTTTTTGGACGTTCTCGTTGCTTCGCCGTCGTTTCAGGACCTTGAAGTCCCTATTATTTAGTCACGCACTGCTACTCCCTGCAGGAGAAAGAATAATAATAATAATAATTTACATTTATATAGCGCAAACCTCTATATGAATATATTCGGTTGCGCTTTACAATATTGTTATATTAAATTTATGTTAAAGGTGACTAAAGCATGAGCAACTATTAAAAACTACAATAAAAAGTATTAAAAACTATAAATAAAAATAAATAAATAAATAATGATAATAATTAAAAAAAAAAAAAACTATTATAAAAGCCAACAATTAAATCTATTTAAAAGCTAAATTGAAAAAATGAGTTTTAACAGCAGTCTTAAAAGTGTCCAATGTCTTCATGTTGCGAATTTCCGAAGGTAATGCATTCCAGAGATAAGGTGCAGCTGACTGGAATGCACGATCGCCAAGAGTTGGATGGGTCTTAATGCATGGTAACTCGAGGAATATAGACTCATTTGACCTTAGAGAGTACTTGGATTGCTTTTTGGTAGTAATGAAATCAATTAGATAATTAGGAGCTTGACCATATAAGCACTTAAATGTCAAAAGTAGAATCTTAAACTTTATACGGTAACTTATTGGAAGCCAATGAAGGTGGAAAAGCAATGGTGTAACATGGCAGAATCTAGGTGTTCCGGAGACCAACCGAGCCGCGGCATTCTGTATCCGTTGGAGTTTCATGATATGTGAATTCGGGAGGCCATATAGTAGACTGTTACAATAATCTATTCTACTGGTGATAGAAGCATGAACTAATGATTCGGTGACTGAACGACTTAAATATTTCCTAATTCTACGCATGTTATAAAGATAATTGAAAGCGGATGAGCAAGTTTTGTTGATATGACTTAGCATACTCATTTTAGTATCAAACCAAGCTCCTAGGTTTCGAACTTCAGAAGATGGAGCAATTTGGGAGTCCCCAACCGATAAGGTACTAATGTTACTGACTTTCTGAAGTTGTTGTCGTGTTCCAATCAGAAGACATTCTGTCTTATCGGAATTCAGTTTTAACTTATCCGAATGCATCCATCTACTGATATCAGCAATACATGATTCCATGGCAGTTATAGCAGCGGTCTCCTCCAAATCATTTCCTGATCTAAACGCGATGTACAGTTGCGTGTCATCTGCATAACAATGGGAATTAGGAAGATGTGATTCGACGATCTTAAAAAGTTTACTAGCATAGAGGGAAAACAATAATGGCCCGAGACAGCTGCCTTGTGGAACTCCAAATTTAAGATTAAAATTACTCGATAGAACTCCGTCTATATAGATGCGCTGGGTTCTGTTAGAAAGGTACGATTCAATCCAATTAAGTGCAGAGCCTGAAATTCCAAAATCAAACTGAAGGCGATCTAAGAGAATCCTATGGTCCACGGTATCAAACGCGGCGCTTAAATCAAGAAGCACTAAGAAGCTGCCCTGTAGCAAGTCTCTCTCTCGATGAAAATCATTCTCGTCCCCAGAGCCTTCTGTTCTCTTAGCCGGCGATGTCTGAACACGAGGACGAGGAGGTCCTCAGTCTCTCGTGCTCAGGGATCCTCAGGCCTCGCCGGCTCAGGGAATAGGACGGGTAGGACGGAACTCTGGGAACGAGGTTGGGCGGGAAGGAGAAAACGGGCGAGATTTTGCCCCTCTTTTTTCTCATGCTTCTTTACGCTTTGTCACCAGTCACTCGTGTGTCTCGTGTCCTCGAAAAACGAGGCCCCTTAGGAGGGGCAGAGAAAGAAGTCTTCCGAGCCTTTTTTTCCCGCACTCACACTTTTTTTTCGTTTTCAGGAAAATTCTTCTGGACCACTGATTCTTCATTACAGAGCAGTGGATGTAAAAACCTGAATCATTGGGCAGTGTATGGTGTCAGAAACAGAATAATTTCTTCTTGCTTAGCACAGTTAATACTCGCATCATGAGCGTAAAATTTGTGAGGATAGGAACAAGATGTCCTTGAAAAAATGCGTGCTCAAAAATTTTTTAAAAGAATTCCTTCAGCCTGCATTCATCGCTGCGTTACCTCCCTTCCCCCTGCAAAAAATTTTGACGTTGCATTTCTGTTCATTTCTTTACAACTTACTCGTCATACTTTATGACCAATCACACATCTTGTTTGGAAGGATAAAAGTGTGTTTACAGAAAATGTTACTGAGAGTCTTTCTCTAAACCAGAGCTGGCAAAACGCTTGGCCTGACTTGGGATATTTAAGACCCACCCTTCCCCGTAACCCAGTGTTGACAATAATTTCCTACTTAAAACAAAATGTTGTGTCTGGGGAGGGGTAGGTTGCCAGTTTCTCCAGAATCTTACACTGATCCAAATCTTCCTAAGGGGAGGAAGGGAAGGAACGATCACCACCTGACTTCTTCCGAAACGTGGGTCCTTTTCAAAGAATAACCTCCCTTGAAATGTATGCAGTAGCTTAGCTATTGGCCTGGAAAACAAGCGTTTCTGGAGCGTTTAAGCGGGGTTTGATGCGCCAGCGAGCGCCTCCAAAATACGGGTGTTGCAGCCTAACGAATCTGAATGCTTCTGTTTTAACTGCCTCTGTACGAATTTGTCTAGTTAGAGCACTGAAAGAGAGAAAATCTCAACTTCCGGTTGCCATTTTTGACTTCCGGGACGTCAACGTTGTCGTTGCGTAGGGTTAAGGGTTGGTTGTCGTTGCTATTGGGTCAAAGGGTAGGTTTGTTATGGTATCTTGCATTACGTAGCACGGTCTGCAAGACCACCAAACTACTATTAACCATAGCGTGTTTAGTTATTGACCTGGTGTTGCTCCGGTGCGTTGATGGTCGGCTAGGAAAATATCGCACCAGTTTCCTAACCAATCACAGGTTTAATCTAAACAATCCGGACTTATTCGCAGCCAGCATTTTCGCGCCATAGTGTTCTAAAGCGATGACGTCGTAAAAAATATAATATTAGAATTAATGGGATTTGTTGGATATTTTGAAAGAACAACATCTGGAAGGTCTTCTGGCCAAACAATCGCATTGTGGGGCAAATTGTCTCGGGAGATTCTGGTCCCGTTTTGCTCTGATGACTCCACACAAATCCTTCTCAATTTGACTCGGTTCCTGATGTTATGAACTGAGTCGAATTTAGAAGGATTTGTATAATTGGAGTCATCAAAGCACAACTGGGCTAATTTGCCCTGGAATGCTAATTTTTGGCAAGTAGTCCTTTTGGATGTTCTTTCATACCCCGAAAATCCCATAATTTCACAAATTTAATTTTTTATGACATCACACTTTACTATTGCCTTTGAGTCAGATTGGTTGACTGGATTGCTCGACTCTGTGATTGGCTAGCCCTGGCTGGAGCAAAGAGTAGTGTTTTTTAAGTCTGACCATACTCGACTGAAATTCATAGCTGAAAGGCTAATTTCTTCACAAACTGCCTGTCCTCCTTGTTAAAATCTTTTAACCTTTTTCTTGGCCCTCTAACTTCCCAAGAAGGCTAAAATCAAAATTCCTATATTTTATGCGGTAAAAAATAAATAAATTAGCTAATGACGGAAAAATATACCAACCATGCAAACAACAGCTGAAGAAATTTCATCTGAATGGTCCGAACGTGATTTTGTGCACTCTCAAAAGTTAGAGCTACATTCTTAAAAATGACTAAAAATACATTGACTCAGCGACGCGCATCTCTACACTAATGATCATGGTTGTAATAGCATTGTTTACATAAGCTTAACTTAGTCTTAACCCTTTAAACGGCAACGGTGATCAACATCACATTTCCCCTTACGAGGGCACAGCTCAATCAACCATTAAGGTCGCGAGAATAAAGAAAATGGTCATCAAGTAACCTGGGTGGTTTGATGTATGTTCTTCTTTGACACAAGGTTACACGTCGTTTAGTATTTGTAGCTCAACAAATGGGGAATGATGTTTTGGCAAGCTGTAACTTTTTGAACGGAACATAGCCTATCTATTTCCGTTCAACATGTTGAATAGCCTATTTCAACTTTAAAAATGGCGTGATACACTGGTTCAGCATTCTTAGAAAAGTGAATGGATGTGGAAAAGTGTGAGAATATGTATGCTAAAGTTAGGGTTTAACCCTTTAAACCCTACGATCAAAATGTGAATTCTCATTTGTTGCCCCTATTCATTTCCCTGTAGAAGTAGTGGGGAGAAGTTGATAAAATATCAAGCAAATTCATCTTGCGTGATCATGTTTGTAATTCTCAGTCACGCGCGTGGCCATTTGCGTGTCTCGCGTTTTGCTAGACGGACTACAGAAAAAAGAGAGACTGCTCGTAGTCTATTCTCATGACCACTCTGTTTAACAAAGCATTGATATTACAAGGAGAAATTTGATGCTGATCACTCTAAAGGCTTACACTACGTCTCTGGAATTTGAATTTCGCCTCCAATTCCCCTGTGGCTCCTCGTCGACTGAGCTGTCAAATTTTCGCCAATCAGCGCAAAGCGGAAACGAGCATGAATGTAAACAAACATTAAAAAACACATGCCAAGGGTAACGACGCCATTACTAAGGTCATCTCCGCCAATCAATAGCATTTCGCATAGACTTTTTCGATGCAGACATTCAAATTCCAGAGACGCAGTTGCAAGCTCTCCATTTTATTCTTACCCTGCCTCCAGACAGCGCCCCGGGGAGCTTGCTCGCAGACTAGATATATACATAATGTCCTTCCCACCATGCTCTCTATCTGCAACATAATATTCATATCAACATTTACCCTTGTACATTTTTAGCTTGCCGCGTTTCAATTTCATCCTTGGTGCTGATTTCACTTTTCTCTGCGTTTGTAGGAAAATAAAATTTGCATCAAGGAGCAACACATACATCTCTCACTTAACAACGCTATTCCAGCTTATAACAAAAAAAAGACAAAGTCTACCTATGTGGGTTAAAAAATATATATATTAAAAAATAAATTCCGGAAAAAAAATTGTTAAAACTGTACATAGACTGCCTTCAATAAAAGTACACACTACTTCAACTCCCCAGTCCAGAAGCTCTAGGAGAATAAGTACATAGTTTGGGCGCCGCGATTTCTGGAATCATTTGGGTTGACAAGCGCCGGGGGGCACTCCCGTACAAGAGGCTAATACGGATGTCCCCCTGGACGGGGTCGCATTTTCACGACTAGAGTGACTCTAATAGGGTCGCATTTTCAATATAGTTACTAGAATGAGGTCGCAAATTTTCGAATTTGGGCTAAGTAGGGATTCAAAATGGGAAGATTCTCGGTAAAAAAAAGTTAGAAAGTTGTTGTTTATTAAATTTAACAATAAGCTCGCATTGACCGCATTACATTCCGCCGCTTGAAACCACATTGATTAGGTAGATGCATAAATAGAAAGTGACCACGCTGGGATTGCGAAAATTACATTTTCCAAAAAGTGACTAAGATGGGGTCTATAATTGGCCAAAAAATAGACTATAATGGGGTAGGGGCTCTGAGAGGCCAGCGGCACATACCCAGCAAACATTAACTCAAGTACCCCACCCCCGCCCGGGACAAGCGTTAGTTATGATTGGTCGAGTTAGTCGATAGTATTCAAGACAACCATTAACCAATCATAAGTAACGATTGGCCACCCAAACGATCCCAGGAATCTTTGCGCCGAAAGCTTGTACCAATTCCTCTTATAGTTTCTGGAATGGGGAATGTCAGTGGCGAGTCCATCACTAAAAAAATCTCTATACACTAGTTTCGTTTCGCTGTGGTTCTGGAGTCGTACGCTTGAGATAAGGTACAGGAACAAACACAGCTGACGAGGGCTGCTCAGCGCCCCAGTCTTTCTGCTTAGGCTTCGATCGCTCATCTTTCCAAGAAGACATGGACGACCGAGGGGTTCGCTCTTTCGGCGTTTCAGCTGGATTCACTAGTAAAGCTCTGTTAGCATTCTTCTGTGATTGCGATCTTGTTTCGCCAGCAGCTCGATTAGCACGACGAGACTGGCCATCGACTTTTCTTGTTTCAATACCAAGATTGTGGTGTATTTCACGTGCAATTTGATAAGGATTACGCCGTCTTCGACGAGAAACATGAACTCCGTTCGGCTGTTCACGAGTACCACGTGAAGTGTTTGGAGCCCTTGCTCCGTTCTTATCAAGAGGCAGTCCTGCTATTTTGTCAACCGCTGTGTTGTCTTCCCCGGGATTTAAAGCTTGTGGTTGTTCGCGAGGTCCCTCTCCCGCATACTGATCATGTGATCTTTCCACACCCGAATCGTGAACATTATCACTTGTCACGCTATGGTCACGTGCAGCATCACGTGGTAGTTCACTGTCATGAGATGTGTTGTGCTCGTGTGCGTTTTGAACCGAACTTTGTTCGCTAGGAATCGGTATGTTCTCGTAAGTCCGCTCAGGGGGATACTGGTCACGTGGCATGTGATCACGAAGTATCTGGTAACCGTCATGAGATCTTTGACCAAAGCTAGAGTCATGTGACACGTGACTATGGTCAGGTGACTTTGGACCAATGTTTGGCTCATGTGACATGTTAATATGATCAGGTGACTTGTTGCTAAACCCTGGGTCAATCGATATATGGCTAAAATCAGCTGGTTTGGGGGCTTGTTCGTGTGACCTATGAACCGGGTTATGTTCATGTTGCTCTTGGTAACGTTCAGTTGTCCCCTGTCCTGGACGCTGCTCGTAAGACACTTGATAATTTTCATAAGGTCGGTTAGCTGCTCGATCACGTGCCATCTGATATAGACTGTGTGTCGTGTCACGTGGCATGTGATAATACTCGTAAGGCCGTCCTTGCGTTGGACTTGGTACTTGATTAAGATCATAAGTTCTCTGTGCTACGGCTGGGTGATGATCTCCGGGTATAGGGTAGTGCTCTGGCGCTGCCTGATATTGGTTATGCGGATTTGGACCGAGATGTTGGCCCCGTTGACCTTGATACTGTTCATTACCAGGCTGCAACAGATAATGGTCTCTCCTGTTCGTTGGAAGAGGCAGTATTTGATAGTGGTCTCGAGGTTTTTCCGACATCGCCCGCGGTTCATAAGGAATGTGATACTTTTCCCGCACGACCACATGATCCCGCGGGATATTTCGTGGAATGTTGCTAGCCGTACCTTCAGCAATGGAATAGTGAGAGAACAAATCCTGAGCTGTGGGCGTTGGTGTGGACACGGGCGTGGTATCTGTCACATTAGGCATTGGTGGACGGCTGTTTTTGAACTGCACCTGAGGGGGCCCCTCCGAACCTTGGGAAGATGAACCAGGTACTGGAGGCCTCTTTTTAATGGGAGGGATGTCTATTGGAATGGAAACTTCAGAAGCAGAACACGACGCGTTAGAATTGCGAGTTGCATTAAGCGTCTCTATCGCTTCACGTACTGATGAAAGTCCTTCTGAGGGCGCAATATAAGATGCTGTGTCGGTGGGAAGTTGTGCACTAGAGTCAATAGAACTTGCAGTCCCCTCGGGAGGGGCAAGAGGTGCCCGTCGACATTCCTCAATGGTCGGTGTCTCGCGAGTGTACTCAGTATAACTGTGCCTATATCCTGGTGGTTTCTTAAGAAGCTTTCCTCGGGGTTTGAATCCGTGGGGAAGAGGGGCTGATGCCCAGGATTGCTTATCAGACACTGATGACGCCTTGTCCGTTTGAACTTCGACATCCTTGTCTGGCAGTGCAACGACAAGTGCATTTTTATTGAGTGTTATGGCCGCAGAAGACGGCAAAGACACATTAGATACTGAATCACCATCTCCGAGTTTCTTTGCACCGTGGATTTCCTCGCCGCTAAACTGCCCCGCCTCTCCATTTGCAGTAGAAGTTATAGTTTCATAAACTGGAGCCTCTTCAACACCTTCCACTGGGGCACAGTCCTCCTGAATTCTATATTTCTTATCTGGTATACACCGGCATCTACAGCAGTACTTCTTCCATAACAACCGAACGACGGTTTTTCTGTAACAATGGTAAATGAAGATAAGAACTCCTAAAATTATGAGCGCGACTGCAAAAATGCAACTTAAGACTATGTAGAGGGCAAGGGGCTGTTTATGTCTTATCACCATGATTCCCAAAGCCATAGTCATAGCGATCACAAGCAAAATGATACAATTGCCTCGAAGCAGGTCCATCATTTCATCCTTGTTTGGCAAAGTCGATTTATCCGACACACCTTCGCCACTGTTTTCTGCACCAGGTTGAGGAGCCGACTCAATAACAAGAGCATTTTCTTCCGCTGCAGTTTCCGTTTCTGCTTCGGCTTCAGATCCCGCCTGTGGTGTGACGTCTTTGTTATCGTACAATTCTTTGATCAGGTTTGAGAGACGAAGGTAGATGATCAAGTCAATGAGTATTATCAGGCAAGCGGGACCCAGGAACGCTCCGTAAAAGGGATTTGGATTCAGCCAGCAGCTGTAACATAAAAATGAAAAACATCAAAAAAACGTTAACAAAAAAAATTACTTACCCAAAAAATATACGAAAAGTATGTCACACATGTCTGAACGTAGTAAATGGCTAGCTGGCCGTAAGTGATTTCGTAGCTGGTTACCAGGACCTGTTGGATCAATTGGGCTTTCTGGGTAACTGACCACCTACCCCTCCCCTAAGTCAACATTAACTCTTACATCTCACTTAGGGCAAAACTGTGACTTAGGGGAGGGGTAGATGGTCAGTTATTCAGAAACCTCAATTGGTCAAACCCGTTTGGAAGTTCATGTGCTCGAGTCCACTCGTTTCCAGTGTATCTCTTTCCCGTTCACTGGGACATGAGAGAACGAAGGGAAGGAGGAAGAAACTAGGGGGGAGATTGGTAAATCTGCTGTTGAGGTCCAACAAATTTCAAGTACATTAACCAACATCATCATGCCTTAAAACAGAAGTAAATAAAATTCAAACCAACTGTAAAACTGAGCCACAACAACGTGAGTGAAATTAAAAGGAAAAATGAGTAAAGAAAAAAGCACACTTTTTAAAAAGGATGGCGGGCATCTGAGAAAAACTAGGACGGACGCCAACGTAGAGAAAATGAAAACGTTGGATAACTTACTAATCCTCAATTTTGTAATTTTCCACATTGCCAGCAATAGTGATTCCACAGATGATAAGAGGTATGCCTAAAGAATATATAAAAAATAAGAACAAAGAAGTTAAGAAGCTGCAAGTTTCGAAGGCCATTTGAAACAAGCCCTACTTTCAGCTGGAAATGACTAAAAATCGGTTAGGAAAACTTAGGGTCCGTTTAAGGGAAAGTGGCCGCCCTACATAGATGTATGTTCAGAGATACTACGCTGTTAAGTCACCTCTCGCCAAAACGGATACCTTTGAGAGGCGTACTGGAGCCCGTTTCTCGAAAGTTTCGATAAATAACGGGCTCTGAACGCCACTGAAAGCTGCTTTTGTTTACATTCAAGATGGAGGTTTCAATGGTTTTCCAGCTAACACTTTAAAAATAACAGTTGACAAAATAAAGTGCACTGGTTCGTTAGGCAGGATCCCCGCTTTTAAGGTGCCGGGCGGGGAGGGGGGGGACGGATTGGAAGGAGGCTTTCCTTCCCCTCTGCTATAAAGCCCCGATGGCCTCCCCCTCGGTACATATGAAACCAAGATGGCGGCCCGTTAAAACGAGCACTTGATCTCCACGACCTTACGGGAAAAAGGGGATTTTCGACAGTCTATAACACAGATCAACTTACCCCAGCTGACCATGTAATATCTCAGAACTGGATTGTATTCTTCAGGCTCAATGGAGGTTCTTATAAGTCGGTGAAGACAGACGCCAGTGCAGCCAATCCAAAGAAGTGAGCTCAACGAGAAATAATGCAACAAAACTCCTATCGACCGGCACAACAATGGGTTGGACACGTGGTTTATACCCGTCACGAAAACAACGATTGTCACTAGTAACGCAATACAGTGATTCATCAACATAGCTGCATCGTCTCTGTCATAACGCAGCTCCCTGAAAATAAAATGAAAGACGTGATAATAAACAATTATTAGAGACCTTAAGATACCCCGAAATCGGTGTACGGGTAACGGGTAGCGCCATGTTTTTTTCATTTTGTGGTGACGTCATCGACCTTACCCGGTAGAACCAGCCGTTTTTCCGGGGTAGACACCAGTTTACCCGTAGAAGATTTACGAGTAGCTGCAAGTCCTACATGATGGAGAAACGAGTAAGTTTTTAAGACTTTTTAAGTACAAATGTAAATTGTATGACTCCTTGGCAATGTTATTGCAAGTCTGTTCACATATTTTTGCCAAATTTGAATTTTAGCTGTAAAGAAAGCGCTTCAAAATGTATTGATTTTGGACCTCACGTGCGCAGGTTGAACTCTGGCACGATATCAATTTGTGGCGGTATTTGGGGGAATTTCTGAGAATTTCTCGAACGTTTGAGTTTCGCAAAAGAAATAGCATTGAAAAATTTAGCATGGGAGTCACTGTTGAAGTTGACAATCAAAGGAATTGTTTGGTGATGTGCCTCGATCAAATGGCGGGGTTTGCGATAACAAGCTTTCGGTCGAGGGACTTCCCGCCAAGTTTCTTAAAATCTTTCTATGATATTTCAGTAAGCTTATGTATGAATGAATTATTTGTTGCAGCTTGTTGTTAAGATATGAAGTGTAGAATTTGAGGGAGATTTTGTATGCATTAAGCGACATGCATGTACAAAGTTAATTTTGCGTGCTTGTTCTTCGGGTATCTTAATCGAAATAGTCACGCACATGAACATTTTACGTGTACGGGTACACTACCCGTACCCGTACACCGATATCGGGGTATCTTAAGGTCTCCATTAGGTTCGGTTGTTGTGACATCTGGAACAATCAAGGTCAAGGTAAGTGTTATCAGCCGAGCTGAAGGCCGAGGCTGATAACACAGTCAGCAAAGGAAGATAAGAGCGGCGTTCAAATGACGGCCACTGTTTACGTAAGTGTGCTTAAAACAGTAGTTTTGACCATCAAAACACAGCCTTTTATGATTTCACATCCTGATTGGTTAATGGTTGCGTTGAATACTATCGACCGATCACAACTAACGCCTGTCCATTCAAACGATCAAAGAAATCAACGAGCTTAAAGCTTGTCCCATTCCTCATATTATAGTTTCTGGAGTGAAGAATACGTACCTTATGAAAGCATACATGATAAGAGTAATCACGATTAACAGTGAACAAATGCCTGCACCAACAAACACCACAAGCTCTAACGAGCCATCAAGCCAAGTATTGTCGTCGGATCTCGCATTCGTGGGTCCACCACCGCCTGGCTTGCTTACATTCTACATAAAGGAAAGAAAAAGCAACCACAGACGTCAGGACAAACGGTGTAGTGCATAGATTTTCGGTAACGTTTACCCAAAGGTAAGGTAAATTTGCGATCTTTATATAATGAATACACAGCGGTACTCAGTATTTACGGTCATTGGGCACGCTAAGAAGAAAAAACAAAGTTGCCTAAAACCCAGTGGCTAATCGTACGGGACCCGTGCACCGACGTGTATTTGCTATTCATACGGGATTTAAGGCTCTTCTTGAAATTTATTTCTCAAGCTCATTAATAATTCATTCAGAAAATACAAAGGAAATTAATGTTTAATGAGTGTTTGGAAATCGGATGAAACACTGCTTAGTATTTGCATCCTTAATTTCTCCTTCAAAAATGATTTTGTTTGAGAAGAAATATCAAACATTCGACACAGTGTTTCATCACCAGATGAAACACCTCGAAGTCCGTCAAAAATACTCCGCTGCGCGTCGTATTTTCAACTCTCTTCTCGGTGTTTCATCTGGTGATGAAACACTGCGTCTCATGTTTGATATATTACATGAAATTTTTTAAGTCTCTTGAAATTTCTAGTCAACAAATTTCCATGAAAGTGTAAGTCTCTTCAACCACTGTTCAATTTTTAAGGAAAAAACATTCAGTGGCAAATTTTAAAAAGAAAAAAAAAATTCGATGGAGCAAGATTGAGAAGCGACCCCGGGGCGTAGAATCCATAGTTCGTAACCTAACCACTCTACCACGGACTACTCACCTGTAGGCAAAGTTTGATTTTAATTCATATAGCAACAACTATAACCTTAAATAGAATCTCACCGTTTCGAGTCAGTGCTAATTAAACCTAATCAGTATGGTCAGTGCCTAACCCTAATCACTATTTTCATTGCTTAACCCTAATCAGTATTGTCAGTGCTTAACCCTAATCAGTTTAGTCAGAATCCCGCATGAATAGCAAATACAAGTCGATGTACGGGACCCCATCATGAGTGAAAACCATACATTTCAAGCACTTTAAGGTTAAAAAGGTTTAAGGCTTGATTATAGTGGAACGACAACAACATTTATTATTTATAGTGCGCTCTTTCTATATAAATAATCAAACGCACTTTAGAATAAAAAAACAAAAACTAATAAATTAATAAAGCTATTAAAAATATATATAAAAAAGTACAAAGTATACTAAAATATATATATACCTGGCAGGAAAAATATAAAAAAATTATGTGTCCTAAAAATTTACCTAAAATTTTAACAAAATGCCTGAGAAAGAATCAATGTTTCTATCTTGCCTTATTGGCAAAGGAAGGTTGTTCCATAGTGGAAGTGCACTTAGCTTTTCCAGCTTGTTCACAGGCACTCCTGTCAAATAACTAGAAACAAATCATTCAATAGAACATATGGGTGTTTAAAACCCCAGCTGCCAGGAGGCCACCAGTTGGCTATTTACAAGCGTCGCCAAGAAACTGAACTCGGTATGAGAACAAATCCAGTAGGTAACCAGAGCGGGACTCGAACCCGGGACCGCCGGATTGTAAGCCCGACGCTCGGGCAACTCGGCCAAGAATTGAGCTGTTAGTGTACCGAAAGACGAGTTTCACACTAAATTAAACTTCGAGTCAAAAGACTTTTAAATTACCATCATGACAGCAAAGAAGTTTTTGTCTGAAAGCTGAGAACACTTTGCAATGGTATTGTTGCCGTGGAATGAGACTTCTCCGCAGTCAGCGTTTTTCTCCCATCTGCCTAACCCACCTACACCAAGAACAGTGCATAATTATTAGTCATTCAAAAAAATGAATATAGAACGGTTTTCACTTCAGCGGGCCCTTTCTGGAACGTCCTGGTATCGTATCGTCCCACCAAAATCTAACGAATTAAAGCGCAGGTCCCAACGAACAAAACAGTCCATTTTCTTATGTTAACTGACCGTTTTGTCATACTATCTGCAAAGCTATTGAAACCTCGATCTTGAATATAAACAACAACAGCTATCTGGGCCGGGTAAATATGGGTAATTTCGAGAGACTCACAAGAAACGCCAGTCCCCCAAAGGTATAATGCTGGCCAATCACAAGTGAGCATTTAGACTGACAAACCAAGGAACCAATCAGAACTTAAAGTAAACAGAGGTAGCTGGCAGTTTACGCGGGAAAGCGCGGGGGAGAAAGTCACTAGTTTTAATTCTGATTGGCGTTGACCTTGGGCGTTTTCCATTTACCAAAAACTTTCGGAAACGTCCATGGAAAGGTCCATCGAGTGAAGAACGTGTTCCATTTGACACGAGTTCCATTCGTTTATGCTCTCGAAAGTTTTGGGTGAATGGAAAGTGCCCATAGTCTTTCACCGGCGTCCAAAGACTACATGTATGGGTCCTAGGAGAGCCACATGGCCCCAAAATGGTATGAACTCTGTAGAATGTTTTGCCAAATTTACGCCTCGTAGGTCAGCTGAGGCCCAGAGCGCTTCCAGGGCTCAGCCGTTTGGTTAATTCAATAGTGGCTTATCGTACGATTAGTAACAAGATTCGTAAACACTTTCATCATTAAAAACCGAGTATTTTTATCATTAAAAAATCATGTAACACTCACCATTCCCATCGTGTTCCCAATAAACTGGAAAAAGCTGTTTTCCCTGCTGTATAAATAACAATTCCGTTGGCAAACAATAACAAAGTTTGTTGGAGGAGTTAAAAATCTTTCAAAAAGTAGCAAGAATAGCTGTAATTCTAGTCTCTCTTGCAGCCGTTTTTGTCCCGAGGGGAAGAGCGCTGCGAGAGAGGCTAATGAAATTCAAGAAGTCAAGGACAGACCTGATGTTTTCTGAACTTGAAGATCACTGGATGGGAAAGAATGTCCAACTGAATCCCCCCTGCAAATAAATTTGTGCATTTATAGTTAAAATAATTTATAAGGCACGAAGATAATCGATATCAAATAAGAAAAAGTCTCTCTGAACCATCTCATAGATAATTACATGATGCTTGACTGTAGATCCAACACTTGTCTAACCCTATTTTTCTCCGATTCCGCTGCACTTGTTGGACCATGGTTCATGAGTCATGCACTTTTTGCATTGTGGCATTGTGGCTAGGGTAAAATTATTACTTAAAATAAATGCGCCTTTTATAAGGAGACACAGGAAATTCTCCCTTGAGAATATCCTGTGGTATGAAATGGGCAAACAAACAGTCCGAGATTAACAGTACTATTTCCGGATCAGTTAAGGTTTCTGGGAAACTGCCCACCTACCCCTCCCCAAAGACAACATTATCACTTACTTCTCACTTAGGGCAAAATGTTGGCTTAGGGGAGGGGTAGGTGGGCAGTTTCCCAGGGCATTGCAGCAGAATCAGTTATCTCTTTATTTCGACAACACTCTTCCACTGCCTTACATTCACTTTTCACGCCAAACTTCCAGATCATTTGCAAGAAACTCTAATTCACACCAGCCAATCAGAGGAACCCTTATTTACATCAGAGCTTTGTAATGCTTGATGCTGACCAAAGAGAATCGCATTTTCAGGGATCAAGATCATTATTTGGCTAATTGCTTACAGGGGGTTCGACTGAAGTTGATAATCAGACAAAGTACTTACCAAACTGGGCAGAAACAACACTGCTGAAAACCTGCACTGATCGTTTATTTTCACTTTCATTTGTAACCTCAGGAAAGAGTTTGCTGTTGGAGTACACTATAAACTGAAATTTGACATTTACATCCGATGGCAAAGACTGAAACAACGATGGTGGAAGGTAGATTGAAGTGTCCACGGACTGCAATAAATGCACAAAACAAAAAACAAAAACAGTTAATTGTTAGGGATTTACTTCTGATTGTGGCAAAAAAATCGCAAAGAAATTTTTTGTAACACCATAAAAAATAAAGCCAAGAATAGCATGTAAAAAACCTACCAAAGAAGAATTATTTGAATGGTAACACTAAAGGATTTCAGTCAGGGAATTAAAAGAAAGTTAGGGGTTGTTCACATTTGAAGCGTAATCACTAGTACTTGCAGTCTCCCATGCAGGCGTTTTTAGGGAGGAAATAGAGAGGTTAAGCATCACGTTTACGTCAAACGACAAACGGAAATTTGTACCACATGACCAAGTTTCCACTTTACTTGTCTTTTACTGTATATTATTTATACACATAAATTAGTAGTTTCACGCAATTTTGTATCCATACAGCTGTACAAATTGTTTTGAGCTGTTTTTTCAGCTCATTTTCTATTTTGAGAAATTCTCAACTTGAATCCGACATTTGCTGTTAGCTGTATACGTGAAGCTTAAAACTCCCTAATACGACTTCCCTAAAAACGCCTTCGGGGAAGGCTATAGTACTTGGGGACTGGCACAAAATGGTGTTGTGTTCCCACTCTGGATACCCGATATGTGAGTGTGAACATATTTGCTCCAGTTTACTCCATCAGAGACCATTTTGTAACGCAAGTATAGCAGGAAGTTATGGGCAAGCAAAGCAGTGGAATGCTTCAGAACTATCAGAAAAAGTGAGCTCACAGGACACCCAGTGCCCACTCTAGTGCCCACGTCGAAGGTCTCAAATTTGGACTCAGCAACCAGCACTGTTCCTTAATTTGAGTGTGGTGGGTTCACATTAGGGCCAGAGTGTAACGTACCCGGGCACTCTGTCTGGGTACAGTGGAAGCTCAATTTAACGAATGGCCAAGAGACTGGCAAAATATGTTCACTATAATTAGGTGTCATTATACTGAGGTTCTTTTTCATATGTTTTACTATCACTGGGGTGGAAAGAATGGTTTGTTATATTGAGGACTTCGTTATAGAGGTTCGTTATATCAAGGTTCTTTTGTACCAAGTGTATAGACTACTTACCATTTGCCTTCCGCAGGATGAATTATATCTGCACGGCAAGCAGTCGATGTCATTAAGTCTAGACTTGCTGTCCACTGTAACATAACACATCTTTCCAGTGACATTATTCGGTGAGATCCGCTCCACATAAACTGCAATATTGTTTGTAACAAATGTCAAATCTGGCAAAATGTCCATAGGAAATCTTGTGGAAAATAGATCCAGGAGAATCACCATACTAAAAGAGAAACAATCCAATATTTGATTAATGACGTTGCCAATAAGCTGCTAGTCCAAGTGTTTAACCAAGGAAGAAATCAGACTTTGAATAAAGCAAGTACTTCTGCTGAAAACAAGACCAAGGTCATACCCAAGGTATAGGCCAGTCAAAACAATAATAAGATGATTAGTTAGTTGTTGATAGAGCTGTTCAACAGTAATTTCAAGCATTTCCAGGACTATAGCAAGTGACCTACTAAAAGAAAGTAAACACTCAATGCACTGTAGCCAGATGGGTTCACTTCTGGGATCAGGAGAAATGAAAAATCTGAAAAGAGGTAAGTGAGATAAGAAAAAAGAGACTTTCAGGGCAGGAAAACACTTAAGTGACATAGTGTCAAATTACTGGCAAAGATTATTGACCAGAGTGCCTTGTGTACTTCAAATCTGTTGTCTTACATGTTATTCTAAAACAATATAGCTTCCCCTACAATGTCCTTTTCACTAGTTCACTGGCCAGTTTACTGCGAAGTCTTTACATTGTGGTAACAAGATTTTTCCTGTTCATTAAAATTTTAGGGTACAAACCTTGAACAAGCCTTTGATCTTCGCTGAGCTTCAACTAGCAATGCTGAATCTGCTTCCATAATATTACTCACCGTACTCACTAAATCTGAATTTAGCTGAAAGAAAACAACAGAAAAAAAAATAAATTTAGGGACATTTCTCTGAACACTAACAATTTAATCCTTTTAACAATAAATATTAAAAGCACTTATTATTGCACCTTTTTCATGAAGAATTTTGACTTAACTGCATTCTTTAGGATAAACTGCAATTCTTTCGGCCAATCAAAAATTGGAAATAATTGTATGCAAAATAGGTATGAGAAGACTGAATTGCCTGGGTGCCCCCCATTCAGCAAAAAATTGTGGTTTGCTATTCCAAACATTTCATGTAGCAAAAGGAAAAGTTTCTTTCTTTCTGTTGTTCTAAACCAACCTTACATGGTTATACATGTACCTGAACTTTGGAAAATTTTCCTTCAAATATTTCCACTCCATTCTTAAATTTGTCACAGAAGTTTTAAGACTTTTCAGGTAAATGAGAAATGATCACCTACTGAAAAATTTCTGCTCTGTTCCATTTGCTTTATTTGAAATTTTTGGAAAATTTGGACAAAGGAACAGTTACCTAGTGACAAGTATTAAGAAATTCATAAGCCTTCTAAATCTCTTTGTGATAATAAAAAAATCGTTTTGTCCATAAAATTCGCTTGGGTTTAAAAAGTGAACTATCTACAAGGCTAAAAATATATCTTTAAACAAGGTCATCATCATAATTATTACATTTTTTTGGTTTGATAGACTGCCATTTGCTATTCAAACAACTACAGTTAAAAAACATAAATGCTAAATGTAAAACTTCAATGTGCATGTCATGAAAAGGCCCTTTGATAGGAATGGAGGTAAAACAAAATTTCTAATGGTGTCATGAGAGAATTAGTGTTCCACCAGCTTTAAAGACAAAAAACCCTGTCAACATAAATTTTACTTACAATTTGGTCTCTGCCAATGACCTGCACTAAATGATCTACCACCTCAGCAGCATAAACAACATCTAAGGGGTCATTGAAATTTTTAGCTCGCTTTGAAATGTTCAGCAACTGTTCACTGACTGAGGCAACCGTTGCATCATTAACAACTTCCTGGAAGTGGAGAAAATAATATTGCTATGACAAATCCAGTAATCCACTGTTTTAACAAGCTGTGTTATTTTAAGGCTGGTTTTCACTAGCGATGGAGTCGGAGTCGGAGTTGTCATCAGAAGGGTAGAGCTTATGATTTGGTGAAAACGGCATTCCAATTCTGCTTATGATTTTGTCACTTACGTTCCGCTTATGATCTAGTGAAAACCAGATTGTTGGAGTTGGAAGCAGGAGCAGAAGAACCAAACCAATCACAAAGCATGGGAATGTCCATTGTGACTGGTTAATCCTTCCGCTTCTGCTTCCGACTCCGACAATCTGGTTTTCACTAGATCATAAGCAGAACATAAGCAACGGATTTGTACATGGAGTTGGAAGAAATGGCAACGTTCTGATTCTTCTGAATCTGATTCTGTCGCACTTATGATTCCGCTAAAACTCCAGGTTTCGATTTTCACTAGGTCAAGAGCACTCTTACGACTCCACTTATGACTCCGACTCCGTCGCTAGTGAAAACCAGCCTTAAGTCTAAAAAGATGTATTTACAACAAAAAAAAGCATAAAACGCTATAATCAATACCATTTGATGAGTTGTAAGGCTCAAAACAACTTGTATTTCAGCTTGTCTTTGGGCAAGCAGCTCTGACATTTTGCCTGCCAAGGACCACTTCTTGCACTAATTAGTTAGTGACTTTATGAGAGGATACTTGCATGGACTCTTGCCCATTGGGCAGAGGGAACCTTTAAAAGTTAGTTGGCCAGCAAGGAAATCTAACTTATCCCAGACTACAGGGTGGAGTGTTTACGACCCCTATCTTTTTTTATGGTTTCTCAGGGTGTAAAATGTGAGTGAGTTCTGTTCACTAGGGTGTTACAAGTAGATTGTTTGGACACATGGCACAGTGACATTATTCTCTCCAAGAAGAGAGCATGAGTTGGGAGGTATACAAAAAACATTTAACATAACTTATCTCACAAGAAATAGTATGCTCTTTGGTACCCCTGTGAAACTAATTACCCATTGTTTCCCTTAGAGCCAGGCATAAGTGTTTATTATGTTACAGTTAAATTACAATGGTGTACATGAACATTGTATAAATGTTGACTTTTCTTTAATAATAAGGTTGATTATTAATTATTTTATTATTACTAGTGTTTTCTAAAGGAAGGTTAAATGCTGCAAGCAGATGCTCCTTTTTCATTTATAAAGTCAATTATTATCATCCACATCATTAACATTATTATTGTTATTATTATTACTACTACTATTAACAGGGCTGTCAACCCCTTACGTCTTCAAATATTGAAAATTGATGGGGAAGGTTGATAGACGACGTTATAATGCAGGGCACAAGACGTCATTTTTTGGAAAAAAACGCACAAAAAAGATGTTGTTATAATTAAAACATTTGACCTAATTGGTTTAATTCCCACCAATCACATTATTGCTTATATTACAATGGCATACCGGGGTTTGTGAGGAAACGTTCAATGCTAACAGAAAAATAGCTCAAACAACGCAAAATGTTTGAAATTTCATTGTCAGAGAATTGAATCTACAAGAAATAGCAAACTTCGGCGATTATCCGGGAGATTTCAGACTCTCATCTGGAGACCGGGAGAAACGGTTTAAAATCTGGAGTCTCCCGGATTATTCAGGAGAGTTGACAGCCCTGCATTAAATTTCTCTCACCTCCTTTAAATCATGAAGAGCACGAGTTATTTCATTTGAATGGGCGCACACCTGTGCCTCTACTTCCCTCCAAACACCTTGTAAAGAGCAATTTCTCCTAGCCATACTTTCTGTTCCGCTGTGATCTAACAAGCTACTTCTCACTCCAACAGGGCAAGGCAAAAAGGCAGCACCCCCAGCTGCAGTGTGATGCCAATAAAATGTTCCCCTGTCAGTTTCTGTGACAACTGCTGGGCAATGCTGGACATTGGATGGAATTATCAACAACTGAGAGGTACTTATATGTTGATACCCTCCTTTGTGAGTGATATGACAACTGTAATATCCATTATCTGCAGCAGTTAGCTGTTTTATGTCCAACACAGAATATACTGCAAGCTTGTTAGCATCAAACTTAAACAAAACATTTCTGTGCTTGTTACTTGGGTCAACATGGACTAGCTCATTGCCTTTGTACCAAGCCATTTCTGTACCAGGTAACCAGGTCGAATTGCACTCAAAAGTGTAACTATCTCCATTAAAAGCAATCTGGTCTCCTTTTGGGCCGAATGACCTGATTGGAAGTTCAAGATCACTACCTATGGAAAATGACATACACACAGCATTAGTTGAAACTCTATGTGCAACCACCTACCTCCTGTGAGTGGCTTTCTATCCATGGAACCTCTTGTAAACAACCACTTCACATAAGCAGCCCCAAAAACCTCTCTTTGGTGATGGTTTTACAATAATATATTTTTAAATCATTTTTTATCCTTTGTAAAGGACCACCTCTTTTTAGCACATGGTGGGATCCCCATGTTTCCTGCATGTACTGTGCTATTCTTATCAGCATATGCAAATAATTTTAAGTGATGACATAGAAAAACCCATATAATAACTTATAAACTGCATGCCGTAAATTATCTGCCAAAAGTAGAGGTATCGGTACCCGTTCTGAGAATAGTCCCTACAATGTATATGTAGCTTTGGTTTGATTCTCATAAGTGACAGATGAAACATTGCATTTTGGCTAGTCAATAAAAAATTATGAGAACTCTTTAGAACACTTCATCCATATAAGTTTTCTCAAAGATTTGGTCTATTACTTCTTATTATCTTCTGGATAGTGTTACATGTCACATGTAGCTGTATGAATAATACCAATGTGTTTCTCTTAAAATATCCATCGCCACCCACAAAGGTTTTATTGGTTTCAACCAATCTTGATTAGCAAATCGACAATGGCATTTTTAACAGGCCAATCATGGTGCATACTCAAATCCTGGTACACAGGTGCAGGCCCAGAACAAGGATTTCGGTGCTGTCTCACCGATGGACTTAACCAGAGTTACAATGTAAGTTTCATCTGTGGCGCAGGCTAGTATTTTCTGGAACCACAAAAATCAAAATAATTCTTACCACAAACCATCTGGTTCTTCTTAAGGTCATTCACTTTTTTGTCCTTCACTGCGTATGGATGATCACATTTGCCTTGTACATTCACGGTTTTGCCCTTGCTTTTCATCTTTGACATCCAGTTAATCATCCACTTCAGACTACAGTCACATATCAAACGATTTAGTTGCAGCTCGCTAAAGTCAAAGAAATGAAGGTACAAAATAATTAATGAAATATTAAACAAACAACAAGAAGATTAACATATTATTCCATGGGGCAGTGATATTATATATGTACAAAGGCAGTGGCGGGAGATGTGTGACACAGATTTCAAAATCCATCTCAAAATTTAATACTTTTTTTTTCTTCAAATAAGCAGCAGGGTGCTAATTGCCTTTCAACGAACTTTAACTCGTTATTTTAATTGGCTAAATCTTTATAGAAAAAAATAAAAATACAACATTATCCAGGCAGGTAAAGGGTTTGCCATTCTGGTTGGTAATCATGCAAGCATACCACAATACTATTATGCAATTTACAAACAGATGTATCAGTTCGCATATTTACGATCTAATTACTGTCATCAACAAATATCGATTCTCTCATCAATAAAGTGGCATTAGAAACAGATTTTCCTTGTATGCCTACTATTTAAGAAAGTGAGGGGGATGGGAGGGGGACAATTACTTGAAAAGGGTGCTTTGTTAGGGATAGGAGCTCATTTAGGGGAGGGTGCTTATTAGAGTGTGGGCACTTATATTGGAGGAAATACAGCACATGTACTTCCCTCTACACTGAAAAATTGATTTTAAAAAACAAAGATCTGTGATTTACAGTACAGACCAAGAAAATGAGGCTAAAAAGATGTTTATTACGGCTTCCTGTTTGGGAAAACTGGAAACAAGTGCAGGACTACTAGCAATTTGACAGTCCTTTAAAAGGCATCACAAGAGAAAAGTTTTGATTGGCTCACAAGAACAATAGAACATTACAAAAACTTTCCATTGAAAGTGAAATCAAACTGCAAAAAGTGCCATGTTAAAATAGTTTATTCTGCGGTCAAAACTAAGAGCACTGTACGTTTTAACAAAACCATGTTTTTTCAAAACTGGACATTGAGTCTAGCCCAAAGTCGCTGCCATCTTCATTTTATTGCTTTTTGAAAAAACACTGCAAATGGCAAAGAACCTTATTATGTCTGAGCCAATAATTATGTGTAAAATATTATACGAGGTTCTGCAAGAGACAGGCTGACCACAGAATGTGATGCCACTTCAATAACTGCAACCTGTTTTAGCTTATCAAAGCACACAGACCAATAATGGTGGCAAGCTGATCATACATGTATGCTCCCAACATATTTCAACTGGTGTTGGCGAAATATCTAAGGATAGAGTAATGTCAATAAAGATCAACACAAACAAACTTTTTTGTTTGTTTGTTTTCATTTGAAGAAAACAAGCTGAATATTAACCTCCTTCTTCAATTAAGTAAACTCCTTGGAACAAATACACCATATAAAAAAATTAACTCTGGTCGAAATAATAATTATTTCAAAAATGCTGTAAGCTGCCACCTGGCCATGAATTTAAGTAAATTTAGAAATTTTTGCCATTAATCTGATAACAAGCATAAGATTGAATAACTGAATGATCTCTGAGTTTCAACTTATATTTTTTAATAATAGAGAATGTAAGTTATGTGGGTCCAAGCACTGCACTTTACAATAATAACAATATTATTATAACACGGCATGTTCTGTTAGTTTTTGGTTCTTCCCATCAATGTTTGACTTCTTTTTCTGTTTGACCAAATCCTTTGTGCTTTCACTAAGATGATGGGAGTAAGGTTCCATTACTTTACTCATCATATCTTTGACAGCTTTGTGCTCCTCCATTATCATATTGTGCTTCAACAAAATGACTTTGTCAAATGTTAAAATTAGCTGCCGTATGAACTGTACCAGCTTGCAAATATTGTCTTCAGTTCTTGTCATGGTGTACTTTAGTGACATGATCATCTTTGCTAGACCTTCCCTCGACAAATCTCCTCCTTCAGTCTGGACTGTAGCAAAATCCACAGCTCTTTTCATAGTTTCACAAACCCTTACTAGTTCTCCAAGGCATTTGTTCAAATCACAGATGATGTACCATTGCCCATCACAGATTGTCTCGAGTTTATCCATGTTGAAGTTGTGTTTTTAATCTTCTTATAAAGTGAATGCGATCTCAATATTCAATCAAACCCTCATTATAAATAATTTAAGTACATTTTTTCTTAAACTAAAATAATCCAAAGTTAATCTTCATGTGCATTAAAAATTAATAATAATTATTAGTAGTACACACATATGGCAGCTTTGCATGTTTTTATTTTGTACAGTTACACAGGCACCAGAAATTTCTTTTGATTCCAAAGAGTGCGAAAGAATGCCAGAAAACAAAAGTCACTTTTTTATTTCATTAACATTGAAAACCCTAGTAATGATAATATTATTCGGGGTGGAAAGAAAATCAAGTTTACAGCTTGCCCGAAGCCCAGACGTCATTTCAACAAGCCCCAAAAGTTTTTTGATGAGCAGAATTGATTTCACAGTTCTTCTGTTGTTCCAATTCCTCAAAAAACATCACTTGCCCGTCGGGTAAGTTAAAAAAAGAATTCACTAGCCTGATAGCAGAATCCACTTGCCCTGGGCTGTCGGACACTACTTTCTTTGCACGCTGATTATATATATTACTATCATTGTCCTTCATGAAAGTACTGCCGACAAGGCTTCATGTTGCATCATAGGATTTTGTCCATCCATTGACTTGAAAGTTAGAACTATACATGCTAAATACATTTTATATGTAGCACAAATAATGACTGAAAGTATTGCTTAAGAGGTTTTATTTGACTGGTCACACTGCACCATTGGAAATCATCCACAGAATTACAAGGTTCAAACTACATGCACAGATGTGAAGTACTACTGTACAGCTTAAGACATGTCTTTTGAATACTAGTCAAGCCACTAGATTTCTCAACAAACTCAAAAGTGAAAAATTTATTACATGTGTCCCCATAATGGATAAAATGATTGACTCTGGCAGTGAAGAAGATCAATAAAGATACATGTTGTACCTTATTAAAGGAAATTAACGCAAATTTTTGAAATTTGCTTTAATTTAAGCCACATTAACTTCTGTACACATTAATTTCCACACCATTAATTGAGTGGAGCATTAATTTCCACGACCTAATTTCCATTACTTTGGCGCCATAGTAACTTCTTTTTCCCTTAAATTCACATTAATTTAGGTCACATCAGTTCCCAATACCTTAATTTCAAGGAGTGTAAATTATCTATAATAAGGTAATGTGAGACACTCTAAAAAAAAAAACAAGTTAAAAAAAGTCCTGGCAGGCTAATCAAAGGAAGATTAATAATGGGAGTTGATCAAGAAAAAAAAATTGTGAAAACAATTGCTTTAATACTGTAAATAAGTTGTAACAATGTGTAGTTCCAGAAAATATCCAGACCCCCACCACGAAGGGAATTTCACTTAGGACCCCCCCACCTCCCTGGATTTTCCATTTTGCAGGGAACTGATGGCCCCCCACCCCTCCGGAATTTCCCCAAGTATGACAAAGACCCCCCAGCCCCTCTGGAAAAGTTCATTTTCACAAAGAAAGACTATTAACGTAGAAGAATGAGGCCATTTATGGCTAATACGCAACGGTTTCCATCAGAAGCTTGCCACTCTACTGTTCTTCAATCGATCGACTGACACAACGTGATGTGTTGCTTGTGTTGATGTCTTGAGGGAGACTGGTAACGAGTAATGGCAGCCGAATATACGAGTATGTGATAAAACGAGTTGTAGTCGGACTAATTCCTTTGAAATTGCATCCAGAATGCTTTTGGAAGAAAGGAAACTTGGTTAACATCAAAAGGAACAATCTTAAATGATATATTTCAAGTTGTTTATGTCCTAAAAATGATCTACCAGGTCGGTAAGAAGCAATGTTCGAACTCAGGTCGAAAACGAAATGATATTGACTCCCTGGAAAGTGATTTTATTGTCCAACCCCCCTCCCCTCTGGAATTTCCTGGGCCTCTGACCCCCCCACCCCCCTGGAATTTCCAATTCCCTCCGTGGTGGGAGTCTGGATATTTTCTGGAACCACACAATTAACAATTTAACAAATTTATACCCCCTGTATATTAACACCTGGCCTGGATTTCTCAAATGTTATTTATTAAATTAAAATTGAATACTTACATTTTCTGCAAGTTTCTGAGGGAGTAAAATAGTCCATCAGGAAGAAATGACAGTTTATTGGAAGAAAGATTTCTGTATGAAAGAAATAAAAGAACAAACAATCTCTCATTCACATGAACTAAAAATAATTAATAGATAAACAAGGGTTACATCCCCCGAAAAGAGTTTTTACTTTGGAGACCAAAGGGATCAGGAACTCAGAAATACACCTGCAATTCACTTTATAACGTCGCTACAACTTACATGATTCTCAGATTTTTGAGGCCATTAAATTGAGTTCCATTCAGCATCAATATATTGTTCTCTGACAGATCTCTAAAAAAGAAAAACAAATCAAGCAGATTCACCCCTGTCACTTATTCTAAGTATGTGTAGACTGAATAGTGTACAATACATACAAACTACAAAACTAATGTTACTTACAAGATTTTAAGATTTTTGAGCTTTTTAAAGACATCTGCAGGTAGAGAAGTTAATCTATTTTGACTAAGATCACTGAAAAATAAACAAAAAAGTGGTGCAAATTAGAAAATACATGGAGGAAAATTCTTGAAAACAGCAAAAATATGCTCCAACAATAGCCAGGGCTTCTGATATTTTGTGCGGTCGCGGACCTGCGAAATTCAGGTATTTCCGCGAAATTCCCCCAAAAATGCGAAATCCCGCGAAATCCGCCAGAAATATTTCCAAATACTTGTCGGCAAAACATATTTAATACTTATCTTGGCCATTAGACCTGTTTTATTCACCCCAAACGTCCAAATTTATCTTGAAACTTCATCACTGCAACGAGTAAACAACGTCCCAAAACTACCAGGCGTCTTAGATTAATGTTGCGAAAAACTGGGCACTAACCATAATGTTAATAGCTTTAGCATTCGCTCATTTCTCGAGTGAACTGTTGTTGAAAGAGCAAATGATTATCCCTGTTAAAAAAAACGTTAAACAACGCTGGTCATATCCACGCAAAATTGATCGATTTTAGCGAAATTTGCCCAAAAAAATCCAGTGAAATCGGCTATTTTTTACTGATTGTTTCTTGGCAAAGTTTCCCCCGAAATTTCCCGTGAAATTGGCTGATTTTTCTAAGAATTTGCCCCTGAAAATCCTTCGAAATTTGACTTTTTCCGCTAAAATCCCGCGAAATCAAACGATTTTCCGGCGAAGTTTGACTTTTCTCCTGCGAAAATCCCACGAAATCGGCCGATTTTTCTGCGAATTTGCCCCTGAAAATCCCGTGAAATTTTGCTTTTTTTTTCCGTGAAATATCAGAAGCCCTGAATAGCCAAACAGAATAAATCCTTTCCCAAGGATGCAAAGAAAATCAATTCTCCATCTTTCTCTTTGTACAAAAAAATTTGGGCACCTAAGTAAGTAGAAAACACCGTATACAATACATACATTATATTCAATAACAGATCCACAGGGAGGGTCCAGGGAGAGTCACTGCCCCCTCCTAAATGGACCCAGCTTTCACGGTTTTTTTGGTCCACAAGCCCCCACCCCCGGGGGGGGAGGCATACTCAACGAAGTGTTATATGGGGAGACTCTGTCCCTCCTCTTCCCCATTTATAATTATAATATTAAATTAATAATATAATATTTTTTAGAGAAAAGGTATCTCTTCATGTTGTCTTCTATTGACAAATGGTACTCCTTTCACATACCTTGCTTAGAACAATAGGAATAAACCACAAAACTAGAATGTTTTCTCAACTTTTTCACAGCCATAAAACGCGTCTGTTATACTTAGCCTTTTCACAACCGAAATCACAGATTTCCCTACCCTTTCATATACCTCAACTGAAGCATGAAAAAAGTGCCCCTTTCGGGCAGATAGGTCATTACAGGGAGTACTTCCTGGCGTACCCAAGTTTGCGACTAAAATTGTAAAGGATCAAGTAGAGCATTTAATTTTTAAGTATAAAGCTTGCAAAACACTGCCTTTGCTTGTCTTATCAAATCTCGAGCTTGTTCAGATTTTTCTCTTCTTAGTAAGAAAACATGTGAAGGGGGCGGGGGGGAGGGTGGAAAAATATGAATATAAGGAAAACAGTTTAAATCTTGAGAAAAGTTTGGAAGCCCCTTACCCCTTCATCAACAATATCTAGATATGCTTTATCTTGCGAAAATCTTAATACCTTGACGTGCCAGCAACTATTATTGTACTAGGGGGATGGGGGATTTCCCTTTTCAGTCTGGAGACAGGTATTTGTTGGTGTCCTAATCTAAGAAATGACAACTAAGGCCAGATCTAAATAATAATGGGTATGCATTTGAAGGCAGTTTTGAAAATGGCTGTGAGGAGTGACAGTTTTTGGTCTCAAATACAGTCAGGATTTGGAGAACCAGGTGGTACACCCTCACCAAGAATTCCAATGAGACCCCACCCCCCTCCCACCCCCAACACCAAATTGCACTGCACTAAGAAGTTACAGGCAAATTCACATGAAAGATCTTCATATACTCAGCTTACCCTTAAAACCTTTCATGCCTAGCAGTGCCAACTTTAATTCATGACACAATATAATGTCCCCCTTTTTTGGTTCTAAGTTATCTAGAGACCTTCCAACTAACATCTGACACAATGGCAGGATAAAAATAAAATAATCCCAGGTTTAATCTTAGATAAAACAAACTAGGCTTAATAAAATAATGGGAAAGAATGAAAGTAAAATTTAAATCATCTTGATGCTGGGGTGTTATGGGGCGTTTTCAATTTCATGCAAGGCTCTTGACCAATCTAGAAAGCGGCGATAAATCACTTTTTTTTGCAAAATGAGAATTAATGACTGTATATTTTACGTAAAAAGTTGTTTCAATCAAGCGTTGCTTTGCTTTGCTAGAAAGATAATTAGTAAAATGGAAAACAACTTACAGCTTTGTTAATTTACTCAATCCGGTAAAGGCAGTTATAGCAATCACCTTCAGCCTATTGCCCGATAAAATACTGAAAAGAAAACAAATCACTTCAAGATCACATTTTCCGAATAATAGTCATCTCCAGGCACCAGCAGCTACTACAAATAATAATGTAAACAAGTAATGCAAAGAATAATGGAAACGCTTAAGTGGGTGAATTAAGACTTTTATTCGAGTGCATGCCGATTAGAACCAGTTGATGGATGGTTGAATCTAGTTCATTTCAGAGGCAAAAACGAACATAAGAACAGGATCGAAATAAAAAAACAAAAGCTTAAACGTCTCCAAAACTACTTTACTGTAGAACAACAAAATTTAAGAGTTGTGGTTTTGTACCTTTCTAGTTTAAAGAACCAGAACTGGAAGGTATGTTAACGCGTTGACAAGACTATCAAATTCCTTTCTACTGAAAACAAGGAATGGATTTTTCACGCGCACATTTTGTTAAGTGGACGCTTAACAATTTTTAATTGAAATTGCTGAAGTGATATTGCTTTCTGTTTTGAGGACTCTTGAGGAAACCACTGAAATATACTGAATAAAGGAACACATAACAATGGCTTAAATCTCAATAAGCTTAGGTGTCAGACTGATCGTACAAAAACTAATGAACTGGCTTTTCACACATTTTTCTGGTTAATCTTACAGTTTTTTGATTCTTGCAGCTTTTTTGCCTTTGAAGGCAAAGTCGCCGATTGATTCTATCTCATTATTGGAGAGATCCCTGCAATGGACACAAAAAAATAAAAGAACACATGAGTACTTGATCAATCACTCGGTTATCGACATAAAAAAAAACGCGAAAACAGGTAGCACTTAGCACAGTTTTTTTCAACGCGCAAATCGACCGCTTTTAACCAAAATCTTTTAAAAGTATTTGAACTGATCATGATATAGTGAGTAAGGTAAAATCAAGACAGGAGGACGCTAAGGTCAAATTGTAAATCTACGCCTCAGCTCTCGATCGACGATATCACTTACAACAGTAGCGTCTTGTTGTCCGGTAAATCATCAACATTCACTGGCTTCGTCATTCCCCGGTTGTCACAGTTAATTTTCAAAGTATTATCTCTTTTTTCACAGCTACATTTCGGTAGGCAGGTTAAGGAACGCTTAACTCTTGATCCCAGCAAAAACAGCGTCACAAAGATGAGATGTTTGAAGACTGCTTTCATAATGGCGCGCCGCCAGTGTCAAAAGTTCTTGAGTATAAGATGAATCAAAAGCAGTCGACCTTCGCACACGCATCAATGGAAACTCTCAAATCACTTTTGCTATAACATTGCGGACAAAATACGACGTAATTCCCAACGACCGAAACTTGTAAACATCTTCAAAATTGACTTCTGTGAACCTATTGTAGAACAATCTCAGAAGAGACTCATTTGCATATCAATCAAATGTCAGTAAGAAAGAACGTCACTTTACGGGGGAGGAGTGGGAAGAACTGTACCTCTTGCACCAGAGTTCTGTGTCTTCAGCGAAAGAGATCTATCGCACTGAGAACTACACTAAAAACTACACTGATTCTCTTTTTACTATAAATTATTCTTTTCTTTTTTTTTTTTTTTTTAATTAAAACTGCTTCGATTTGAATATATGGCTACCCTAGTGGGTAAAAAATGGAAGATTTTTGTCCTGGGGGTAGTGACAGTAAAGCTTCACGTGGTGGAATTTCAAGATGTCTGCAGCAAGGGTTTTAATTTACGGAGGAAAGGGCGCGTTGGGAGCTACCTGTGTATCTTATTTCAAGTCCAAAAACTGGGTAAGCAACTTATAATAACTTCCGCGGGGATGTAAGACGTTTCTGTTGCCTAAGCAGACTTCTGTATTTAGAACCGTAGCATGCCTATTATGTACCCTTAGATTCTATCTCTCGCAAAATACTAATCCCTTTTTCGTCAAAGTGAAATTTAAGAAAGTTCACCGTCCCAAACGTGAGGTGTATCAGTATAAACTTTCTGTCTGCGTACTAACTTGCGTACTAGCTTTTTACTAGCCTGCGTGCCTGCCACGTACGGAGGCTAGCTTTTTACTAATTCATTCACATCAACTTTCATAGTGGGTAGCATCAATAGACTTGTTTCCTAACGAAGATGCACATGCAAATCTCGTTGTTACCAAGACTGAATCATGGACTGAACAAAATGAGGAGGTAAGAAAATTCCTGTAATAAATAATATTTAATATTTATTTTTCAAATTAATCACCTAATTGAAAATGGGTTAGTTTTTAATTGAAAGTAGAGACCTTGAAAAATAAAGGGAAATTTTAAAACCAGAAAGCAGGCACTTCATGCACTATTTTTATTTTTAGAACTCTCAGATAATTTTTTTCTTTCATGAAAAGCAACAGCCAGTTGCCTTCCCAAACATAATCTACTATAGATGCATTTAAATTCATCACCAATAGATGAGCTTGGGCGCTGGTGCCTACAAAGTTGGTGGAGCCGGACAATGCTCTAGCATGAGGAGGAGGTATCCATGGCAACCCTGCAAGCAGCCCCCACCAGGCACCATGTGTCACACTGAACAGTTCAGAGGAATACTTACCAACCAATGCTTACTTGGTCCGGACCTAAAGAGGGAGGAAGGGATGGGAAAAAACAGCACAAAATGGCAAATAAGCAACAAGCTATTGCGACAACACTTTGCGAAACACCACAAGCAAGCAACTGCGTATGCAAGTCACCAGGTGACCCTGCTAGGGGCATTGGGCCATCCCTAGCACACCTGGAAAAACTGCTAACCAGCATTGCTTCGAGTTTAACTTTGTCTAAAATATTACATTTAGCCACATGTATTAATGAACTGTAGCATTTTGTTAGTCTCCATCACATGATCACAGCCACTCGAGTCTGAGTCATACAACGCTCCCCCTAAGCATTTTTTGACTGGAGTGGGTCTAATGGAGATTAGCATTTCACAGAACTTTATAGATGTAATAATGTGATAATTAACAAGCTGCTTTTTTTAGATCCAGCCTAAAGTTGAGGCACTTCTGGATGGTAACAAACTTGATGCAATTATATGTGTTGCCGGAGGCTGGGCAGGTGGAAGTGCTAAAAGTAAAGGTACAAAAAATATGTGTACTCATAAATTTAATTATGATTTTTATTTTATTTTATTTTGTTTTTGTGCTCAACATTTTTTACAAACATTGCTTGTCTTCATATTTTCTTATTAGGTATATTATTTTAATTACTGGTCATTATACTCCAACACAGTGAATTTTAGAAGGTTACATGTTTGTGAAACACACTTCCCATGGCTTTTTGTTTTACCAGCTGTCAAAACAAACAGCCTTGCAGATCGATACCAGACATTAGGGGTTAATTAACATTTAAGCCTAGACGAAATTTAAATTCCCATTTTCTGTTCCTATACTTTTCCTGAAGTAGTATGAATAAGTTGTTGGTGTATCAATTGAAATTTATCTTTTGTGATTATGTCCTTAGATTAATTCTCATCGCCAATCTGTTTTATAAAGTGTTGGTATTACAGGGAGAAACTTGATGATGATCATGGCTTAATATAAGGGGATTATTACTTTGCGTTTTTCTTCTACATGTTTTTTCAATCAGCTGTGGTGAAGAATGCTGACTTAATGTTTAAGCAGAGTGTGTGGACATCACTCATTGCTTCCAGCATTGCATCAAAACACTTAAAAGAGTAAGTGAATGATACAAGAGAATCCTGATCAATTTCTAAAACCCTCAGTTGTTTTGAAAGAACTGGCTAATTTAGGTCATTCAAACCTAACTTCCCTTTTTAGCTGCCCAATAATTCAAACCAATTTACTTTTCCCAGGGTGGTTTGAAAAGTTGGGAATCTACCATTATTGGTTTTTAAATTCGAAGTTGACACAGTATTATCCAGCCTTAAGAAGTTGATACTCATTGCTTAATCTTTCTGTGAATTCTTGACCCTTAAATTATTGCCTACTGTACTTTTTGTTTTCAGTAATGGACTGCTTACACTGACTGGAGCCCAGCCTTCTCTTAGCGGTACACCAGGTGTGGCTCTTAAGTATTTGCTCAATAAGAATATATCAGACCAGAGTAGAAACTTGCTTGAGGTTCCCATCTGACTGTAGCCAATGTTACTTATCAACTTGTGCAGACCCTTTGTAAGACTTAATGGCAGCTAGTTATTTGAATGTATGAAGTGTGTTAATTATTTACTATACAGTGTTGAGTCACAGACCAGTACAGGGCTGTAGTTCACATTAAGTAACGAGATCAAGAGACACTTGCATTTTGCCTTGTTAAGATTTTTGCTTTTTCCTTGTGACAGCCTGTCATCAGCTAGGGTCCTATTAGCTGTTCAGTTCAGTGCGCTTGCCTCCTCTGTTTTGAGCACTAAGTGATAACCTTACTGTGGGGTTGTTCTGTAACACATAGAAAGATCTATGTTTTGAAAGGGTAGAGACATGTAACTTTTCAGTAGGGCTAGTATATGCCTAAAGTGTGCTTACAAATGAAAGAATTTTATTTTAAAAGAAGCAACAACATGGTAGTTATTTTTTTATTGTTTCAGGAATGTTGGGTTATGGAATGGCGAAGGCTGCAGTTCACCAGTTGGTAAAAGGACTGGCTGAAGAGGAAGGAGGACTTCCTCCAAGTGCCTCTGTTCTTGCCATTTTACCGTAAGTTACATTAGAACCACTCAATGTTGGTTGTTCCCTTTTGCATGAATCTTTAGATGTTCAAGACATGCCACAAAAATGATGTTTTTCTTGTTAGAGTGAATCCCTGCCATACATCCACCCCACGAACCCAACTGCATTATTATTTTAACCTCTCTTTAGTGGCATGAATACCAGTTCTATCAGTCATTCCTAATTCCACATCTTTTTTAAACCTCTAAGGCCCAAGAGACAACCATTAAGTTAAAATAACCAACACCCGCCTTTTCAAATCCATAGTTATTAGCTTCTTTAGATTTTTTAGCTCTTTAATATGACCAGTCAGTTGAATGCTGATGCCTGATGGTTAGTTTAGGGGAACTGATCAATAACCAAAAACCCACAACTCACTTTATTGATAGCTGGTCAAATGTTAATGTGTATTATTGAGCGTTTGAGTAAAATTTGTGATTTTGAAAAGGTTGATAATCTATAGTAAGTTATACTTTTCATGCATTTTACAAAGGCCTTGAATGGTACTATATACCCTGTTGATATGACCTTGTTTCCATGGCCCAGTGGTAGTCACATTGACAGTGTTCCATTGTACTGATACCCTGCATAGAAGGCACAAGAGAATTTATGGCGTAAAATAGGAACAGCAACATTATCATCCTAACGTATGTTCTCCTTACTCACGTGCATCACTTGTCTTATACCCCATATGACTTCTTATCAGCCTGCCACACAGGCTACTGAACTGAAGGCACAAGTGAGATAAGTTGACTGATACTGAAAGCAAATTAATGTGGTTACTCTAATTACTTTAATAGGATGACTTTGGATACCCCTGGAAACAGGAAGGGGATGCCAAATGCTGATTTCACTCAGTGGACACCTCTGGAGTATGTGGCAAAGTAAGTGTGTGGTATACTTAAAATTGGTTATGGACCTTTCTTGCATTCTACTACAGTGAACAAACACAGTGAAACAGTTTCAAAGACTGATGGACAAGCATTTTTTGGGAGTCCAAAAAGTTACCAGTGTTTTTGAGAAGCAGACCTATGGACCTATTCTGCCCTGATATTGTAAACAACCTTTATTATTGAAAACAAGACGAGATCAGTGGCAGATCCAGGGTAGGGGCCCCCCCCCTTATTTTTAGACCAAACTGAGGGCTAAAAAAAATTTTGTGCGAGACCGCCCCCCTCCTTATCTCAGAGTCTTGATGACCAGGTCCCCCCCTTATCTGAAGGTCTGGATCCGCCACTAAGGATACAGGATACTACTCTTGATAGACTGCTATGAACACGTTACATGTGGTGAATGAGTCAAACAGAGGAGAAGGCCTCTTTCCAGTTCCCTTCATAGCCTGTTCACTCTCTTCAGGTCTGCCAAGTATTTCCCCCGTGGGGAGGGGGGGGAATTTTGGGGGTGGGGGTACTCCTACATGAAAGGGGTGGGGATGCTTGTTGTCTCACTTAGGGTGTTTTCTGGGCAAAACGCCATTATATTAAGCTGCAATCATTGGGCCACGCCCAGATTGGGGGGATGGGGGTGGGGGTACTCCCACATTAAAGGGGTGGGGATGCTTGTTGTCTCACTTAGGGTGTTTTCTGGGCAAAACACTATTATATTAAGCTGCAATCATTGGGCCACGCCCAGATTGGTCTCCTTTAAGGGTTTAATTCAAAATTCCCGATGAGCATCCCCGCCCATTTCATATGGGAGTCCCCCTCAACGGGATCTGTCCAAAGTTGGACTGCTTTTAGGTTATCCTCTCAACTGGGTCATGTCTTTCTTACAGCTTGTTATTTGAATGGGCCCAGGGCACTGATGTCCCAAGCCGAGGAAGTTTGGTGAAACTTAACACAAAAGATGGCAACTCCTCGTATGAGATTCACCCTGGGGGACTGCTGTGATTATCATACAATTAAAACCATTCCATTGTCTCTCTTATCCTCTGCGTATTAATACAACAAGAACACAAGAACAGCTATAAAATGAAGTGGAAAATCCAGGATAGAATTTGTTAGGACAGCTGACTAAGGCAGAAAAAATGACCGTATGAAGTATTTTAATATTTTGATGCTTGAGAAAAAGTTTTTACATCCTAAAAAATTGAGTCATAGGTAGGGTAGACTCGACTGGATGTAAATTAATTTCTTTCTCGAGTCAGTTGAAAAAGGCGATAAAGAGCAAGGCGTGAAGTATTTTTAGATGGATTCTCTATTGTTTCTGGATTGTCGTTTCCAACCTCTTTCCCAGGGTTCTCCCCTACCTGTCCTTACGGAGCGAGAGAGTAGGAGAGAGAACCTGGGAACGAGGTTGTGTCATATTCTGATTCTGATTAAGTTGTTAAGACAGGCTAAAGAAAAGAAGTAGCAAATACGCTGTTTGACTTGTGTCGGGTTTCCTGTGAGAAGGGGTTCCTCTTCAGTGAGGGTCGTACAGGGTTGTTTTCGCCTATGCGTGATAACCTGTTTTTATTTTTCTTGAATCCTGAATTCTATAAATTATTCTTCGTGTTCCGTGACGAAATGGTTGTCCGTGCCCCGAGAAAAACTTGAATTATTAAATTGTCGATATTCGTGATTTTATTACATATTTTGGCTCCTAATTTTCAGTTTCGAGACCTCCGGAAGATAAGTAATTACTATGAAAGCATCGAATGACAATGCTGAGTTTTGTAAGTTGCTATTTGCAGTCTTGCTTTTTCTTTTTTCCATTTCAAGCTGTTTTTCAGACACTTCTTTACCACTTTTTTCTTTGCGTAAAAACAAGATAAAAAACGGTACTTTACATGCTACTTATGTGACTCGAAAACTGAAATGAAAGTTTCATATCCGTGATTCGTGATCGGTTACTTTTTGATCTGTAAGCCGTGCCAGAGACCCCCTGTGCGTCCCTGTTCGGTTGTATGCGGGTAGAAAAGGTTTCAGTTGTTGCGAATGTGTGGGGCGTGTTCATAAGCGATTAATCGCTGCATTGTGCGTGCGTGATAAGCAATGCAAAACTTTTTGTGTCAGGTAATTTACAGTAAGAGGATTACGGGATAGAAAAGTTACAGGTCTATTTTTTAGCGTTTTTTGGTGTAACAAAGCACAAAGCGTGCGTGGGGAAGGCGCGTTTTTCAGGCTGGCAAAGGCAAGCGCGAAGCATGTTTGGCAAACATGATCTAACAAGCGACCAATTGGCTCCACTCCCGAGTATCCTGTAAGCATGATCCTTCTACTGGGGAGACAGGGCGAAGAGAGGTCGAGAAAGCATATATAACCGTACTACTGTGGTGCCGAACAAAAGGTGCAGTAAAATCAGTAGTAGTCCGTCAGAATTGTCGCTCACATGCAGCGCGAGTAAAAAGACTCCAGTTTCCACTTCGATTAGTTCGCTCTCCCAAGTTCTGCCAAAGGAAAAGTCGACACTCTGGGAACGAGGCCACGCTTCCAAAGAAAACTTCCTAGAGACTCAAGTTTAAAAGGATTCGCTGAAGATAGCCTGCGTAGCAGGGCAGATAAATGTTGGGCGATGAAACGAGCACTCCGCTCTTCAAGTGATGTGTGATGCGGAGTATAAAACTGGCGCGAGCGCTCTTTCCGCGCTTCCGTGAAGAGTTGGAAAACTCAGTCGTATCTCATTTCCCGATATTCCCTTGATAATCCCAAGTTGCCGTCCGTGATCTCTGTAAGTTCAAAATTTGATCCCAATCCACTACCTCACACCTTTCTGCTCGGACGCGCTCGTTTCATCGCCCTACCGACCAACCTTTATCCGCCCGGCGTAGTATGCGTTTCCGCGCGAGGTTGTCGAGAAAGTTGGGACGAGAGCAAAACTGTCCAGACTTTCGTGCAATAACTCGATTGGAAACGCTTGCTACGCACAATTTTATCCGCAAAGCACTAAAAGTCACTGATCAAAGACCGACCCTCTCACGGTTTGCAATAGCTAACGTTTTGATATGCCGGGGTGGAATATAAAAAGCCGACAATGTTCACACAGGCTAGACATCTTCCGGGGGAAACTCCCTCGTACCATCTTAGCGAGCGAAGGGCCATAACACAAGTCATTGTAAAAGTAAGGGGGTGCCATAAACAGAGATGAAAAGCAAAACAAAGATGCACAGATGGTGAACCAAAAACAATTAATGCAAAGCGGAAACTCCTGCACGCCGCATCAACTTGTATCGTACGACAGAAAAACATTTACGTAACTGTGTTTCCTCTACATTTGCGATCGTAGAACAGAGCTTTTAAGTATAACCTTAGCCTCCAATAAACTTAATAAGAGTGACCGTTTGAAGTTTATCTCTGACTGATCAAATACACAATTGTGTCCCAAAGAAGTGCGTTTGACCCAGAAAAAACCACATGGTGGTATGACCCGAAATTTCAATGCAAAAACAATCGCGAAATATAATTTCTTTTACTGAAATTGCCTGGGTGGTTTATTAATCACTCAAGCACTTAAATGCATTAAACTTTTTGACAAAATTTTAAAATGACATTCTCACAGAAAGGATTATTTTCTGCATGACTTCTGGCGTATAAAAACACAAGAACCTTTAAAGAACATTTTCTAGTCTCCCATATTTTATAGTATTTTACAACTTTCTCTTATAAACAAAAGGTTAAAACTATAGGCTGTTCGAACTCAATTCTTCTTAAAATATGTTCTTATATAGCGGCAATCCTCTAATCCTTCCCACAGCGCCTCTTGGTCCTTCCTTTTCAGTGTTGCAAGTCGTTTTTCTCTGAGAGTTTTATTTTTCTGCGAGTACAAAGGAGGCAAAACAACTGCAGGAAGAACATCACACAAATTTCTTTCTTTCCCTTTTCTCTCGCTTTTAACTTGGACCTCTTCGCGGATGAAATTCCTCTGGGTAGAGTTTCCTAGTTTCATTCCGTTTTTGCCTACCAGTTTGCTTGGCAAACAGACTTTGTGTTGGGCTGTCTGGCTACACCAACTTTGGCTCCGTCGTATAAAATATTCTTCGTTAATCGCAAGAATTCTTTTCATGTCTGGAAAACTAAAGAAAGAAACAGACTCATCCTGGCTGTAATCGAAACCAGACTTCTGAGATCGAGAATGCCTTTCTTTGTGCCTTGCTGAATTGTTTCTAATGGCTTCCAAATTTTGCGGTTCCCAAGTCACTGCTGATCTTGAAGACAACTGGTCTTGTGAAGACATCCTCGTGCTTGCTGTCATTTGATCTTGAAACCAAATTTTTCTGGAGGAATTTCCACGTGCACATAGCTTTAAAAAATTGATAAGAGTTTGTTTTTGGGCCTTCAAGCGTTTCTTTTCCTCTGCCGTCTGTTGTTTTTCTAAACTCTTGCGTACCTTTTCCAATTGCTTTTCTTCGCGAGAATTTTTCGCAATGATCTTCTTTGCCTCCGAACTCTCCAAACTGAACGATACCCCAAAATCGTTTTCTGACTTGAGTTGCTGACCTTCCATTGAAAACAAATTATAAACTAGCTGATCTAAACATGTGTGCAATAAAATAAACTTTGAGAAAGTTTGACGGTACGGTTTGTGTAAACTGAACGCTCTTACAAAATTCATACAGCCATATTCACGCAAGTGGGCTGGCTGTGTCCGAGGCTGACATGTAACAAAATTAGAAGGGAAATGGCAGGAACGGGCGGAAGGTATGAAACAATGTATAGAAATCAAAGGAAGTCAAATGGAGCCTGATTTTCTAGCCAGTGTCCGTTCTATTCGGAAGCCACGGATTATCATCCACGACAATTTGTGTCATATGTCAGATAACTAAACCACCACGGTATTGATTTCAAGCTACAAGTGTGGGAAAAATCGGTCTAACAGGAAAAATGTTTTTCGCCGAATAGTATAGTTAATTTATTTTATGTCAGATGTTTATCCGGCGGCTTCCGTATTTTGCTGACGGGAAGTTGTGTACTAAAACGACCCGAGGACAGACAGATTAGCAAGGAAGGGAATAACGTACCCGGGTAAATGCAGCGAAAATGATTGAAAACTGAAGGACGGATCCGCAAATACGATCCAGCCTGAGTGCCTGACAAGTCTAGTCGTGAACGCCTTGACGCTTTGTTAAAAATTTGGCAGGTGACCGCATATTCAATAACCAATGCACCTATCAGAGGCCATCCCGGGAGGGGGGGTGACTCCGGGGAGCCCCCGGTCATTTGCACAACGACGTTTACAAATCCTCCCTAACCAAAACCAAGGTTGTTTAACTAAAAGCTACTAGCGCCCCTCCCCTTGGGGCAAAGAAGTGTGCCTTGCCAAGTCAAAAGGTACAATACTTCAAAAGAGTTCTATTTGCCAGGAGTTTGCCATAATTAATTTTCTATTTGCTATAATTATACATACAAGAGGTAATTAAAAATAAGCAAAGAAAGCTATTCCACTTGTTTTCTAGACATGATGAGGTTCAGCTTACCTTGTAAGTCATGGAAAATCTGAAATGGGAAAGGAGAGAATATTCTTGTTTCGTGGTAATGAACTGAACTAGGATTCCTTGAATTTATTTTGATTATAAATATTTATAGATATTTACAAATCCCGCAGGTTTTCCCCCGGCGGATCCTGCTGCGAAAGTGCAAAAGTAATCCAATCCCCCCATCCCGGGCTTAAGATTATCGAACAAAGTTAACAAATCCCGCCCCATGCCCGCGTATGTTCCCGGAGTTACCCCGGGATGGCCGCTGATAAATGCATAAGGACTTTTCGTTTAATTCGTAACAAGAACAATTTTAAAGCTCTAACATAAAACCAAAGCCAACCTTGATGATTGAACAGTGAGACGGAAAAAAATGAAATAAATTAGTACTCCCTTTTGTCGCCATTTTCCCTACTTCAATTATTATCTCATTTTCTCCTTAATGATCAGTTTACTCTATTTTACCTAGTTTTTAAGGATTTTTACTCGGCAGGTTCATAGGATATCCTCCCTGAGCAAATCTCACTAGTTTATTGCTTTTTTTGCCTCAATTGGATCTTTTTCCTGTTAATGGTCCCCTCTTCAGATGAAATCTCGATTTAGTTTCCAAGCCTGTTCACTTAGGTTTTGAACTACAATAGGTTTATCACAATTTAAAACACTCCAGTCCAATCCGTTCGAACGACAACCTCTCAGTCTCAAACCCCAAAAGTCCACCAAGGCAACCTCTGGACTCTCTGAACAACGGCTGCTATCCCATCTCCATCTCTCTCCTCGATCCTCCACAGCGAGGCTGAGAAAGAAAAATTGTTATTTTTATTGGGAGGAGCCCCTGCGGAGGGAAGAGCGTCTGGGCGTGATAAGCGTAGAGTCTGGGGCGAGAACGAAGAGGTGGTGGAACGCAAAGATGGCGCTGAGGTGTTTTCAGTTCGGGCGTTCGCCACGATATTTTTCTCTAGCAGTTAAGGCGTTCTGTTCAAAGGTGAGTTCGTTATTATAATTAGGTAAGTAAACGGTACCTTTCTGTTGACAATTCTCTCGTTCAATTCTTTTCAGGCTGTTATCGATCGAGGCGTTGTTCTAGGCGTGTATGAAAACGAAAGTAGAGAATTAGGACTTGCGGAAGACGCATTTACGGACGCGACGAAGAAGTTCAACGCAAGAACATCTGGGAGGCTCAGAGAAATGATTAGACTGTAAGGAGAGAATTCGTGAATTCATCAAACCTAATTCATCCTATTCATTTATTAACAGTCACATCTACGAATTCTAGCTTTCAAGGGATACGATTTCATGATCTCACGCATGTTAATGGTGGCTTGAGGCCAATTTGCATAAAATCTTAAAATGGTCATTGTTTTGTAATTTTTACCAGAATCTTTCAAAAACTGGCAACGACAGAAAAAAATCGGTGGGCTTACTTTTTCTTTGACATGAGAAACTGCATACTTGTGTCACATGGCCTGTTATGGTCAAGTTCAGGAAAGAAGAGAAAATACACAAAGATTGAATTATGGGGTGGCGAGATGCCACACAGTAGAATTTAAATACAGTGATTTTGTCATTGTATCATTGCTCCTCACATAAAAGTGGCAATGTGCAAAGAAAGTAATGTCTGATAGCCCGGGGCTAGTGGATTTTGCCATTGGGCTAGTGAATTCTGTTGTTAACTTGCCTGTCGAATAACAGAAGAGCTATGAAATCAATTCTGCTCGTCAAAAAGCATCTGGGGCAAGTACTGACTACCAGTAAGTCAGTAAATAACAGAGAAAATGCCTTGCCTTCTGCTACTGAAGTTCACATTTCACACTCCCAGTGATGTTTAGTGTCACCATCTTATAATTACTGGCCCATCTCGACTGACCGAAAACCAGGAAATGCTTTTGATGCTAAACAAAATAAAAAGGGGATGGCTAGCTATTATAAGGGGTTTTTGCGGTGAGAGAAAATCCTGCTTGCCACATTTCTTATGAGTTTTGAATGCCGCCCACTTTTGTCACCTTGGTTGGAACTATTTGATTACCCAATCATGAAGAGGGGTATAATACGAAACTGACCTGCAAACGAGCCAGGCTAAGAGTGACAAAACATAGCACAGAATCAAGTCACAGACAAAACAAATACATGTAGTAAGTTATTCAGGATCCAGGCAGGGCAGTTACTCCAACCTGAAGAAACCAAGAACTAATAAATTATTAAGCGGTTATTTTGCTGTAAGAAGAAGCTTATATAACGCTTCAAAAGAGTTCAAAGAATTCCCTAACCTACTTCAGAGGTCAAATTCTGTCAGAGACAAAAACCACAGGAAATCAATGCACAGGTAGGAAACAAATCTGCCTCGTGACCTGTAAATCGGCAAAGATAACATTAATTTTGCTCAGTCAAAATGAAGCATCCTCCACAGCATACTCCACCCGCTTTTCTAAGATGTCAGTTTTCAATGATCAAGCGCTCTTTTGATGTTGAGCTCAGCTCGACCAGAGACTTTGCACTGGGTGACGAAAGGCAATAATTATTGTCTGATGTGCTTTTTTTATAGAGCCAATTTCCTGTTGTAAAACAAGGTTAGTTCCAACCCTTTGGATAGCAGAAGACGTGTCTTAAGTTTTGAGATCTTTTTCCCTCAAAAAATGTCTTTCAAGGAGTTGGTTCAACCTCACATCTTATGGTGGAGAGGAGCCTGTTAGCTTGCCTAAGTATATTTCATTTCCACGTGAACACACTTACTTTCCCTTGGGAGAGACTAGAGATTTACATTAACATATGACTGATGTATTATCTCTCAGCCAATCAGAAACTCCTGTACGCTTGGTTGGCGGACTATTCAAAATACCCAAGAATTAGGGCAGGCGCGATTTCAATTTGACTTGCTCTCAAACTTCACGTGGCTCCACCTCCAAAAAACTACAGTACTCGCTGCTAATCCTGCCAGCTACGCAGGCTAGGGGGTGGCCTATTAGCAGTGTTTGCCCAAAATACTGAAGATAATTATATGGATGGTGTGTGAATGTCACAGTAGACTACAATAGTTTCTAGAATAGCACGGACTAAATTTTTGAAGAAGAAATTTCTACTGTAACTTAATTCCCATAGCCTCAATTTATATTCATATTATTGAGGCTTACATAATGTATGAGGCTGTGAGGAAATCGTACCATACACCATAATTTAATATTTAATTTATTGCTTGGTCATGATTTTATTTAAAGGTCTGGATTTGAGGGAAAGATTGGTAAATCCAAAGCATTCTTTGGCATTGATAAGGTTTGTATAACTTTTTTGAATTTTTTTCTTGAATATTTCCTTGTTTTTCCAGCTCTTAGGAATTTCAATGTATCATGTTCAAAATGTAGTAAAAGGTCTTTTAACATACATGTATATGTGTAAGTAATCATTAAACCAATTTGTTCAGATACTGTAGCTTCCCTGTCTTACTTAATGCATATTACGGAAAGTGGTAGATTCCAGCACAGGATGTTAGAACACTGTTATTTGGCCATGGGCAACAGAAACAGTAGAAATATTGTGAAACAAATTTAAGAGATATTTAGGTAAATTGATGGCAACAGGAAGTGGTATTGATTTTGTCACTCAGGTTTCCATTGCTATGATTGATGTATTTCGCTACTTCATCTGTTCTAAATCCAAACTGGTGTGATCATAGCCTTCCATTTTTTTGACATGATTATTAGGACTATCCATGTGTTGTGGTTGTTGGACTTGGTAAAAAGAACGTAGACTCTGACTTAGAGATGAATGAAGAAGACCAGAAAAGTGGTAATCTTAGGCAAGCATCGGGAGGTAAAGCACTTGTAGTTTTTACCCACTGGAAATATTAAAGCTGCCTCTAATTTTCATTAACTAGTAACGTTGGAAATACTCTTGAAACCCATTGACACCTCATTCACCTGTTACTGTAGGCTTCAAGTACAGCCTTCGTTCCTCACTCCTCACTACTAAGGATGTTTTGCCGGAAGCGACATCTGTGCCAGTGACAGAAATTCCATGACGTAAATCAATGTTTGTATTATTAATCCGGTAATCACAGGTTTTATGGATGTCCCCCTTGATGAAACATCCATAGCAGGAAGCTAAGGGGCAAGGACAGATGGCTGTATTCCCAGGCTATATCCCATGTTCCTTGCTGCCCTTCTCATGTCATCAGTTTTTATGTTGGTCATCTTCAGAACCAAAATTTATGTGAGTGATTCAGTCCAGCTACTCAAAGTCCTTGGTACTTTTTGAAGAGATTTTTATATGAGAATGAAGCCTTTTAAAAGCCCAGAAAAAGAGAAAACTATGAAAAAAGCTTTAAATTTGCTCATCTTCTAATGCCTCCATTTTGATGCAAACTTCTTTGGTGGTCGATTTATGCACTGTAAAATGACCAAACATTTTCAGAAATGGCTCGATCCACCAGCCATGGGGAAGGAACGTTATGGCAAAACCCTAAGATTTGTAGACTGAGGATGGAGTCATACTGACTTCAACAAGAGTAAGAGAAATTTTAAAAATCAGCAGACCTATTTTGGATTTTCTGTATAGGTTTTACTTTCAATTTCTTTGTTTTTTCTAAGAGGTCATTTACCAATGTTGGGTAATTGGCACATTGTGTTTTAACTTGAGAAACTCTCTTACAGTTGGTGTTAAGGTTTTGAGGGACTGTGGAGTTCAGATAGCAGAAGTAGATACCTGTTCTAATCCTCAAGGTAAACTGTATAAAATTTATTTTTTGCAATTCTAGATCATTGGAAGAAACTTCATGTTAACACAGATGAAGAAAGTAAAATTCAAGTAATAGAACTACATTCACATGTAAGAGTTATATGTATAGATATTTAGTATATACACACTCAGTGATCTTGGTAATTCAAGCAATCTGATTGGTTAGCTATCTCGGACTATGACGTTATATTCACCGCGCTAGGCGGTGAATATAAAGCCGAACAAAATCGCTGTCGTGAACTGGGTGTTTTGCCAAAGTTTCAAAGTAAAACCTTTTTGAAAATACACGAATATCCAAGTGCTGATGACTTTGAAGGCAAGAAAAGACTTCATGGTGTTTAAACAGCGTGATTTATTGTGGAGTGGTTTACTTTAGCTGACTTTTTTGTACGCTCGAAGCTATGTTTACCACTACAGAGGAAAACGAGGTCGCTTTGTCACTGTTTTGTGATTTCGGGATTTTCTCGCAAGACCAATTTTGCCTATAAATAGAAGTTAATTTATGGAGAAGAGAGGAAGGCAAATATTTTCGAAAATTGTACGTGCCAGCAAGTTAACAAGGCAAAGAACTTTGGAGATAATCAACGCTCACCTTGATCGCAGCCGCTGTTGACAGCATTTGCAAGAAGCGACGAAGAAAACTTTCTCATTCACGGTGAGTTGACAGAAAGAAATAAAGCTCTAGATACTTTTCTTCTCAGAATTGGGTAGTAATTTAAATTTTCGGCGTTTTCTTTTAAACCGTTGATGCTAAAGCTTACAAAACTCGATACAAAAGGATTAAAACTATCATTTGCCATGTTTGAAGATACTGTAAAGATCTAAGTTTTGCGCATCCACTGTCGGCTTCGTGTTCACGCATGAATTTTCACCCGTCAATCAAACTAATCATTTTTTAATGGTTTTCTTTCTGATTCTTTTGAGATCACTTCGTGTGAATATACTAAAACAATTATTCACCTCAGGCTCAGTTAATATTGTTGAATAATCCCCTCGACTTCGTCTCGGGGATTATTCAACAATATTAACTTCGCCTTCGGCGAATAATTGTTAAATAAGAGTACTTTTTTGGGTATGTTAAAATGACCTGTGGCAAAGATGTAATATTATTATTTTGAATTTGTCATTAAAGTATAATCTTTAAGAGGATAATTCAACTGAGCTGTTGTGGTAGTATCCATATCGTCACAAGCTCATCAAGTTTTGCACCTTATAGTTACCACTCACTACCCCTCCCCATTGAATGGACTCTCCGAATTTGCAATTATTAATAGTTTCTAATTTTATTTCCAGAATTTTTACAGTTTTGAAAGTGGTATTTAAATTATTCTTGTGTTAAGAATTCAGATCTTTTTATGTGCATGTAGTAGTTACATGTATTGCTTCCAGCTTTTTATGATTTGGTCCCAAAACCATACAGTCTTTGTGATCTCATCTGTCAGTTCAACACATCAATGAAGTTTGAGTGATTCTAGTAGCAGGAGAAAGGTGTAACATTGCAGGAGAATACTTCACACCTGAGTAAAAAATAGTCATAGGATAGTGACCGTTATCTGGAGAATTCTGCGTAATAAACAGAGAATTGTCTAATCTCTGATGCCTGATGAACACCCTGTGATTCAGAGAAATATACTAATTTTTGTCAACTAAATTTCTCTAAGTTACATCTAGGAAAAGTTTGATATAACACGTCTTTGCCACAGCAAAGAACAAACATCATTCTCAACAGGTTAATGACACTATGTGCCTTTTTTTGCTTGTAGCGGTAGCTGAGGGAGCAGCTCTTGCATTATTCAGCTATGATAACTTAAAATCTTCAAAGAAACTTAAAGTTGATCTACAGCTCCATGAGCACATCAAAGAAAGTGAACTTCGCAGGTAAAAACGACACTAATTTTATGCAGTTTTTTCTTTTGAAATATATTCTTCTAAAAGAATGATATTTAAGTTGAACTTAAGTACATCACTTTTGATTACTGTATTTATTCGAATAAGTGCCCAACCTCGAATTAGCACCCACCTCGAATAAGCGCCCATCCTAAAGGCAGAAAAAGTTATGAAGCGCCCAGCCTCGAATAACACCCCACCCCACTCCCTCCCACACAAACTCCAATAAGAGATAATAAGAGACCCTCCCGAAGACGGAGTTTTCATCAGAGTATTTTACAGAAACCTTGCTTTGTTACATCTTTGCTTTTTGTTGTTACCATTTATTATTTTGTTGCAAAATAAACATACTACAATTGCTGAGAATGGTGAAAATTTAATAAGCGCCCAGCCTCGAATAAGGGCCCATCTCGAATAAGCGCCCACTATCAAGGTCCAACAATTTAACAAGCGCCCAGGGTGGTTAGTCGAATAAATACAGTACTTTCACTTTATACTATCTTTTAGTAAAGAAGAAAAATCTCGTTTACATACATGGCATCAGCTTTTTCAAGATGGTTTGTTGCTTTCTGGAGCACAAAATTTTGCAAGGGAGCTTATGGAGATGCCGTCAAACCTGATGACACCAAGGATTTTTGCTGACAGGCTTACTCAACAACTTTCTGATCTGGAGAATGTAGAAGTGTATGCTAGGTATGTATGGCCATTTGCATCGTCAATATTTCTCTCTATCTTTCTCTTTTCCTGATGAATTTTGAATAACTTTCCTGCTTATAATATTTACATTAAAAAGCATACCTCCCCTGTTAAATACTCACAGGTGATTTGAAACAAGATATTTTTAACAATATTGCAATCAAATTACCTCTGACTTAAAAGTTTCAAACCCAAGCATCAGCCTCTGATTATTATTAATTATTATTTTTGTACTTTTTTTCTTATTTTTTGTAAGAGACCAGTCTTGGGCTGAGGAAAACAAGATGGGTGCTTTTCTCAGTGTTGGTAAAGGTTCAACTGAGCCCAGTGTTTTCTTGGAAATGAAGTATTCTGGTGCTAAGACAAAGGATCCATCTCCTTTAGTTTTTGTAGGAAAAGGTAAGACCTCATGAAACCCTGCTTGTTTTAAAATTAATGCTTTTAGTTACCCCTTGCCTTTCACAAAATTAGGAAAGTGGGTAACTGGACTATACTATTTTCAGGCATTTTCTTGAAGGCCTATATGTCACAAGGATTTTGCTGTTTTGTTCAGCTCTGTGCTAAAGAAATATTCTTAGTTATACCTTTACCCCATACACAAAAATTAATGTTCCTGTAGCATTATGATGGAGGTATCAAAATTAATGTCATCAGGGAACAATAGCCATCATCATTTTTTCAGTGTGTTTTGCAGGCATAACATTAAAACTTGAAAAAAAGTTTGATTAATTTGCATACTTGCCATCTGTTGCAGCAAACAACAGGAAACAGTTTCAATGCCTAATAAAAAAAAATATTTATAGCAACAAGACTGGACCATTATTTCTGGAATTCATTCAAATTGAAGACAAGTTTTAGCTTTTTAAGAAGATTTCAAGGAGCATGACTGAGCCCCTTTAAATTCCCTCCTTTTTTTCATGGTCTTCGCAGTCATGGCAAAAAAACTAATTTACAATGTTTATTTTGATTTAAGTAGGGAGGTATAACAAAACCTTAATGACTGATAGGAATCAGTGGTAGAGGTTGTTTCTCATTAAACCGTAATGTTCCCTTCAGCATTATTGACACTCACTGTTTCTCTTGGGGCCAGACATGAAGTGCATTTTGTACTAACAACATTTACTTAGATTACTCCTCTCTTCTGTTTGCAGGTGTTACATTTGATAGGTATGTTCAATCTTGCAGTACTGGTACCCTGAATTGACCAGCATAACTCCCTTTATATTCTTACATTTGTATTGTTGGCTTTCATTAGAAAAGGATAAAAGAAGTTTCTTTTTGCTTAAGCACTGTGGTAAATTTATCCCAGTCACATCTAATCCATTATGGAAATTCCCTTGTCAAATTAGGAATACAATGAGTTGTTGATTAAAATATGTATAAAGAAAAAGAGAGAATTATTTATGCAATTTACAGCACACACGTTTATAGAGATCTTTAGTTGGCTTGATGCCTCAGTTGGTTATATTAGAGCAATGCATTGATCCTGCAGGATCACTGAATTTTTTAGGCTTGTGATCACAGTAGAAGTAGTAGTTACAGTAGTAGTAGAATGGTCTTTCTTCTTTCTTAAAACATTTTATTTGTTCAACAACTGATATTTAATTTTTTTAAAATAATTATTATTGTTTGTATTTTCCAGTGGTGGTATTAGCATCAAACCTGCAGCTGGGATGGGATTAATGAAGGCAGATATGGGTGGAGCTGCGACGGTTAGTGCTGCATTTGAAGCTATAGCAAGACTTAAGCTGCCTATCAATGTCACTGCACTTACTCCACTCTGTGAAAATATGCCATCAGGAAGTGCTAATAAACCTGGTGATGTTGTGACTGCCATGAATGGAAAAACAATTGAGGTTAGTTGTAAAGTGGATAATTAAAAAATATATACAATTCAGCACTTTAACAAAGTGGTTTTTTATCTCACATTTTGGATCAAATTAAGATTGGGGAATAATAATGTTTTTCTTGGAGGTATTGTCTGCGGGATTCAAATCTGGGCCACGTTGGTGCAGGGTGGAGCGGGAGCAAGCTATCAAGAAAGAGTAGTTTACATTTTGGGCTTGTTCCAATTTTTTCGTCAATAGTCTCAAAAGTCTGGAAAGTTCTTATCAGAAAAATAATTTGTTCATAATTTTTGGCCAAAAAATCTACTAGGCCATTTACAACTTCCTGATGTATCAAGTTTCAAACTAAATGCTTATGAGTGCTTATGAGGTGCACAATCCTTGTGATAGCAGTTACTGTCAGTGTTGTCATCAAAGGAAGATCACCATAATACCTGTAATTAAAATGATCTGATGGCAAACTTGACCATTGTATTGTTTTCCTTTCCTCGTAATTCTTTTCTTTGTCCCCTATATCCATTTGTTCATTGGTAGATCTTAACCCTTCAAGCCCCAATATCCACGTGCGAATTCTCCATACTGATATTCATGCATTTCCTTTAAGATAAGTTGAGAGAGTTTAGTAAAATATCAACGCATTTTTTCTTTTTTGATCATTTGATTAATTCTCATAACCATTTCCCTTGACAACATATGGATATTGTGAGGAGAAAATTGATGTTGATGACTGTTGGAACTTAAAAGGGTTAATTAATTTTCTAGATTGACAACACAGATGCTGAGGGAAGGCTTATTCTAGCTGATGCTCTCTGTTATGCCAGTAACATGAAACCCCTTGCTATTATTGATGTTGCTACCCTCACAGGTAACTGTCAGCTCTCTAAAAAAGATTTCTTAATCAGTTTATTTGTCTCAGTTTTGTAATGATTGTAGTCAACAGACTGCTACCTAATTTTGTTATTGGGATGAAACTCAAGGATTGCGACCATTTTCTCCATCACTCAGTAAATTTACCTCCAGTTGATCTTATGCAAGTTTTCTGCCCCATTTTTATGTTAAAACCATGTGACATCACCCAGGTTCTCCAATGTCCCAAAGCCATGGGATGGACCACACGCATTCTCTTTTGCCTCAAAACCATGTCATGTCACTATTTTTTAAATATACAGCTGAAAATGTACAGCTTACCTAATTTTTATATTATGCTCTTTAAGTTTGTACTAAAATAATGTAGTCCAAAAAGAAATGTTTTCATATTTACAGTGCAAAATGCCTATTTTTTATCTTTGGTGATTATGTCCTTGATTCTACTTTTTATAACTTTGATGTTTAATATATGACAACCTTAGGTGCAATGGATATTGCATTGGGACAAGCAGCAACAGGAGTGTTTACCAACTCACTTACTTTGTGGCATCACATCTTCCAGGTAGTATTATGGTGTTTTGTGATGTAGTTGCGAGTGTTTACAGTTGAGACAAGAGACTGTAGGGAAGGGGGGAACAGAAACGAGTGGTTTGTTTTGTTCAAAGACTTCTTACTTTTTGTCTAGGCTGGGTTTAATTGTGGAGAGAGAATGTGGCGCATGCCTTTATACCAACACTACACTGAGCAGATTGAATCAGATGTGGCCGATTTGAGAAATACTGGAAAGAAAAGGTATGGATGGGTGAACCTAGATGCAGTGCTTTTTTGCTTCAATAATTTGGTTTGTGCCCCTTTGAACTCCATTAATGTGTTTTTTGTGTGCATGGGAGGTGGAGGGTGCTAATAATATGACAGTGTATTGGTCTCAGATTGAAAGGTCTGGGTTTGAGCCCTGGCTGGGGTAACTGTGTTGTGTTTTTGGCAGATGTTTTCGCAGGCTATTTTGGACAAGGCGCTTTACTCTCAATCCACCTTGGGCCAGGTTGTTCAAAGTAGGGTTTACATAACCCAGGGGTAGTGCAAAGTGTCAGTTCAGATATGAATGCTCAATAGGCAAATTCAGTTTCATTCTTTTTGTATACAATTTGATGATTTGATACTCTGTAAAAAAATTGCGAAAATTAACCGGAACAATGCTTTTGAGCAAACGAAAAAGAAATCCAGGTTAAAATTTAACCTTGGGTTAACACTAATCAGCCTTCGAACAACTGGGCCCAGGTGTATGAAATGGAGCTGGTTAGACTTACACGGTAATGCTATGAGTTAACCTTGGGATGAAGTAACATCCCGACCAGGCCAGGGAAAGAAGAAATATTGCTAGTCACTTTGTGTTGCAGAAAACAGGATGACCTATGGAATGATTGGTCACTCAGCTTGAATACATACTTGATGTCAACTTGAAATTATGTTTATCATATGTTTCTTTCATAGCATTTACTATTAATTTATGCCAGGCTAGCCTGTTAATTTAATTTGATAATTGTATAAAGTAATTTAACTAATAAGCTGCATGAAAATACATAGAAACAATTTAGATATTTGTTTACATAGTAAATAAATTAAATGGAATGTACTGTTTGTCCAAACTGCATGATGGTGATGATAACATTGTGTTCAAATGTACCAATAACCAGGTGTTTGTTTCAAGCATGCAGTGAGAATCGGAAACAACCAGCTGGTTTTATTTGGACATGATATTCTGTATAAATGCTAGTATTATCACAACACTGGTGATGGAAAAATACAGGATAATACTTCTGTTAGTTGTAGAGAGAGTGCACTAAAAATAATATTATCCGTTAGTTACAAGTCTTGGTCTTGTCAACAGTAGCAGAGTATGTATGTAGCCAATAATTATTGACTTAAATTATTTACACACATTATATTAATTTTTTAGACTTTATTGAAGTAGTTATAATTTTTGTCAAAGGACCAATTTAGTGAGGTATACTATGCAACCAAGCCTTTTAGTGGAATCAAGGCTGGTAGTGACTTTATTTTGGTATAAGCTTCATTGCCATTCATATGCCTAGGAACATAACACGAGTAAACCAATACCCTGGTCCCAGAGGTTTTTCTTGATTTTTCTTCGCGAAAGAGATCAACAGCAAGCCGCGAAGCGGCGACAACGAGTCGCGTAAGCGACGAGGAGACAGAGAAAACCTCTGGTTACCTTTGACCTCGAATCTCACTTCGCATGCAGACGACAGCTGTCAAACGCGTCAAATTGCTAATAAAAAGAGTGACCAATGGCAACTTAGCAAACACGTGCTTATCAGCCGCTATTTTTTTAAGTCGGGGTAGACCTGGGGAAATTATGTTGTGAACAAACCATCTTCACTTGGGTGGTAAAGCATGTGTTAACAATGGGCGACAAGAGTCCAGGAATGAGAAGACCACTTTATAAAGAAACCGACATTGTTCCAAACGAATGCTGCAGGATTTGCAGAATTTATTTGGGTATAATAACAAGGATTTTTCACAAACATTGTCATCTGTTCTGTCGGCAGTCTGCCGGCGGGAAGTTGTAAAGTTTGCAAGAGTCTATCAATCGCGCCTATTACATTGTTTACTTCTGCGGGGCGCGCCGTTCGCGTCGATTCGCGGGCATTCCCCTGAAAATAGTAATATTAATATGTATTCTGGCAATCTGGCTCGCATTTGGTTTGTTGTCCATTTTTTTTGTGAACAGCGACGCTAGGAAGAGTCATGCAGCACAACAATCCCTTAAGGCTGGAATGTACTTTCAGAGGTTTTGTTAAGTTCATTAGACCTATTCACATCTCAATGTACCCAATTCAAACCCTTTGGGAATAAAACGTTTTGTTTCAGGAATTTCCATATCATTTAAATCTGAATGCCACATTATAATGCAAATGCAATACAAAGAATCTTATCCCCGGAGATTTGAATTGGGTACAACATTGAGTTAGCTGAATAGGTCTATGCCAAAAAATAGTCGGTTAGATCTTTTTGGGCGTCAAGGAAAATCAAGCCGCACCGAAAATGATTACGCACTTTGCAAAGTTGTATGTTTTTTTTCCTACAAGGAAACTTTCATTCCGTATTCGGAGATTTTTTATTTTGCTGCCCCAAACAAGTTAGTTTATTTAATGGAATGACAGTATTGTAACAGAAAATATACTTTCCATGTCCGGTTGATAAAATGGTGAACACATCCTTTCGACTCAACGCAGCGAACAAAGCTTTCTTTGTTGCTCAGTGAGACTCCGGAAAGCGCTCATTAAGTACCGAGGTCAAAATTTCTTCTGAATATTCTTTCAGGAACAACATCCATGGCGTGCCTCTACGTGCCTTGGTCCTGCAAATGTTATTGCGAGTGCAGCATACAAACAATTTTCTTCCTAGTAGAGAGAGGCAAAAAAAGAGGTGTGAAAATCTTCCTCAGCGTCCCTCGGTAGTTACAATTAAACGAGCCAATCAAATTGGTTTGCGCGTTTGAAAAATATCAACCAATCAACGCCCGAGGGTCAGATCCTGACCCTGTCGTCTGCATGGAAGTGAGATTCGAGGTCAAGGTAACCAGAGGTTTTTCTGTCTCTCCTCGTCGCTTTCGCGACTCGTTGTCGCCGCTTCGCGGTTTGCTCTTGATCTCTTTCGCGAAGAAAAATCAAGAAAAACCTCTGGGACCAGGGTAGTAAACCAACTGCAAAATAGCTAATTTTGTCTGCCATTTACATTCATTGGTTTGATGAAATACGGAGGGAATAGAACATGTACATGATACAGAATGGTAATAGTTTGGGTTTTAGTGGAGTTTACTTAACTTTTAACCTTTTGGAACTTGTATGGGGTTCCAAGAAGATATAGATCATAAGTAGATGCCTCTTATTTAGAAAATAACATGACATAAGAAAAGTATAGATGTATTTATCATGGTGGTCCACACAGGATACTTTCAAAGCATCCCTTTTTCATATTACTGCTCATATTTTTGAACTTTTTGGAAGTATTACTATAATGTTCCAATCTGTTGAAGTTATCATGTCTTAACATTTCCTGTCAAGCCATGGTAGCTATCAGCTGGGTTTGTGCATGATTAGACATTCAAGTATGAGCTGATACTGAAATGAGGCCTGCTGCATGCACATGTATGCAGATTTATGTGACATCTACCGGTAGAATGTCCTGTCCTTTTATTGAACCTGTTTACCAAAATACTAAAGATTACTGTGGTTGTTGTTGTTGTTGCTGTTGCTATCGCAGCTGCTTACTTACTTGGTTTCATTGTAAGTGTGTTAACTTTACATGATATACATTGTAATTATTCACTTTGCTGCAACACTGCAACTATTGCTGGGGTATTTTTGTAATTGCTTCAATGCTGGGGTGGCAATTTCGTGTCAAAATTATTCCAATTTAAAACAGTATTTTCAGTGATAATGTTTTTGTGTGTGTTTGTGTGTTCCATTGAAATGGTTTGATCTGTTCCAACTCTGCGTTGGTGATAAAATTAAAGAATTCGTACCAAAAACGTAAGTTTAAGCTGTATACGCATGTTTTCTCAGCCTGCAAAAAAGGGTGCTTATGTATACAGTTAAATCAGGTTGGACACCTTAAGTTTACTACACAAACCTATACTCGTCGTAGGGAACCATTTATGCCAAGTTATTGGACACATTTTTTGAGAAAAGTGGGGAAATCAGAGTAAGAGACAGTTATGCAAGGAAAAGAGTTGAATATAGGGTTTAGCACTCTGACTGAAGTACAGTGATTAGGGCTAAGCACTCTTTTGAAAACGGTTGGCTTTCAGTAATGTAAAAATCAATGCCATATAAAGTACGTTAAAATTAACCGGTTTCGGCAGTTAGCCCTTGATGGTTTAGAGGATACGGATGTGGATTATACTTCAAATGTTGCGGGTTCAAGTCCTACATATACTACCTACTGTTTTCTTGCATTTTCTTTCTTATCTTAGAACTCCTATCATGTATTTTAAGTGAAGATAACAACCTGATTTTGGGGGTATCCATTCTAGTCACAATCAAAATAAAATACATCAGAGACCGACATAAGCTCTACCATTGAGCGGCAATATTGTACAGGAGACTTGTGGGATTCAAGGCCGAGTAGGTTCATGAAACAAGCGTCGTCGGTTGTATACCATTTACATTGGCAAACCAGTCGGTTCTTGGTTTGGGCAAATACTAAGCAAACTCAAGACTGGTAAATTTCGTGCCGGAATCGCGTTTACCATTTTCACTAATCAGTTTTACTACCAAAAAGCTGGAACTGGTATCAGAGACGGCTTTGAAGAAATGGAACACAAATTTTCGTTTGGAACATTCCGACCGGGAAAACAGGACTACCTTTGTAGATGTTGCGTTGCTCCTGAAATTTTTCCGCCGAAACGACCCGAAAAGTCATGTACTATTTACTTTTCAACCGGATTATCCGGAAACTTTTTGTAAATGGTAAACCACCGTCCTGTATTCTGGAATGGGGTAGAATGTTGATAGGTGGCATCAGGCTTTTAGCCAGACATTGAAAACTGGCCGTCCAGAATTCACGTTTTCCCGTAAACGTATGAGAGATTAGGTGAATTTTCATTGTGTTTCTTCCAAAAATGGGCGTCCATAGGACGTCTGAACACCCTTCTGGCTAAAACCTTGGGTGCATCTATATTTGTAATCATAAAAAAAACTTGATGGTGATTTGCCAAGTAACCTGTATATTGGTGTGTTGATCACCACAGACTAACAGAGTTTCTTGGTTTATTTCCTAGGTAACTCTGTTAGTTTGTTTTGACAATCACATGCTTTTTCTGAGTGCATGAATGTGTAGTTATTATTATCGGAATGAATCATAGTATAGGTAGAATTGTGAATTTTTTGGGAGGCACCATGTGCAAGTAATTACCCATTGGCCTACCAACTACCATTTTAAATTGAACATGTATGTAATATAAAAGGTGTCCTTTTGTTTCAGGGGCGGAAGGGAGATGTAAAGCGGTGATGTAAAGTCAATAGTAACATTGATGTAATGTGTCCTAGTCCATTTGAAACTTGCCTCTTGAAGGGAATAGACTGTTCATAGACCCTATCGTACAGTAAGATCGTCATGATCAAGCGCTTACTTTCAATGTACCAAGGTGATGGGAGTAGGAGTTGCAACTTTGGATGTAAGAATTGTAGGGCACATATTTGGTGCTTTTGAGTTGTGCCAACACTTGCAATGAAAATAGTCTTCGCAAATACAATCGCTACCGTTGGATGCGACAGCCTACAGCATAGAAACTCTGCGTCAGCAGCTATTATAGCACCTCCTCTCTTTCCTTTATGCCCATCTACCCCGACGCCCAGCTCCTCGGTACATTTAATAGTAAGAATGATCGCTATGAACAAGTGTCTATGAATGTGTATAGTTTTGTACCCTGACAAAGGCAGGAATGCCAAAACGTCAGTATAAGATCTCGATTTTACAATTTTCAAATGAACATTAAGTAACTACGCTGCGCAGGGATTTTAATCTTTATGACACAAGTCTATGAAGGAAATCCTTGTACCGGCACTGCTCTTCGGTGTTATAACCGGTAAGCTCCCTTAAAGGAGCATACTAATTTTCTTCGTGATACATGTTGATCATCTTTGTTTCAATAGATCGGCTGGTGCGTGTACCGCCGCTGCTTTTCTTAAGGTAACATACTGTTTAATCACTGTAGTTAATAGAAAACTAACTTTGTTGGAGTCAGTATTACAATAATAGTACAATTACCGAATATCCGCAATTAAGAATAAGACGTAATAACTAATCACCTTGAGCGCCTTGTAAGTGAGAGGCCTTGGGCATAGAAACGGTTCTCCTCGATATTGAATGATACCAACTTAAACCCAGGGTGTCTAAAAGCCGACAAGCATTGTGACCCTGGGAACAAGGTTGGGATAGTAACTGGGCTCCATGGAGTTCTTACGCGCTCGGTCATGGTTTTTAAGGTGGCCGAGGAGTAAGGGCATTGTCCAATTTAACGCACATATCCTTTGTTTGAACCAGCTAAAAATTATTGTGGTCACTAGCGTGATCAGCTCTTAGTAACCTCATAACAATTGTAAGGTTGATTTAAGGTAATACAAGTATCCTCTTATGGAAAGTGTCCTATTCACTATTTTCACATAGACCATAATGCACCTTGTTTACCCGCCAAAAATTTGCATAAGCATTGTTTTTTATTTCTCTTGGGACGACGTATGCAAAATTCTGGGGGTAAACAAGGTGCATTATGGTCTATATGATAAATAGTGAATTAGGGAAAGTTCGACGGTAAATTACAAAAGTTACACATAACAAATGAGCTCTTTTTACAGAGTATGCATTTTTTTGCATTACCGAAAGTGCTATTAAAAAAAGCAGATAGTGTGCGAAGAGTTAACCTTTCCGCACATAAGTAGTTTGTTTGTTTGCAGTGGTAAGATAAATGTGTAATAATAATTTGTAATTGAAGGAATTTGTGGACGTAAAACACTGGGCCCATTTTGACATTGCTGGTGTGATGGATAACAGTGCAAATGCTGTTCCATATCTAAACAAGGGAATGTCAGGTACTAAGAGAATATAATAATAATTATAAGCACTTACTGGCTGATCCAAAGGGAAACATTGTGGCCCTTTGGGAAACAAGACGCGAAGTACCGGTAAACGCGGAAACAAAAGGGAAAGAAGAAGAGAGTGTCAGCCTCGCCGTTGTTGTTGTTGTTTATTTCGCTCTTCTCCTCATCTGAGACCGTCCTGAAATAGCCTAAAGCAAGCCTTTAAGTTGACTGACGAAACATTGAGAACTTCAAAGCACAGATGATGTACGCTGCTCTTATTTGATCAGTGATATAGTTAGATCCCTGTAGTTCCGCAGGATTATCGCGCGGCATGTTTCTGTCTCATGCTGGCGAACGAGGCAAACTTCTCCCTGGCGTGTTTGCCTCGCTCACTCACATGTCACATGCTCGCCCGCTTGACACTCCTGTTCGACTGCTATTAGTCTATGATGCATTTTCATTTAGTTATTTATCAATTGACCGTTACTTGAACTGTAACTCAAGCTAGTATCAAATTTAAAGTGGGTTATAGTATTAAAAATATGAATCACATCATTTTAGGGCGACCGACAAGAGCACTTGTGGAGATAGCAAGACGCCTTTCAGTCAACAAACTTGACTGAAGTGGATGTAGTGTTAACTACAGAAAGTTAACTCCTCAAAACAAGGCGTGGAGCAAACTGTCAGCACGAATAATGACTTATGAGCGGGGAATCGCGGAATAACATGAGTGGAGTTATCCTGTGAACAGACCCCATCCTCTGTCGAAATTGAGAAAAAAGTACAATGAATTCTACCAAGACAAAATCCTCGAGATCTTCTCGCTTCCAGTCCCTAACTCCGCACATTTTGCTTTAATTGTGGTACGATACTCTCACTGCACATCTATTACTCCGTCTTTTACGGGCAATCTTAGCTCTTGGAGAAAGGCGAAGTCCAGGGCAACAGACGTGCGTTACCCTCTTTCAGGTTAGGTGAGAGCGGCAAAACCTAGGCGTCACTTTCATAGCTCCGTCAGACATACCAAGAGTCTACAAGAGTCACGTTATTTAAAGCTTTATCCGCGATTCAGCTAGCGTGTTCCAGGCTTCAGATAGTGGGGGAACACGCGAAAGAAAAAGGCACGCTCCCCAGTTTCCCTCCGTTTTATTTTCGTGTTTGCGCTTTCTCAATTCAGCGGACCCGACTATCTCGGAGTCTGGAATAGGCTACGATACAGCATGAAACAAGCTTTCAAGTCCAAGGCGATGAAATTTAAAGCCGATTATCGTCGCTTTCCAGTGTACGGTTCCATTTTCTGTGCAGTTAAAAGAGCGTCTAGTCTTTAGCGTTCATCGAATACAAATTCAAGAAAAGAGGAGGATGCAGTAGTATCCTTGTTACTGCATCTGGGAGATACGAACATATTCGTATGAAATGCCTGAGCCCTGATGTTACTATTATTTTAATCTCTTTACAGAACATTGTCACAAAATTCCTAGTTAATTTCAGACCTCTTTGTGAATAGTAGTTTACAGAGATTTGATATCTAACGTTACAGGTAATACATTATTTTCACTCGTCCTTATTGCGAAACTTTGTCCATATGGTATCTACTCACTGTGTCTTTCCCAAATGTCTACAGTTCCGAATCCCAGTCCCTCCTGGGCATCGCTCTTCTTATCCGCCCTCGTATTTTTCACGTGTTTTGTCATACTGTTCAAACCTAATCTTTGAATTTATTGTCAGCAAACAGAAGGGACAATCGAGTAATTGAGAAATCTTTGTAAGGTAAGCGGGATTATAAAAAAATCTCCAGTAACATACCTCAGAACATTTTCGTTATGTTTATGAGTGGTCGGGCTGGTCCCTTGCCGAGATCCCATCGGTTGCTCGAGGGAAGATCTCGGGAAATGGACAAGCCCGCTTTCTCGTATATACACAACGAAAATTGTTCTATGAGGAAACAAGGAGTAAGCCAAGCCAGGCCGGAAAGCGAACCAGCTGGATCACCTCATATAGACAGGAAACTTCCAAGCTCAACTTTCGTTTCCCAGAATTGACAAGTTAACACTTGACAAGGATAGCATTGAGGGCTTTGCGTTTCGGGCGGCCATGTTGGATGAGTGTCAAATGGGCGGAGATGTTTATGGAGGCGAGAAAACTCGCCTCCCTCCCCCACAGCTAAAAAACCGCAGACGCCCGCCCCCTCGGTACACATGAAACCAAGAAGTCCGCCCGTACTGGTTAGCGCTCGATCCAAGTGATCTTACTAGAAAACCGTTGACTGTCGACAGTCTACAGTTAGATCATCATAATATCTTCTCGTAATGAATTCCTTCCGAACTAGTTGGTAACCCTAATGCTAGGCATCATGGGAAGGGGATTCGAGGAGACAATCGTGTTGCGTTGAGTTGCGGTTACTGTTCGTCTTCCAGATCAGCAACGAGTTTCTCCTTCCTGTCAAGGGTATCATTCTAAGTTTTATTCAGGGTCGTAAAGGTCATGGAAGACCTGAAAAGTCATGGCATCTAGGAATTTCATTTTCCAGGCCCAGAAAGTCATGGACTTTAATTTTTGGTTCTGGAAAGTCGTGGAGAATTAAGGTTGTGTTTGGTAGACTACAGCAGATGTCAAAGCGAGGAAAATACAAGATGGTGGCGAGTAGTTAAACAGCCCAAAAAGCACATCTTGGTCAACACCAGAGTTTGTGTCTGTTGAATTGACTTTAAATACCCTAAGACGGGTGTTACTAAACAGAGTAACGGAGTAACGAGAAAACGAGTAACGGGATAAAAATTCAAGAGGTTAAAAAAATAAAAAATAATTCCTAATGAAAGAAAAAACGTAAAAATGGTTGTAATTTCGTAATAATGACCTTTACCAATCTCGAAAAATTTGTGTATTCCAAAAACGACGTCAACCTCCCCCACCCCTCCCTCCAGCAAAGTCGAAGGTATTTTCACGCCGAAAAGTCACCTAAACCCTCAAGGAGCAACCATCAGAGGAAGGTAAGTAACAGATTTTCTTTCTTACTACTGGCGGGGGAGTGCCAAAATTATTTCATTTCTTATTAGAAATAGCTCTGTCAGGTAAATCAAAATAATAGAACCTTGTCGGATCCTTATTACGGTTATCAAGTAACCAAGTACTCGATTGAATTGCGATGGCTTAGAAACGGTTTGCTCGCTTATTACTCGCGGGGTTATAACCTTTCCTGCTCAACTTTAAATGTCTCTTAACTCCTCGAAAATTCGGGATTCGACTTCCTAATACTACCTTCCAAAAGTTAATTAAAGTGAATATTTCCACCGTTTTAAAAGGAATTATAAATCATCTTTAAAAATAACCTACCGATGTAAAGACGCAGAAATTAGAATTAAGGCGGCAAAATAGAAATGCAGAGCGAGACTTGTTTTTAGATCGATTGTTGATTAAAGTAAAGCTGAAGTAAAGAAACATTCAAATGGATTGGTTTGTTCGAAGTTGCGTTTAACATCAATCAATTCAGAATAACTGAATCATAGTTACTATCAGGGCATGAAATTAACTCTTTTTTGGCAGGATCCACTTGGCTACTTTAATACTTCAAAGTGGTAGCCAATTTTACAAGTCGAATAAGTGCTTAGTCCCCTGAAAAAAAAACATAAACGAAACAAAACAAGGAGAAAACAACTGGTTTACTAGATGTTATTTTAGAGCCGTGAGATCTCCCAATTTTGCAAGTTTTGAACCCAAATGATTCTAGCAGGTAATCAAAGTAAGCAACGAGGACCCCTACATATCTACTTGGAAAACCAAGATGGGGTTCGCCAGCGACAGAGTTTCCTAGTGAAATATGTGTCATCAGTTTTGCATGATCGTCACAGACATTGGCGCCTGCATTAGTTGCAATTTCACGCCCTGATAACATGCAATTACATGAACTAATTTTAACCCATATTTTAATTTGTTAAGCCCAGGCTTAAGGGCTTAAAAGCAGCTACGCCACTGTCAGCGCTGAATTCTTTAAGGGACTTTCCCGCTTCTGGTCACGCTTGCGGCAAACTTTAAAAAAACATCGGTGGGTTATATGAAACGCCTGAGCTAAGATAACAACAACTAATAGTATTTTGAAATCGTAGAAGAGCCCTCGTTCCCACTTCTGTCTTCTCCCACTTATGATTCCTTCGGGAAAGGAATGATCGTGTCTTCTAGACTTGCTTTGACGATCAATCTCTTACATTAGGACCTACCGTATTTATTCGATTAACCGCCCTGGGCGCTTATTAAATTTTTGGACCTTGAGAGTGGGCGCTTATTCGAGGCTGGGCGCTTATTAAAGTTTCAACATTTTCAGCAAGTGTAGTATGTGTATTTTCCAACAAAACAATAAATGGTAATAACAGAACGCGAAGAAGTACTAGTAACAAAGCAAGGTTCCTGTAAAATACTTTGAAGAAAACTCCTTCTTCGGGGAAGTCTGTTATTAGTACGTACTTATTCAATTTTAGGGGTGGTCGCTAATTTGAGTTTGAGTAGGAGTGGGAGGAAGGTGTGGTGGGGTGGGCGATTATTCGAGGCTGGGCGCTTATTAACTTTTTCTGCCTTTAGGATGGGCGCTTATTCGAGGTGGGCGCTAATTCGACGTTGTGCGCTTATTCGAATAAATACGGTATTTAAAAAGTAGGAGCTGAAGTGGCACTTGAAGAGGGTTTTTACCATCCTGTGACTACGAAGAGGGGCCTACGTTAATTGGCATAAGAATTAAGAAGTACTTTTCTTAATCTTCTTACAAAATTTAATTTAAATCCACTCATTGGCAAGAGCCATAATAGGACCATTATGGCTCTTGACATTAGTTATCACAACCTAGCCTGCGTGGCAGGCGCAAAAAGGGGAGGGGGAGGGGGGAGAGAGAAAGGGAAAAGGGATAAAGGGAAGGGAGAACATCTCTGTCGGCTAAAAGAGCCCTTACTGCTGATTCTTGCTCCGGTTTTAAAACAGTTTCTCTACCACTAGATAAATTCACATCTCTCAAAGCACTCTCTACGACATCCACGTCTACCGCTGCCATCTCGACTGTTTGTTGATTTGTGAAACGCGCATTTCAATATGTTACTCATTACGGCTCAGCCAATCAGGAAGTTGCGGACGCCAGCGTCCGCAGATATGAACAAAAGGGGGTTCTTAGAGCAGGCGTTCCCTCCCCCTCTCCCCAATCCCCCTCCCCTTTTTCCCTTCCTCCCTATCCCCTACCCCCTACCCCTTTCGACGCCTGCTACGCAGGCTACTTAAAACCAGTATATGCAGTTTTGTTAAGTTGTAAATATTCTATGATTTGTGACAATTGTTCAGAAACACGGCACTTTTAAAATAGTCTTCCTGTTCCCGGGCTGTCGGAAATAACCTTTTAAATTACTGAAATTACAAATTTCAGCGGTAGTCAAGTAACTTTTTCGGCGCGAAAATACCCTCGACTTTGCTGGAGGGAGGGGCTGGGGGGGGGGAGGTTGACTTCGTTGTTTTAAGCCCTTTTTGGAATACACAGATTTTTCGAGATAAGCAAAGGTCTTTAGTAGGATATTACAACCATTTTTTTATGTTTTTTCTTCCATTAGGAGTTATTTATTTATTTTTTTAACCTCTTGAATACTTATCCCGTTACTCGTTTTCTCGTTACTCCGTTACTCGTTACTCGTTACTCGTTACTGCGTTACTCTGTATAGTAACACCCCCTAAGACGATTTTGAAAAATTTCCAAAGTCACAGCTAAACCTAAGGTCATGGAAAACTTTGAAAAAGTCATGGAAAAAAAGTACGAACCCTGTAATTCGGTCGGTAAGAAGAAACCAAAGAAGGATTGGAATGCGCGGATTTTTGTACTTGACGATTGAACATACACTCCTGATACAATGACTCAGAGTTTCATATAAGTAGCAACGCCCGCCGAGTTCAAACTCCACAAGTTGCAGTACGAGGGCAATTATGCACAGGCTGGCTTACGCCCGGGGGGAGGAGGGGTACTGCCATATATGGGCTATATAGGTATGTGCCGCTGTGAAGGGTATGGTTTTCAAGCAGTTTACTCTAGGATAGGGTATGTAAATCAGAGCGTTTGGGTCTAGAATAGGGTATCATTTTTCAGGAAAGTGATCAGTTGGTTGAAGATTTTATCTAGACAAGGGAAACAGCTACTCTAGGATAGGGGGATTTGGGGAGTTTACTCTAGTATAGGGTAGCAAAAATTCAGCTGAACTAGCTCTGGTATAGGTTAATGGTTCCAGGGTCCCAGCGGCACATCCCCACCCAGAAATTCCTAAAGTACCCCCCCCCCCGGGGGCTTACGTGTCACTCGGAGCTTTTTTCCGTCTTTTGAAGTCTTGGAATTGAAGATAATGAGTCTTCTATTATAATCACACGCCTATATCCTCCTACTCTAGTCCAATAACCGCCCAGCTTCTGGCTCGTTACTGTTTTTTTGTCGAGCGGAAAAGTCCTTTGTACCTCGCGCATCACTGAAACGAGGTCTGATGTTTGCCAGCGCTTGGGCAGAGTCTCCATTAAGATGGCCTGAAAGTGATCTATTTCGCCGGTAGGAAACTGAACAAGAAGTGTCCCCGGAATTGCTCTATTTCGGTCAAAGATTGATCCAGGAATAATGACCAGCCTCGGTTCGTCAGGATTGTGTGTCAACTTCTCTTTTATGATCGTGAAAAGCTCATGTGGGAGGTCACCATCTACACACACGACAGGGAGAGTAGATTCCTCACCTAGCGGGGAAAACAAGCAATTGACAACTAACCATCTTAGAAATCATCTCAGTGCCATACTAATTTCAGACCGCACATAACACTATTCCACAAATGTTAAAAAAATATGAGTTGGCTGTTTAAAGCCGCCTCGTAATCAAGTATTTGAATTTGTACTATGTTTGAAGACGAAGCGTCAGTTTCTTTACAATTTAACCCGTTTAATCAAAACAACTTTTACCTGATAATAAATTTTAGATGCCCACAAAGGCATTAAAAAAATCAGGGGTCACTGAAAAGTATAATCCTTTTGAACTAAGTGTACCTCATTCCACGAAAGACTATAAGCTTCTCGGATGTCGTTTTAACTGGAATGTACTTTTTCCTTCTTTTTTCTTCTTTTTAACTTATAAGTGATTTGAAGGAGTATTGGACTGAAAAATGCTTGTGTCTGGCATAACAGTCTACGTGCTGAACTGTTACAAAAATAAGCAACGGTTAGGTTGTGCGCGCCCGATCACTTGGAACGTGTAAAACTGAAATTAAAAGCACTGACTATAAGAATTTTTCTTTCACTCCGGAAAGTGCACACTTCTTATAGAAAGGAATTAAAGCCAAAATGTAAGTAGACAACTACAACTGGAAATGTGAATAGGGTCCGACAAGGAAAAGGAACCAAAGACTAAACCGAACGATAAAAAAACAGGACAAAACCAAGTTAAGATAAACAAGAAAAAGTAACTGATGACGATCAAGTGCAGCCAAGGTTTTTTCTTTCCCCGACTTTGAGCCGTGTAGATATCGGATGTGTTTTTGATATAGCTCAGTCTCGAAAGCTAAGGTTTCAGTGTACAAGTTTTTTGGATATTTACCATTTCCTTATTTTCTATTGATTACTAAAATCAACTCGAATCAACAGTAATTACAATAATTAATGTTAATCATTTAATTATCCAACCTTTACAGAGTAATACCCATTCTTCTAAAATTATTTGGAATTTTCCCTTCTTCTCCTGTTGTTCTTCCCTCGTCTGGTTTATCTTCTTCTGAATGGCCAGTTTTTTGTCTTTCTTCTTCATTTTTCTCATTTCTGTGTACTCCTCCAATTCCTTTCTCGTCTCCAATTCCTCCGTCCTGAGCTGCCTCTCTAAGTCTGCGGAGTAGTTACCAAGAGATATGCTTTCCAAATCTTTTAATGCAAGTTCCAGTTCATCTTTGAAGGCTCGTTCAATTTTTCTCTGTCTCTCTTCGACTCCAAAACCATGGTCTAACCTGAATTGTGTATCTCGCCAACGACGTATAACGTCGAATGATCGTGGCAATGTTGTCGTCAGTGTAGATACTCTGCTTCGCGAATTAAACTCTTTAAAAAATGACCCAATTCTAATTCCAGTTTTGCTGTGGCCTCGACCTGTTCCAGTATCGATTATCAACACCGCTACTTGATTGTAATACCTTGTCGGACGATTGCTGGCATTGCTCATTTTTTTAATCTCGTTGAGTGGAAGAGTAGGACGAAGCGTACGTGGTTTTAGCTTTTCCAAGATTTCTACGAGGTCATGCAGTTCCAGGGCTTGAAACACGTCTTTCAGTAATTTTAGAGGAGTGTCGGGGAACAATTCACTGATGTTCTCCAATATATCTGATACGGTATATGTAGCAGAGAGCCCGAATGATTCATAAAACCACTTTAAAGCCAGTGGGTCTTTTTCAAGTCTGCACTTCAATTCTGTAGTCACTTTCTTTGAAAGATCTTTCAGGTAAGGTTTATAAGGGGAGTCTAACAAACAAAGAAACAAAGACGCTATAATTTTTAAAACGAAACGCGGGTGGGAGTACTCCATACATGAAACAAACAAGTGAAAAAAAAGAACAATCGATTCAGCGGGAACAGGCAGAAAAAATATATACCATCTTAGAAAAAAAAACATGCACACATGGGGAACAAAAACACATATCATATGCAAAGCAGAAAATCACCACCCACCCAAACCCCAACCCGCCCTTTCACTTTACTGATGACCTACCCTTAATATGCTCACCGCAACGTATGTGAGATATCAGCATTTTGACAGTCTGAAGTGATATGAGCCAGAAAGGAGGTCCACTGCGAGTAAACGTTTTATGAACAGGGTACAAAACAGGAGCCTGGTACAAAACTAGTTCGCAAATTCCTACCGGCCGGTTTATATAGTGATTGCGCCGGTCGCAATTTTCCATTCACTGTTTGGGTCGAGTATGATGCTTGGCAGTCGTGTCTTACAGAAAGTAGGCCGAGTCAAAATACTAAAACCTATGCGGTTTGACAGGAGTGTGGGAACATTTAGAACACGGAGACACACTAAATGGATACACTTCTCTTCCTGCGGAGACCTGGTTCTTACAGGACAGAAGGGGATTTCCAACAATAATTTGTGTGATGTGACAATAACTTACTCAATACTTTCTGATACGTAGTGAAGATAATAAGCAGCGAACGTAACCGTTTATAAGGTATTTACTGACTTACAGCTCGTGTCCTCCAGTCCAAACTCAGAAGGCGTACCACGTGTACCCGGTACCCCACTGTCACTTGTTTCAGTTGTCATACTCCTCGCATCTTCGGCGTTTTCCAGGTAACTCTGAACGAAAGCAAGTCTTTCTTGATCCAAGTATCTGGACTGATTGATAGAGCGCCTCTCTGTTATATCAGGTGCTTGCCTCGAACCTTCACTAACCATCGTCTTGCAGTACAGGTTAGAATCAGAATATGATCGGTGAATTCTTATTGGTTTCGCCTCTACACAACTATCAGGGTCTTCTAAACAAAACGAGACAACCGGTTACACAAAACACAGTTGTGAGGGTAGGTGGCATGAATCATCAACTGCAGTGAGCAGGGTGCGGGTGGGCCCATCTTGTCTACTAGGGATTTCACGTTCTCTTTTTGACCTTATAATAAATTCTTCATTGACCACGCTTGCTTGGTCAAGATGGCTGGATACTGGTCTCGTTCTTTGCAGCATTTTTATAGGCGAATATCCCGCTATCTTGACCGAACAAGCCTGGTCAATAACGGTATATAATTGGATCATGTGCTCCGGCTGAAAGAAGATATCTTTTTCTCAGACTAACGGTATTTAGTAAAATCCAGCTAGTGATCTATTATCAATGCTGCATTCTGATTGGTTGAGCCACTACTAGGCTATATGTTATAGCCCTCTAGTAGCGAAAAGCGCTGGCTTTATGGCGGCAAAAAAGGATTAAAGTATAGCTTTAACGAGCTAAATTTTTTTTTATTCTCGATATTTTTGACAAACTAGTTAGATTTTACTAAAACAATTATTCCACTCGCCCTCATGGCCTCTGAGTCAATAGCCCATTCGGCCTTCGGCCTCATAGGCTATTGCTCAGAGCCCATTCTGGCTCGAAGAATGATTGTTAAATAGCTGATTCAATGAAGGTTAATTTGGGCATTGGGAATTTGCACTGGGAAGCTATTGCTTGTCTCTCAAGCAAATTATTGCAGTGAGTTCCGTATGCCTAATGGAGGGTGCCAATGGGGTTAGCAGTTAACTGATATTTGGCCAAAAAATTAGTAGTTAACTGAGAGATGAAAAGTTAACAGTTAAGTGACATTCTTTTAATTATACTGAAAGCGATCGTTGATGTTAATGAAACAACAAAGTTTTGCAAACATTTTGCAAACAGAAATGCTATTTTCTGACTTTTTTCTGTTCCGTTGATGACCCGGTGGCACATTAACTGATCTGATCTTATGTGCAAAGGCACATTACAGAAAGCGTCTGTCATAGAGCTGGTTTTAGACAACTCAACGAATAATTCGTAAATCTCATATTAACAAGATTTCTGTGTTCGGATAGGGAAATACTGTTGTCACGGACCCAAAAGGACGTCAAGTTAAACATTACTACCAAAGAAAAAAGCTGTGACTCTTAGCATTGGATCTGGCCAAAAATAATTTCTGATGACTCAACGAAATCAGCATCTTTCATTTAAGTACATAACTGATGTTTCAGTTCCAACTATTGAGACTATTAAGCTCGTGTTTAAACCGGTCTTTCTAAAACAGTTTCATTTCCTGAAACCTTTGGATATCTTTATGACGCTTTTGAAACGGGCGAAGAAGGTACGTCTGCGAAAAAGATAACATTGAGGGATGCGAACAAGGATGTCGACAAAGTCTGTATAGAGGAACAAAAAACTTCTGACAACGCAGGTGGAAAACCTACACGTGGTTAGTAGTATAGGAGGGACCGGTTAGTCCCCTTTTTTGCGCAGGAATCTCATTAGCGTGCGCAGGAATACATTAACTAGATGACGTCATAGGTTATTGTCTTGATCTCATGAATAAAATGCGCAGGAATCTCATTAAGATAAGGTTCTGTGCTATTTTTAGTTGGTTTAGGATTTCTAGTTACTTTAAGGTCGATAAACGTCTGTGGTCGTGGTGGTGGTGGTGGAAAACAATAGAAATGTAGTGGTGGAAAAAAAAAGGGTGGGAGTCCACCTAGGGTCGATGTGGGATCGATGTACGGTAGATGTGGTCGTGGATGAAAATTAAAAATAAAGAGTAAAATCAAAAAGGGAAAATAAATCAATTGCGGAAGAATAAGAGGGGTGTGGGGTAAGTAAAACATTGTATTTCGTGCTAAAAAGAGCTAGTTTGTCTTTGCCCTCATTAATATGCACGATTTGCCCGCCAAAAGAAAGACAAGAAATAGAGTGAAGGGATCGCTTAAAAGAACTACGAATTCAAAGTGGCCTACATTCACGAAAAGTCGAATTGTCACATGTCAAATACTTCCATGCCTTTGTTAGCACTCTCAAATATGTCTCTCCCATCGGTGCAAACAGTGACAAACGAAGATGAAGTTGGGTTGGGGTGAACTGGATAGAGAACTTTCGACCTGTTTGACAACGAACTATAAGAGGCGAAATCAACTCAAGATAAAGCGGGATGTTTACCACCAGTGTCACGGGACTATAACATACTATTTGCTATCTTTCTAAAACCTAAAACTTTTTTTTACATCAATTGAATTCTAAAAACGATGGTCCAGTATTGTTATTGAAGACTATTTTGGCACTGATATGGTTTCCTGTCGTCTGTTGCAATGGATTGACAGGATTAAAAATGGATTGAAACTTAGGCCAACAACAACATATGGAACACATACAGTAATTTCAACCAGACAAGTACGTGACTGATTCAGATAATAAAAGTCACGAAGATGGTGACTTTGAAGTAGTTTCTGGCAAGACATGCATGACCAGTTCGGGAAAGATCAGTACGAGATCATCACTGATGCGTCTGGACCTATGAGGCTTCCGTCATATTGATAGTTATATACGACTTGGATCTAATTTGTACTAACGGCAAGTCTTAATAGCTATCGCTTACCCATTTTTGCTACTTCGGTTAGATAATTATGTTCTTTTCCATATTTTACTAGTAGTAAAGTAGAAGGACCTACCCCCAAAAGTGATTGACGTGCTGAAGTAAAGAAAATTCGGCTTATGACAGAATGATATTTGCTGTAAAGATAATAGCTAACCAAAATTAGTAGTTAACTGAGAATTGGCCAAAAAAATAGTAGTTAACTGATATTTGGCCGAAAAATCAGTAGTTAACTGAGAATTTAGTACCCCCATTAGCACCCTCCTAATGCCCTCATGCCCAATTCCCAGTGACCAATGGCAAAAAGCAGCTTTCATCGGATTAGGTATATAAAAGGGTAGCACTTTTACGAGATGAGTTGTAGAAAAGTATTTAAAACGGTCTTTAAAAAATATCGATCTCGAAGTAGAGAGACGCGCCCAATGTCCAGCCCACTTCATTTTTTCATGCGGCTTGCAAAATCCAAAAAGTGGAGATAAATGGAAAAAGGAACCTGACCCCGAGGAGTGAACAAATGATTGGGTTGACTTTAATTTTATTGTGGACGGTTTGGAAACAAAATCTTCGAAACTTTTGTTGTTATAAAAAATGGAGGCGGGATGGTCATTACTGAATAAGTTACCTCCAATTTCACTGGACAGCTCATGAAGAGCTTTCTGGTACTCTCCTTCCTCAATGGTCACAATCACCTCCAATTTCTCCCCACCGGCAAGTTCTTCGAGTACTTCTTCAGTGACAAAGAAGTCTTGAAGCCGTGCTTTGAGCGTGCCATCCTTATACAAACTCCACAAAGTTTCAAGCGATGAAAGATTTTCAGCTCGAACTGTGAGGCAGATGCAGCCCTCGGTTATTTGGATCAGGCTGGTGCCAGCAGGGAGCACGCATTCATTAACTGCAGAAACGAGCTGATCAAATGTAGATTCGCGTTTTAATACCTCCAATACAGAGGCTACTGAAATACCACCTGCAACCACTTTAACTACCGTCTTGATCGTCAAAACTGAAACAAACAACAAAATGAAGTAATTTATGTAATAGCGATGCTTCATAACAACGACAACAACAATCCTTATTTACTCGCACCTAAATGTTAGATACATTACACATTTACAATGGGATAACAAGGAATAGTAATTAATTATTTGGAGCCTAGAGGCTAAAGGAACCGTACGTGAGGTTTTCCAGTTAGCCCCTAATACTCTTTTAAGTTCGTTTTAATAAAAAAAGAGAGACAAGGGGAGAAAAACTTATAGCATAATTAAATTATAGTTAATAATAAAATTTCTATTCGGGTTACTCGACGGTTTGCCTCATATCGTACACTTGATTCAATGACAAGAGAGGATTATGCTTTCTCAGCAATGAGTACTGAAAACTGCAGTGAAATACCTAGTTTTATCCAGTCTACGTCCATGCACACTATGCAGTTCTTAAATTAGGGTATTCATTTTGTCACGAAAAATAACTGCGTAGCCACCAGGAGCTATTTATTATTTATTGATAAAAACTCCACTGAGAATGTAATAATTATGGTATACATAAAGAAATTTTGAAGTACATAACGGTTCTTTATGACTAACTACGTATACTCTTGGGACAGAAGCATGACCGAGCGTAGGAAAGATGGGGTGTAAAAATAGCTGCGGTAGAAAGCGCCCAGACATTAGTATGTATTAAAGTTAATAAGCCCCCCTCCCCTCCCACTATTATTATTATTGAGTAATAAATAATAGCAGGAGATAGATAATAGACTGTATTAATAAATCACGACTGTAAAATTTTGAATGGACCGATCTAGGATGGTTTATTCACCAGCTGGAAGGTCGGACTTGTTTTCGATCCTTGGCTGCATGACTTGAACTTCTTGTACCACAGGTGGCTCAAGCTGGAAATATGAGCATCGGCAAATGCGCAAACGCTTCTTGAACAAATATCACGAATGGAAAGCAGGACTATCTTCTGGGATATAGGCGGAATATGAACGCGACTGTAACCTTTAGAGCGAATTTACAGCTGTTTTCCTTTAGTGGATCCTTTCGACTGCTTCGCTCCGGTACCCAACCTTGGGAAAGGATTATAAAGACTATAAAGAGAGCAAACCGGTTCCAATAACACCCATTAAATGGCCATAAATCGACTCGGAACCCACCAAGGAAAGAAGAAACACACAACTTAAGCGAGGGTAGCCGATTTTCATTTAAATAATTTAACATTCGTAGGCTACAGAAACAAGTTCTAGCCTTTACGGAGAAAATCTTTGCAAAATCTTTGCCAAATTAAAGAAGTCCCAATCCCAAATTTCTAAATTTATCAAAGGAACAATTTAATAAGAAGAAAAAGGCAACAGCGGGACTAAATGTCAACAGTAACAACAAAGCAGTTCTCACAATGTCCACAAGCAGTTCATGCTGGGTGAGGACAAAACATGGACCAGGGGTCCATGGACCACCACTTTGGACCGGGTCCATGGACCCCCTGTCGAGGAACGGGTCCATGGACAGTTTTTTTAATAATGAGAAATGAACAAAAACAGAAATGGTGCAAAAATAAGGTTAAAAAACAACAACAACAACAACAAACAATATTCGATTGATCAGCAATGTTTAATTGTGCTTACATAGTGTAAAAAAAGGAGGGGTCGGTACCTTATGCCAAAATGCTGCTTGTTCCAATGAATTGTTTTCTCTGATGGGTAGATTATGCTTCGGAGGAAAACCTTTTGACTGAGCAAAGGTGAATTTTTGTCGCTTATTTCATACCGAGAGGTCGTGACACACATATTGATTTTCTACCTCTTTTAAAATGTAAAGCTGTTCATTGCGGCTGATCAAAAGGGTTTTAGGATGTTTAATTTCTCCAAAGTGCATCCTGGATCTGAATAATTCTAAGCCACTTTCGTTTTGTCCATGAATGCCACTTTTTTCTGCAATGTTTTGTCACGCTGGGCCCAGCTCCTTAGGGCTTTTAGCAGGACGATTATAAATTCTCAAGGATAGTGATTTACAGATCCAGATCTTGAAGAAGAAGAAGTGGCATGGATTGTAGCTTAAACTGAAGCTACATCAACTATGGAGAATTTCGATGTGACTCAGTCATGATTACTCTAAAAGCAATGAATTCTTAACTCCAGCTTGTTTTTCTAAGGGTGATGCGAGTCTTTGTACTGAAGCGCGTAATTCCTCTCTTGGTGATAACTTTTGAATCAGTCTTGCGACTGCACATGTGCAAGCAGAGTGTATGTCATGTAAGGACAACTAAATATTTGTGATCAATCGTGAGCATTGGTCGACAGCGTCTCGTCAAATCTTTTTTTGGTACTATTTCTGTTTTTGAGTGTCCATGGACCTGGTCCAAAACATTCTTATAAAAATAAAAAAAAAACTGTCCATGGACCTGGTCCATGACAGGGGGTCCATGGACCCGGTCCAAAGAGGGGGTCCATGGACCCCTGGTCCATGTTTTGTCCTCACCCGTTCATGCTTGTACGCAATTATTGTTCTTAAGTCAATTGACCACAACATCCATTTAAACTGTAAATTCCTCAGAAAAGTAAATAATGTGATTTGTAGACGTTTCAGTGGTAATAAACTAGTTCTTTCTTGATTATGGACATAATGTAAGTCACTTAATTTTCGCGTCATGCTATGTTTACGACACTCATTGTTCGCGTCACTTTAATTTCGTTATAGTTTTTTTTGTATCGCGAAATTCGCGAGATTAACGTGTCGCGAAAATTTCTTGTAATAAGGTATTTTAGACGACTAAAAAAAATCCGACGTTTGAACTGGGCATAAGTTAAAGAGTAAAGTCTCCTGTGCTAACTATGACTACGGATGTAAAGGACTCGTTATTCAAACAAAGAAATCAATAGCTATAGGACACTTACCTCCAGTCAGTCTATTTCCAACCGACGACATAAAAGCAGCTACTTGTGCTAAAACATATCAGACAAAAATGTTATTAAAACCAATGATAGCTACTCAAATTCACCCCTCTCTGACTAGGGAATGGGGGATATAAAGAACATAAAAGCAACCTGAATCGGACAACAACTGATGTAATACCTTTTCGAGTTTCAAAGTCTTCTTTCCGATTTGGCCGTCTCTCCATCACCTGAACCTCCCCAAGCAAACCCCTTTGCTCCGTTTTGGTCAAAATTTCCTTCAGCACACCAAAACAATCAATTCCTAGACAGTTGAGATTTTCTAGCTCCTTAAATAACGAGCGAGCATCTTGAAAGTTGCTTTCATTCGCAAATTCAGGTACCTCCATTCTGCAAAAAGCGATCAGTCGTTCCACGTCATTGAGCTCGTCGAGTGCACCAATGATTCGTTTCATTTAACTCGTTGTATTCTTTTCGTGCGATCTCGAAATGTTTGACTTTCCCAAAAAGGTACCATTCTTTTACACCTTTTAGCAAGTCTTTCAAAACTTGCAGACGGTTGATTCCTAACCATTTGGACTCCTCCAATTGCTTGAAGAGCGACAGCGTGTCTCGGATGTTGTCGTGTCCATTAGACCCAGACGCTAACATCTCTCTGCAGCTAAAAATCAACTGCTCGAGGACAGCCAGGTGGTCTAATCTCTTGCTTATTTCAAGAAGCAAAAAGTTGTACTCGATCTTAGACATTTCGACAACCTAAAATGGGCCTGACGTAAGGACGTTTTGAGAAATTCCTCGATTTAAAGACTCAGTTCATTGGGTTGGGTGTGAAAGCCTCTTATGAATGACCTTCCCAATCATAACCGTGACATGAAATTGACAACCGATGAAAAGGGTTAACCTAGACAGTGACAGTCAGGTTAAATGATGGTGTGATATTTTTAATAATTGCTTTAAAATCATATTAACTTTCCTTTTCTCAAAGAAATACCAGTTACTTCAAACAGGAAGTTAGAGTATTCATCAGGTATCTAAACGCTAATCCTCGAAGTTGGCAAAAAAGAGGGAAAAGAAAGGAAAAGAAAAAGCAGAATGTATCAGCTTCCTGGTGTTTGGATAATCAAGAAGTCACGCGATCGAAAGAATCTATTTCCTTTTTCATAACTCTCTATGAAACGTCACTTTAAGGGTGCGTTGGGGCGTTTCAAGTGACCAAAACCGGGTATGGATTTCAAAGATAGAAAGTTATGGCTGTGAGACTGACATAACAGTCTTTCGAGTTGGAAAAGGTATTCAACATACATACATACATACATACTAACTTTATTCAAGATGCAAACAAGCTTATTTACAGGAAAAACATAATATTAAAAGACATCTTGAAAAGCGAACAGCGGTCATTGAGCGACATGGTCGCGAAATTCAAAGCTCCGTGTTGAAGAGAAATTAAGTAAAAGTTTCTTGTCAAAGTTTCTTCCATTTTAATTTTTCACGTCCATCCGTTATGTAAACAGTGTCTACAACTAAGAGAGGAAAACAGAAGCAACAGGCAGAAGTTTCAGAAGAAGAAGACTTCGAAACATTTGTACGAGAGTCGCTTGGGCAACTGAGCAAAGGTCAGAAACAAATCATTCAGGTACCAAATCAATATGGCTTTAGATCTGGCATGACCACGGTTGACTGCTTGGTAGACCTTATAGATGAGATAAGGAAAGCCCTTGACAAAGAAAATTATGCCATTTCCATATTTCTAGACCTAAGTAAAGTATTCGATACAGTCAACCATTCTATCCTATTATCAAAACTCGACGTACATGGCATACGAGACATTGAAAATCAGTGGTTTAGGTCTTACCTAAACAAAAGGAAGCAAAAAGTGTTTGTTAATGGCGTTGAATCCCGACTTCCTAGAAGTAAACTCAGGAGTACCGCAAGGGTCGATCTTAGGTCCGGTTCTTTTCCTAGTTTATATAAATGATATTGTTAATGCAACTAACTACTTTTCCATAAGACTATTTGCCGATGATACTTCGCTGACTGTGGCTGGTAAGGATTTAGATTTATTGCTACAGCGAATAAATTCTGAATTGCCAGCAATTTATAAATGGCTTTGTTCCAATACCTGGTTTTCCAACCGAGACAAAAAGTCAATTCTAACTTACACCCTCCTCTAAAAATTGTCGAGCAATATCTTGAGTAGTCGTACAACGTTAAATACTTGGGATTAGTTATTGATTGCTTTTTGTCTTGGCATGACCATATTGACCACATCAGTAGTAAAATCAGCCAAAGTGTAAACATCATCGTAAAACTGAAACGACATGTAACAACCCAGTCTTTGATAAGTATCTACTATGCACTTGTCTACCCCTATTTAAACTACGGTTGCATTCTGTGGGGTAATAATTACGAAGCTCCAGTATCACAATTGGTAAAGCTACAAAATAAAGTTGGCCTAAGCCAAATACCTGCCAACTAATTTATGATCACTTTGTAGATAAAAAGCCGTCTAATTTCACGCTGGCCTTGGTATCTGAGCAACATAATTATGACACAAGAAGTGCATCCCTGCAACACCTAAATCCCAGTGGCTTTAGAATAAATATAAGAAAATTCTGTTCAACAGGTATAGGATGCTATTATTGGAATGTTATTCCTTATCTAAACGTGAGAAGACAACTAAAAATTGTTTTAAAGAGCACTTTTCAACTATTTTCTTGCTCAGTATCAATCATCGCCACACCGACTCTCAAATGCTATATTTTTTTTATGTGTGTGTATATGTGCTTTCCTTTTTTCGTCTCTTTTGTATATTTTTCATATATTTTTCATAGTTTATAGAGTTTATACTTTTCTCTTTTTTTCTCTTTTAACCAAAATAAAACTGTAATTTAATCAAAGGGCAAGTAATTAGTTTAACTGTATCCTGCCCTCTCCATTTATTCTTGTAACCTGATATTTAATTCTACAAATAGCATCTTCATCTTCAAATCTTGTAATACAATATAAATGGCTTGTAAAATAAATAAATGGAGGAACAAAATAAACAATATCTTGAAAAGGAAGTTGAGAGGTAAGCCCTATATTAGAACTCCCAAACAGAAATAGAAAATGCTAAATAAAAACATCAAATACAATACAAGTATTCAAAAATCAAGGCCTTAATTAAAGCACGGTTCTAGTTTAAAATTTATTAAATAGATAATGATGAAGCTTATTTTTAAAATGATGAGGGTTTTCAGCCTCTACTATGTCTCTTGGTAAATCGTTCCATTTTGAAACTATTCTAATAAAAAAAGAATATTTGTAACAATCGAGTCTTGCGCTTTTAACATACAATTTGAAGGGGTGATTCGCTCTTGTAGACCCAACTTTAGAGAATTCGAAGAAATCATAAAAATTCAAATGGTAGTATCCAAAGCCGTTGTAGCACTCAATCAAAGATAGATAATTTCTACGGTCAGATAGCGACGGCCATTTCAACAATTTACAACGATCGACATAAGGCATTTCTCCTTTGCGTTGGTTAAGTGCTAATCTAGATGCTCTTCTTTGTGTACCCTCCAAGGCGCGAATGTCCTTGACGAGGTAAGGGTACCAAACGCGTACAGCGTATTGAAGAATTGGTCGTACCAGAGATAAATATAGCGTTGAGAAAACATTTACGTTGGTGGTGCCAACAGATCGTTTGATTAAACCTAATAGATTGTTAGCTTTGTTAGTTATGCTAATACGATTATCCCATGAGAGGTCCTTCGATATCGTAACGCCTAGGTCTTTGAAGCTCTTCTCGTTTTTCAAAGGCTTATCTAACATATATTGCATAATAGACTTATCGCGTGTATGAGTTATGCGCATAGATTCACACTTGTCCGTTTTAAACCGTAACTGCCACTTGCGTGCCCATTCCATTAAGTTGGAAAGATCCATTTGTAAAAGCTGAGGATCCTTAATAGGGTCGACTATTTGACGATAGATGTTTGTATCGTCAGCATAAAGTTTCACAGTTGACGAAACACAATTGGTTATATCGTTGATATAGATCAAAAATATAAATGGGCCGAGAATGGTCCCTTGTGAGGTACCAGAGGTAACACTTGACCAATTAGACCTAGTTCCCCGGCCTCAGAATCACGCGCTGCCTGCGTCCTGTCAGGAAGTGCCTGAGCCAGGCATGCAAGCAGCCGTCAATACCATTACTTTTCAACTTCAGCAGGAGCCGCTCGTGAGGAACACTGTCGAATGCCTTGGCCAGGTCAAGGAAAACCACGTCAGTTGGGCGAGACGAATTACGTGATTTAACCCAGTCATTCAACGATGATAACAGTTGTGTTACTGTGGATCTTCCTTTCAGAAAGCCGAATTGGTTGTTGTATATCAGACCAGTTTCTTGCCAAAACTTATGCAACCTATCAAAAACAATTTTTTCGCCAATTTTACAAACAATAGAAGTAAGAGAGATTGGGCGGTAATTTTCTTTGAGAGATTTGGAGCCCTTCTTGTGTAATGGTCTGATATCAGTGCATTTCCATTCATTGGGTAATAAATCAGAGAATGGTTTGTTTAATATATGCGCCAGTGAAGGTGCCAGTTCCGATCCACATTCTCTCAAAACGCAAGGGGCGATATTGTCAGGCCCAGGTGACTTGTTAGGCTTGAGTTTCAAAAGGAGGCGTCTTACTCATTAACACTACAATTGATATTTTCGAGTCTCTTGACAACAACGTAATCTGGGGTAAGAAAATTACCATAATCTTCGACGGTAAACACAGAGGAGAAGTAGGAGTTCATGCACTGAGCAATACAGAGGTCGTCTGTCACAACAGCATTGTCGATTTTTAACGAAACAAGATTGTTAGTTCCTCTTCTCTTGGACTTAATAAAATTCCAGAAGAATTTTGGGTTTTCATTTTCTTTCAGATC